CCCCGTACCCCGCAACGACCATGTTCGGTCGGAGCCAACAGCATTTCCAACGTACAATAGCCTACGCAACGGCGTTGTCCCGGACTTTAGTAATCCAACCACCGGTATCAAGGCATATAGACTCGTTCAGTCGTGCGCTCTAGACCCGGAAACGGTGTGGCAATTGATCTCCCGCTATGCGGAGAACTTCCATCAGTATCTTCCCCTCGTGCCAAGGAAATATTTTACGCGCACCGCCCTAGATGCCTTTGCCACGAATGAAAAGCACCTGCTCACAGCGGTCCTGACGATCGCCTCCAAGGATTTGGTCGATCAGCCCGAAATCCACGAGTACTGCTCGAAGTACATGCACGAGCTGATTTCCGGCATCGCTGCGGGCGCGGAGTGTGATGTTGAAGCGGTTGAAGCGCTTCTGTTACTTGCCGAGTGGGAACCACAGGGACTGCGACCTCGCATCGAGCGCGTTGGGCGTGGAGAGGAAGACCGCGCTGCGTGGATGCATGTTGGGCTTGCGTTGCGCTCGGGGTATTTCATCGGCATGGATCGCACTTCTTTCCGTGGAGATCCTTATGGTGACCAAGAGAGTGAGGCTCGTCGGCGACTGGCATGGGCGAGCTGCTACGTCTCTGATCGATTGATTTCTGTACGCATTGGACGTGCTTTCTGGTCTCGTGGCCCGGGACCCATGACTGGTCTGGTCAGTCAGGACTTTCCGTCTCTACAGCCGGTCAACGAGGGCGACGAGGACTATGCGAAGATTTTTCAGGCTATGTTGGATCTTACGCAGCTTTATGGGAATGTTCATGAGGTTTTGTATTCGGGGATGCGTACTAGTAACCAGATGATGTTGATGGGAGACTACGTTAAATATGTGGATGACTTCCGTCTGGCGATTCTGCGGTGGAAGTCACTTTGGGGGTCATTGGACTGTAAGTTGCCCTTTACTCGATTTTTTGCTTATGTGGCTGTTCTAACCTATCAATAGGCTCACCCCCTATGCGAGCAACACTGCAATTGTCCTACGAGTACTTGCGTCTGTATACCACTGCTTTTGCGTTCCAAGCTGCGATCTCGCAGTCGCTAGTCAAACCGAAAACAGACTTACAAGGCCAGCGAGAACATCTACGATCGACGTTCAAGAACGTCGCTTCGATGCAGGATTCGCGATTCATTTATGAATCCGTTGATGCAGCCAAGTCATACCTGACAATCCTTGTGGATCTGGTAGATCCTGAGAAGCATCTCCATTTCATGCCTCTCCGCTTCTACTTGTAAGTTTTCTTCCATCGCGTGTTATGTCGAGAGAAACAGCTCATGCGATTTAGATATGGCATCTACTCTGCCGTTTTCCTTTACAAGGTAAGATCCCTGTTCAATCCTCCTCTTCTACATATCTTCTGACCAATACCCTAGGCTCGTTCCTTCGGGATGATGGTCCCATCAGAAGAAGCAAAGGTCCAAGGCCTAGTCAGCCGAACTACCGAAGTTCTGAAGCAAGCAAGCGCCGGCGCCGACGACGTTGGGGCGCGCTATGCTCGCCTTCTAGAGCTTCTGTGGAAGCCCAAATCGACCTCCGCAGAGACACAGCAAAACAGTGACTTCTCACTGCAAACAGCTCTCCCGAATCCGGTCGCAGACCCAGGGTACATGCAATTCAGCCCCGCCAATGACTTCTCCTGGCTGGATTTGGAGGCCGTGGGCGATTATGTATCCGGGGACCAGATTTCAAATGGGTTGTTGGGGCTGGATGCGTTCCAGAATGGAGCCGATATGTACCAATCTGGAGAGCCACGGTCACAGTCCTGGCAACCATCTGCTTGGATGGGAGATATGAGCAGCAACCTTCTCTTTTAAAGGGGAAAATGGCTTCATGTTCATGTGACAATGTACCCCCACACCCCAATCTGACGGCAAATGATGCGGGGGTTTTTGTGCGGGGGGGACATCGGAGATATCCCCGAGGGGGTAACCGAGGGCAACACAGTTCTTTTCTGCTTTGAGTGTTTACTTCTGCACTTTATTGCATATCATACACTCTATCGCATCATGTCATTTAACGAGATCAAGGGCCGACTTGCGCTTATCACCGGTGCATCAGGAGGGTAAGCTATCCCCCAAACCCATCCATCTTACCCCAACACCGAGAATGAAGAATGAATAACTGACGTTAATTTTCTAGAATCGGTGCTGCCTGTGCACACCAGCTTGCCCAACATGGAGTTCATCTCGCCCTGACATACGCGACCAACCTGACCGCAATGAACGCCCTGGTGACCGATCTGCAGAGCAAATATGCCGATCACAAGCTCCGTATCTCAATCCACAAAGTGGATGTTGGCTCCGCTGACGACATCGAGACGATGTTCCAACAAATCGACACCGAGCACGGCCACCGACCTGATATCCTGATCTCGAACGCTGGGCACGGGAAGCGGTTTCCGCAAATCTGGGACTGCTCTCTCGAAGAGTTCGATTATACTCTCACCGTCAACCTGCGCGCTTCATTCATTCTCGTCAAGGGGGTGGTCGAGCGCATGAAGAGCCAGAATTGGGGACGTATTGTGTTTATGTCCTCGATTGCTGCGCAAGGCGGAGGAATTAATGGATGCCGTATGTAACTCTTTTTCTTTCAGGGGAATACCAATTGACTCTCTTTCAGATTACGCTGCCTCTAAAGGTGGTCTGACAGGCATGATGAAGAACCTTTCTACCCGACTGGCTGAATTCAATATCAGTGTTAACGACGTAGCACCCGCCATGATTGGTGACACCGGGATGATCCCGAACGCTGCAGCTATCCCTGAGGTAGCAGCCGGTATTCCACTCGGTCGCCTCGGGACTCCTGAGGAAACGGCCAATGTTGTGACTATGCTTGTGAAAACAGGATACATGACGGGTCAGAGCCTCTTGCTGGCTGGAGGGTTGAAATGAGCAACCCGGGAAATATTACGAAGAATAGTATACGAAGCGATTGGCCTTGCGTGCCTACAATTTATCATCATTTTGATTCGATTTTGTAAATCCTCGTTCCCCAACATATATATCCATCCTTTTGCTCTATTGTCACAATCTGGGTATTTTCAAACATTCAACATTATCACCATCACCACAATTACAGAGAACCATTAGAGCGTCGTCGGTTCTCAATAATAACCTTCACAACAGGGTTCCCCTCCTCATCAATACCCTTTCCAGCAAGTGTAAACGCCCGCTCTCCCTCCTCCAACGTAAGCCTATGCGTAACAACCTTCTCCTCAACACTCTTCATCTTTCCACTGGCCAGCAGCGCAATAGCAGCAGGGTACGCATGTCCGTCATAACGGAACACACCAATAATATCCACCTCGCGCAGCGCCGCCGCACCAACAGGCAGCGTCTGGATAGGATTGCCCATACCAATCTGCACAAGCACACCACCGGGCGCACTAGCATAGATACCAGCCTGTACACAAGCCGGCACACCAGTGCAGTCATAGACACGACTAAATCCAGGAACAACGAGTCCATCCTTGGCACCGACCGCCTCAATCAACTTAGCAGCAACCTTCTGCGCATTCTCGAGCGCATACGCAGTCTGCTCAGCATGAGGCGCATCCTTCGCAGGAGGCGGCGTATCAGCCCTAGGAATAAGAGCTGTCTTAAGACCAAGTCCCATCTCCTCCGCAATCTTCAATCTCCGCGCATCAATATCAGCAACGACAATCGCCGAGAAATTCTCACTAGCAGCCAACGCTCCGGCAAGCAGTAGACCAATCGCACCAGCACCGAAAACCAGGGCAACAGTCTCCTCCCCAGCAGCGCGGTTCTGCGCAACTTCCTCCTTGCTAGGCGGGTGTGAGCGTCGCACCGCATGCAGCGTGACAGCGAGCGGCTCGACGAGCGCACCACCTGCATCAGACACGCTGTCGGGAAGAACATGACACATATCTGCTGGGTGGTTTGTGCGTTCCATTAGCGTGCCGTCGAGGTGGGGGAAGCCTTTTGCGGAGCTGCGGAATTGCATGGCTTTGCAGATGTTGTAGCGGCCTTGTTTGCAGAGTGCACAGGTGCGACATGGGAGACCGACTTCTAGCGCGACCCGGTCGCCGACTTTGAGAGTTGAGACGGAACTGCCGGTGGCTGTTACTGTGCCGGCGGATTCGTGACCCAGACACATTGGTGACCGCACGACGAAGTCACCATTGCGGCCGTGGCTGTAGTAGTGGAGGTCTGAGCCGCAAATTCCTGTTGCTCGGATGGCGACTTGGACTTCTGATGTAGATGGGGCGGTGACGGTGCGTTGTTCCTGGTTAGGTTAGCGTTTGGGTATATAGTATGGGTTTGGGGTTTACTTACCAGGCGGAGGTCTTTGGCGCCGTGGAGAACGAGAGCGGTGGTTGTGTTTGCCATGATGTGTGTTTTGTGTAGATGTACAAGTAATTTTTCAAAAGAAAGAAAAAGGATTCAAGTAAGTAAAATAACGAAACCCGACTTTCTTCGGCCTTTGGAGTCAACTCCCGTTCCCCTCAAAGGCCAAACACCCCACTTGGTCGTGGGGGACTTGGGCCGGAGGTGCTCCGCTGTCGGTTATTGGATGAAAAGGGGAGATTTCAATACCCGACGTGGGGGAAGATTTTTTGCATTATTTGAATGTTAAGAGGTTAAGAAGTAAAGAAATAATAAGATAAATGAAGTTGAGTATAGATACTAGTAGATAAACGTAGAAATGGATGTATTAGTATGGAATATAAAGGTTGGTATATATATACATGCGATCTATATCTTACATCTAAGACAACGTCGGAGGAGCCCCCGTCATGACATGGGGGTACGTTAGCGGGGATCTCGGAATCTCCAATCTTTTGTTTTCCTGGAATCTTGTAATTTCTGCTTTCTTTTCATTCTCAAATCTTTTGAATTGCTTCATTCCCTTCGTCTTGTCTTGATTTACTATAGAAAGAACATTGCAAATGTGAGCAACCCCACTGACATCATCTGGCGCATCTAACATTCGCAGAAACATGGCCACACAATCAGCTCTCCTCATTGGAGAGATCACCCACGCGCGCAAGGAATGGGAGAGCATCTCCTCTCTTTTGACATTGAAGGTGAGCGATTCCTATTGCGCTGCGATCGAATCCCGCTAAAGCAAAATCAGGAATTCCCCAGCGGAACCAGAGAAGAGTTCATTGCGAACTGCAAGGCTGGGGAGTATGACGATGTAGTCGCGCTTTACCGATCCAACAACTCCACCAAGGTAGACATCGTGACTCCTTCACTTTGAGTTATCATACTTACAGCGCATAGTACACCGGTCCTTTCAATGCAGAGATGCTCGAAGTCCTGCCTAAAACTCTCAAGTACATCTGTCACAACGGCGCGGGATACGACAACATTGACGTCGCCGCCTGCACGGAGAAGAACATCGCTGTGTCCAGCACCCCGGTCGCTGTCAACGATGCGACAGCTGACGTGGGCATTTTCCTGATGATCGGCGCTCTGCGTCAGGCTCATGTGCCTATCACTGCTCTCCGCGAAGGTAAGTGGCTCTAAATTAGAGCAGCTTAATGTCCCCTCGGTAGCCAGTAACTGACCATGATACCATGACAACAGGAAAGTGGCAAGGCCCAATCACCGCAGGAGGAAAGGAGTACAGAACCACCCTGGGCCATGACCCCAAGGGCAAGGTCCTCGGAATTCTGGGCATGGGAGGCATCGGACGGGTATGTAACACAGTGGTAGTACAACACCTGACCTCAGCTAACCATGAGCAGGAAATGGCAATCCGCGCCAAAGCCTTCGGAATGAAGATTCAGTACCACAACCGGACCCGTCTATCAGCCGACCTCGAAGTCGGCGCGACATACGTCTCGTTTGACGAGTTGCTCGCCAATTCCGACGTGCTCAGCTTGAACTTGGGCTTGAACGCATCCACCCGCCACATCATTGGTGCGACCGAGTTCACCAAGATGAAGGATGGCGTGGTGATTGTTAACACGGCGCGTGGTGCGCTAATTGATGAGAAGGCGCTGGTCGCGGCACTTGACTCTGGCAAGGTATGTACTGCGCATTAAACTTGAACATTCCTTCCATGATGGATATGCGAACAATCCGGCTGACTGGTGGTTGTTCTATAGGTGCGCTCTGCTGGTTTGGATGTGTATGAGTGTGAGCCGCAAATTGAGCCCGGTCTTGTCAGCAACCCTAATGTTATGTTGACGCCGCATATTGGTACTGGAACTTATGAGACCCAGAAGGAAATGGAGATTCTGGTGTTGGATAACCTGCGGTTGGCTGTTCAGAAGGGTGAGCTTATTACACAGGTGCCAGAGCAGAAGAAATAGATATAGATATATAAAGAATAAAATTTGTTGCGTGCAATCATCAATTATCAAGTAATAACTAGTTATAGCTTCGAAAGGAAGTGTTTGCCTTGGTTGTGACTTTAACTTCCAAGGTTGACACCTGATATGTGGGGCAGAAACCAGATGACTAAGGTCTGACATAACTCAAAGGCGGATTCCACCCAAACCGGCTAGCGTTAGGGCTCGCTTAGGGCCAGAGCGCCAAGAGCGAAAAAACCGCACCAAAGCTAGTGGCTCAAGCGAGCGCCGGACGACGACGAAAAGCGACAACAACTCATCACCGAGGACCATCACACCCCCTCGCCAACTCCTTCAAGATGGTGAGTGCTGCATGCCCCTGTCATCGATAATGACCATTCGGAATCCCATTCTCTACGAAATGCCACCCGTGTGATACATATTCAATGTCCGATCGCCGGGTCGACTTTCGCTGCCAACACCAACATCCAACGACGATCCCATTGCTAACGAGCGATGCTTTTAACAGGTCCGTTACGCCGCCCAGGAGATCTCGCAGGAAAAGAGCGCCCGCGCGTGCGGCTCTTACCTGCGTGTCAGCTTCAAGAACACCCGTGAGACTGCTCAGGCCGTCAACGGAATGAAGCTGTCCAAGGCTCTTTCTTTCCTCGAGAACGTCACCACCAAGACCATGGCCGTTCCCATGCGCCGTTACGCTGGCTCCACCGGTCGCACCGCTCAGGGTGAGTCGCCCTTTTTTCCTTTTTTTTTGAAGCAAATTTCGGATCGATTGGATTGAAGTTTTGAATGGATTGTGGGGAGGACGAACAGCATCGCCAATTATACGACAGCCACTGAGATATGCAATGGAATGACGAGGAAAACATGAATTGAACGCGAGGATGGATTTCTTGGCTTATTGGCGATGCTGTGGATTCTACGATCTGGATGAAAATTTGTGAACGGAGTCGAACATCGACTGACAATTTTTGGTTTCTAGGCAAGCAGTTCGGTGTCTCCAAGGCCCGCTGGCCCGTCAAGTCCGCTGAGCACATCATTGATCTGCTCAAGAACGCTGAGGCCAACGCCGATGGCAAGGGTCTCGACACCGCCAACTTGATCATCAAGCGCATCCAGGTCAACCAGGCCCCCAAGGGTCGCCGCCGCACTTACCGTGCTCACGGTCGTGTACGTTTTTCCTAAGATTTTACGGATGAGTTTGTATTTGCAAGAAATGCTGACTTTTTTTCTTTCCAGATCAACCCCTACATGACCAACCCCTGCCACATCGAGCTCATCCTCACCGAGGCCAACGAGCAGGTCCAGAAGGCTACCACCGACAAGGCGGTCCGTCTCTCTTCCCGCCAGCGTGGTATCCAGATCCGCCGTGCTCTCATTGAGGCATAAACGGATCGCCATAAGAAGGTGTGAGGGGACGTGTGGTTACGCAATGTGAAAAGATTTTTGCGGTGGACGGGAAGGATCGGAGTTCTTTGCATCAGCTGTGTATGTTGGAACGGAATCGATACCGGATCATACAAGATTTTAAGGTCATGGCGCCAACACTCGGAGGAGAACCCAATAAAAAGTTTAAACGATATGGCCCAGGGTGATGGGAATAGGATTCTGTACTTCCCGATCCAATCATGATACAAACGTGGTTCTTTCTCCGTGACTCTATCGAGTGTTTTTCTCTTTTGATAGAGAGTGTTTTCGGTTTCTTGTCTAGCTGCACTCCTCTGTCGAGGCTCCGATCTTTCGGTCATATAATATGATCTCATTTTTTCTGTTTTAAATGCGTCCGATTGTAGCGATGACTTGATGACTCGATACCTCAATATCAAGGTTGGACTACGGGCTAACCTCTCATGTTGTATGCATTTTATATGAGGGTATTATTTCAAGATTGGGAATGGAATCACAAGAAAATCCTGCCTATACTACTTCTGGTCCCCGACAATCCTTATCTAGGAACTTCCACCATAAGACATGCCAAGGGGAACATCCACATATAGCCAGGGATCTACAATGCGGGGGTATAAGTAGTCCGGATCAGAATACACTTTCGAGATTCCTTCATCCCAATCTACTCCCTCGATATATATATATTCACCAGATAATCTAAAATGACCAACCTCTCAGACTACCGGCTCCTCTGCTTCGATGTCTACGGCACTCTAATAGACTGGGAAAGCGGCATCATCACCGCACTAGGACCAATCCTCTCAAACAGCACCACCCATTTCACCCGTGAATACCTCCTAGAAACCTACCACGACCTCGAAAGCACCCAGCAAATCGCAACCCCGGACCTTCCATACTCAGACCTGCTATCGGCAATCCACCCCACCCTCGCCGCGCGTCTAGGCCTTGACCCGCCAACCGAAGAGGAAAGCCGCCAATTCGGCAACTCCGTTGGAATCTGGCCTGCCTTCCCAGACACCGTTGATGCCCTGCGCCGACTATCAAAGCACTACAAGCTAGTGGTGCTGTCGAACGTGGACCGGGCTTCATTCGCCAAGTCCAATGCCAGTAGCTTGCAGGGCGTGTCGTTTGATATGATTCTTACCGCGCAGGATATTGGCAGTTATAAGCCTGATCCACGCAACTTTGGATACATGTTGAGTGCCGTGAAGCGCGAGTTTGGGGTTGAGCCTGGACAGGTTCTACAGACGGCACAGAGTCAGTTTCATGATCATCAACCTGCGAAGAAGGTTGGCATTAAGTCGATTTGGATTGAGAGGCCTGGGGCTTTGATGGGGAATCGGGGGGATTTGATCTTTGATTGGCGGTTTGAGACTTTGGGGGAGATGGCAGATGCTGTTGAAGCAGAGTAGAGGGGTATGGGTTTGATATCCAAATCTTGGAAAATGTGAGGACAATGTGAAGTACTTGGTACTTCTAAATATATGTTGAATGCACCTTGAAATGAGGTACTGTCTACCCCACGTGGCTGAGTCAGGAATCAAAACATCCCTGGATCTTGTTGCCTGGATGGCCTCGTCTTGGCAATGCAGAACACCTGGCTGCGTGCGTGGAATGTGGCTTTGACCGCTGGGGATATTGACCTTATATATCGTCCTGGTTTCTCGACCCCTTAGCGAGGGCGCTTATTGTTAGTTCCCTGCAGTGCTAGTTCTAGGCCGGCAGTTGGCCCCCGGCTAGAATTATTCTTTGACAATTTGAACTATTTTTCCCTCTTTCCCCTGAAAAATAACAGACTGTGCGATCACCATGAAGCGCTTCTTGGGATCTCTGAGCAGGCGCTCAAGTTAGTGTCTCACCGTTTCCACGTCTCCCCCGGGGCCCGCAACCTCGCTGACTTGTAGCTGAACATAGGCTCCAGCGACAGTATCGAACACCGCGAAGACTCACCAGAAGCTATTGTCCTGAAAGAATTGGTTTGTGCTAGCTCTGGAGAGATTGAACTAGACACACTGACACCTTCAGACTGCCTTCTGCGAATCGAATACAAATACAAATGCGAATGCTTCTTCGCGCGACGCGGTATGTGCCTCGGAGATGACAGGAACCCCCCTTTCAAGACTGACAATGCATTTGCACCACTCTAGCAAGGAAATGAATTCGTCCACCTCCCCAAAATCGTCGAAAGTGCCGAGTCGAGCCCCAATGCCGCTAAACAAGCGGCTCTGCGCATTCGCAAGTATCTCGCAGATCCCGCCGCCACCCCGAACCAGACCCAATACAATGCGATCATGCTCATGCGCATCCTGGTCGATAACCCAGGTCACACCTTTACCCGCAACTTCGATGCCAAATTCGTGACGACCATTAAAGAGCTGTTGCGCACAGGACGCGACTGGCATGTGCAGAGCTATCTCCGCCAGTATCTGGATCTCCTCGAGCAACAGCGCTCATGGGACGAAGATCTCAAACCGCTGCTGCAGATGTGGTCGAAGGAAAAGATCAAGGCTTTCCGCGGTTTGGTGAGCATATGATATCTTTGCGCGCCTACCGTCCAAGACTAACCTAGCCAGATCGACCCTTTCCCAATGAATACCATCGTCCCACCGCAAGTCCCGCCCAGGCATCACCAACAGCAACCATATAGCCAGTCCCGCGCGCCGGCAAATACCCTCCCCAACCCGGTAGAACTAGCTGCGCGCATCGAGGAGGCACGCAATTCGGCAAAGCTGCTAACGCAGTTCGTCCAGTCCACGCCGCCAGCAGAGCTGGAAAACAACGATCTCATCAAAGAGTTTATTGACCGCTGCAGGTCCGGGACACGTTGTATTCAAGGATTTATTCACTCGACAAACCCGGCTCCGGATGAGGACACTCTGTTGACGCTCATCGAGACGAACGACGAAATCTCCGTGGCACTGTCGCAGCAGCAGCGTGCCATGCTGAAGGCACGCAAGATCAGAGGATCTTCGTCGCCGAGCTCGTCTAATTTGAATAGCCCCTCGCCGACATCACCGCCTGTCGCACCAGCCGTTACGAATGTTTCTCCCCCCGCCGGGGCGCCAGTTCGGACTGCAACACGCAGCCCCGAGTCCCCTGCTCCTGTCCCGTCACAGCTGCCTTCGACGACCGTGACTGGTAGCCGCGTGCCGGCTTCTAACCCTGCACCGGGATCTGCGACTGCGAGCCGATATGAATACAACGCTGAGGAATTCCAGGTGCGGAATCCTTTTGCTGATGACTATGCTACAAATGACGCGGATCAGGAGAGACACCGGGGAAATGGTGATCCGCAGCCCCCTAGTGATCGCGTGCGCTTCCAGCCCACTGAGCAGGAGCGCTAGGGTCATGCGGGATCAATCTTACGTTTCTTTTTATTTATAGTCTAGCGCTTGGTCGTTCTTTTCTTTTGCTTGGTTATATCAAACCCTGCTTGCGGTTTTGTCTATTGTTGCAAGCGCATAGCTTTTGCCTTTTTCTTTTGCCTCTCTTTTGGTTCTCTTTCCCTGTCTCTTACCTTCCATGATACCTCACACCTCGCTACTGCACACATATGATTAGTCTTTTACTGCCAACGTCTTTAGCAGCATCTTTGAAATACAGGAGAGTAAGTCAAGCGAAAGATTGAATGCATTGGTAGAAAGTCATAAACAGCTCGAAAGAGTGCAAAAAAGCACAAGGTTCCAATCCAACGCTTGGATACCAAAATAAACCGCCAAATATCAGACATCCTACAAGATGCAAATGCCCGCGAAATAAAACCTCCTTCATATCTTCGTTGACCTGGAAAATAGGGGATAATCGAGCCATATCCTGACAATCGGAACTGAAGTATACCACCTTCAATCCTCAATCTTGATAGTAACCTTCTCATTAGTTGCCTGAGCCTGATCTCTCGCTGCGATCTCCTCAGGGAAAGGCTTCCTCGCCCACACACGTCTCCTGTATAAAAGATCAGCCCAATCCACACACTTGGGCAAAGAAAAAAAAAGGAAAAACTCACGCGCGCTCATAAATATGATAGCGAGGATTCTTAAGCTCATTCCTCAGCTTCGCAACATAAACAATAACCTCCTCTTGCGTCCAAGGCTCCGGAGCCCCGAATTTACAAAGCAACCACATAGCCCAGCCCTCCATCCCAGACATCCAATGATGGTAGTTAACAGTGCCAGCCTCTTTATATTTCTGATCACGCGCCCACGGCCCGAGGGGCCACTTGTATTCTTTTTCACAGATATCCACGAACCCGGCCTTGCGGAAGGCGTCTTGCATCATATCGATTGTTCCAAGCGGGCGGCCCGCACGCTCGCCGCATGCCGACAGCGCTGGTCCCCAGCTGCGGAGGATGTTGTCTTCTGGTAGACTGTCGTCATCGCATTCGACGTAGGGGCTTGCTTCTAGTTGTTCGATCCAGCCGCCTGGGCGGATGTTGCTGTGGTTCTGGGTTAGATGGATGGGCCAAGGGTGGGGTGGATGGGATGGTTTACTCGTAGCATTGCTGGTAGAGACGGTCCCATTCTTTGTAGTCGAAGGCTCCGATCATAATGCGCATGTGGATTAGGTCTTGGGGTTCGTTCCAGGTCCATTCTTCGGCGATGTTGTCGACTTCGAGGATGCAGTTTGGGGGGACCCATGTTACTGGTGGTGGGAAGAGGTCGACTCCGCGGACGCTGGCTGGGGGTTGGTTAATATGTTGATCTGCTATGGGTGAATTGCGTCCGGATTCTGGACTCACCTTCTGGGAACATGTCGGCTACGTCGCTAGAACAGGGTGAGTGGTGATCCTTTGCGAACATATGTGTTTTTCTTTTACATACATGGCCCAGTTACCCAGACCTGTTCCGAGATCGAGAATATGTTTGGGATTTTCAACAGGCGCCCGGAAAAGGGGGTTGTCGTGGTCTGAGTCCATAACGAGGGCTACCAAGTGGCTGCAATAGTTAGTTAGTTGAAAAGATCATATATAAGAGGATGCATACCCAGCTTCGTATGTCTCGAACTGCTTTTCATCCGATGGAATTCTGATAGGTAGTAAGCAGGTAATACCTTTCCAAGGTTGATTCAAAAAATCAGAAATTCATGCGTACAGGTATTCTTTGTGGCTCAATGTTTGATACCGTCGGCCATTCTCCTCTAGCCCCCGATAAAGCGAGGAGCCGATCGACGTGGTTTCCCTGAGATTGTGTGAGAGATGTTATTCATGAAAGATATAGTTCATATAGACAGGGAGATAATATTTACGATTGCCAATCATCGCCGTAAACAGTTGTGAGATGGGTCGTTGGATCCTAATCCTTAGAAAAATAGAACAGAAATAAAATACAATAAAAGTAGACATACCACGGCGATTTTATCTTCTGGCTCAGTATGTATTTTATCCATTGTAGAAGTTCAGATTTCCATAGAAAAAAGCAAAGTGGAAGATCAGAGAGGTGAGAATCGGCACAAAGATAGAGAGCTATCAGGCCGCATGGTCCCCGCTCTGACATCTTAGGCGTCATGTTAACGGCCATATTAGGAAGTCCATTGTAGAGAGACTCCTATAGGCTTGAGAGGTGGACATTTGATATGTGGGCTTGTGGGGTGGAAACATGTCCCAGCCGCTATGAGCCCTCGGATTGGACATCGGGTTCGAAGTTGCATGTGAATTAGCAAAAGTACGATTATCTACCAATAAGAACTGCCTTATGAAGTCTATTCTTCACGGAAATTCTGCAGAAATAGGCCAAAACTCACTCCACTTCCTGAAAGGATAGAATCACGAATATCAAAAGCTTATTGAACTGAACTTTTCAGTCTAAAAAGTCGTATTACCCATCTTATAGATTTAATTGATGTCTAGATGGTGATAGACTTCCCAGATATTGCATCACATCCCGCTTGGGTGCTGGTCTATGATATAATTTCCGACACGAGAAATACGAGGCTTGCATTATGTTCTGCCTGAAAGCAAATTTACATAAGTACATTCCTTTAGTATATTGCCTAAGTACATTGCCTAAGTACATTGCCTAAGTACTTCCATATACTCCGGAGCTTATGCGGGGAAATAGGCTATCAAATAGGCTAGGCCGGGAACCCGGATGACGTCTCGACACTTGAACTATATAACCCACACCATCAACACATTCCTTCTAAACCATTGCAAACAACATTTTATATCTACAAATTCCAAACATGTCAAACCTTCCTCTCAAAATGCGCAGCGTCATCCAACCAACCGCCTCCTCCAAAACCCTCACCCTAACAAACACCCATCTCCCAACCCCAAACCACACACAGGGAGAGCACCTAATCCAAATAAAAGCCTGCAGTCCCTGTGCCGGCGAGTTACTCTGGCCAGCGAATTTCCCCCCGCTCACACCGCGCACTCTAATCCCATGCCCGGACATGGCGGGAATCGTCATCTCAGCGCCGGAAGACTCGCCCTTCCAGCCAGGCGATGAAGTATACGCGCGCACAAACTATGTCCGACCAGCAAATGCGCGCGACTATTCCATCGCCGTTACGGATGAGTTGGCGCACAAACCGCAGGGTTTAAGCTGGGTCCAGGCTGCTGCGGTTCCTGTCTCCGCCGAGACGGCTTGGCAGGTTCTTTTTATTCATGCGCTTGCTAGGGGAAATGAGGAAGAGATTGAGATGGAGGCAGCTAAACTTGCTTGGACTGGGAAGAGAGTTCTTGTTACTGGTGCTTCTGGTGGTGTGGGTATTTGGCTTGTGCAGTTGGCCACTTTGCTTGGTGCGGAGGTGGTGGCGACATGTGGTTCCCGGAATGTGGAGCTTGTGAGGTCGCTTGGGGCGAAGGAAGTCCTTGATTATCGGGTTATAGATTTGAAGGAATGGGCTACGCAGTCGCCTTCAAATAAGGTGGATGCTGTTGTTGATTGTGTTGGGGGAAAGGCTCTTGAAGATGCGTGGTGGACTGTTAAGGATGGTGGTGTTGTGCTGAGTATCTACCAGCCACCTTTGCAGGCTTGCCCGGATGGCTTTAAGGGTGAAAGTGTGAAAGACGTGTTCTTTGTTATGCAGCCCGTGAGGAGGCAGTTAGAGGAGGTTTCGAAGTTGATTGAGAAGGGGGTGTGTCGGGGGCTGGTGGATAGTGTCTGGCCTCTTGAGCAGTATGAAGAGGCATTCAAGAGATTGGATGGAAGGCATGCGAAGGGAAAGATTGTCTTTGATCTGTCACTGAATCATTAACACTGTTTCTCCAGCAGTATCTCCACTGTTGCAATACACGAGATTTGAGAGATAGAGCATCACAGTCATTTCTGGAGGCCTGATCCTAGTGGGGAGTATACGTTAAAATGTTAATTGCTATTTCATTCTCCATTGAGTCATATATAGAATAGAAGACCTCATAAGCAAGAGACGATTATGCGTAGACTCTAGAAAGCAGACACTATAAAATACTTGATCCAAGCGCTTTCATGGTTGCCAGTTTCGGCAAGCGGATACCAATAGATTCGAGCTTTATCGCCATCGGTTGATCCTCAGCGCATCATTTAGTACAATATTTTGAGCTGTTGCTCCTTTGATTTGTAATTCTTGCATGTCAAGAATCTTGAACTCCTACGGAATCGAGTTTAGTCTCGATGCAGTTTGACACCTTCGTCAACCTCTTTCTGCATACAACTCGCATTAAGTTGTATCGAAGGATGCAATTTCAATTCGGGCTACCTGCTTAGTATAGTACTTACTGTACAGTTCAACAATTTTGTAACAGCACTCGAGTCTCTCAACAGCCATGCGATATGACGACCTGCCTCTAACTCCTTTCGTCCCTCGTCAAATTCAATGGTATACCCGTGGGCCTTAATACAAGTGGGCAATGCCCACTATAGGCTTTGGATGCTGCAGCACCAAGTCTTGGCAGCACTATCTGGTGTACTGCATAAATAATGTAAACACTAAAAACGTTGCATAAGTTATGTAAAAATGCCTTAGAGTGTTTCCAATATAGAGAACATATAGTTAGTGAGAATAATCATAAAGTTATCATTCTTTATAATTTTTTTCGTCCGCTTTGGATACAGGCATTCATCCTCATCTCTCCGACACTGCCTTTCTCTATAGGGGTGCTGGCTATTTATCCTAAGGTAGAATGCCATCCGAATCATCCTCTTCGTTATCACAAATTGGGTCAGGGGTATACTTAGGAAGTTGTGCCTCTGCTCCCTGACTATTAGTGCAGGATGACTATGCTATTTGATTTTACTGTGAAACTCTTGATAAGCGGAATCAAGAAAATACATTTGAAAAGGAAATCTGAGACTGCTAAAAGATCTACTAGAAAATCAACTAAGGACATGTCACAAGGCCGCATAAGCTTCTACTCTTGTGTATCTTAAGCCAAGAAAGAGTATAGAAAATATCCGTGCTGGGCTCCGAATCCACGTGGCTAAGCTAGTTCAGATAATTATGCAGAGGCTCTCGTATTTAGGCCAAATGGGAATCATAGAACTTGTGATCTTATACGTCTATATGACAATGCATCCTGATAACTACTAATAGTGAATTTATTTTCGGTAATCTTAATAATTCATACAACACAGCTTGATGACTACTAGGTTTACATGTCTCTAGTTGGTCACTGGATCTATTTAACTATTAGTACAGGATTATGTTCATTATTTTATTTGACTTTATTGTGAAACGAATACCTTGATAGGTGGAATCAAGAAGTACCTAGTCAGTTTCATAAGATTTAGTGTGATTTTCAAACCGAGTGGACCTAAAAGGATAATAATCCTGGAATAGAATTGGATAAACGTCCAAGTACCACTGCCAAGTCAAGTTTATTCTACGATCTCCACTTCCTTAATCAAAGTAAAGTGATAAAATGTCCTGTCTCACCTGTCAGCCCCTTGGCAGGTCCCAATCTACGTGAAACTCGGCGGATCCCTGTTCGGCGCGTGGAGCAAGGCTTGGCAACCATAGCCTCAGGAACGTCGGGCTTGTCTCGGGAGAGAAGACCATCCGGCCTGGTTCAATATGCATCGGAGGGCCATATTGTCCCGAAGATCCGACCTAGACTTACCGCCAGTCTCAGCAGTCGCTTCCTGGTGGAGCGCTGTCCCTTGGGCATATCCAATTTGTTTCAGCATGTTACGTGGAGTCGATATTACGCGCTGTTTGATATGTCTCTGATAACTGTCAATCTAGTGTTTGCGGTTGATTAATGGCGCATAAAGCTCAGCTAGAGCTTCTTTTGAATATGCCTACCTACTATATAAGCAGCGACATGCCGGCGCGACACAAGACCAAGTGAGCATGCTGGTCAGTCTTTTTTGAATTTTCATTCACATTCACATTCGTTTCCTCCGGTTTGAGACCGTGCAGACTTTCATTCAAGTATACATTCATTTCTCGGTCCGGTTTACCGATTATTTCCATTCACTGCCCCGACATCCCAACTCGCCAAACATGAAGTATTTCACCCCCGCTCTGGCTTTCGCCAGCATTATCTCCTTGGTCAACGGCCATGGCTTCGTCAGCAGCCCCAATGCCCGACAGCCCGGCACCGCAATGGAAGCCGCCTGTGGCAAGCAAGTCGTCTCTAACCAAGGGTCTGACAAGTACGGCAACATCCAAGGCGAGCTGCAAGTTGCCTCCGGCCAGAATGACTACGAAGCCGCCGCGTGCGATATCTGGCTTTGCAAGGGCTACAAATTTGCCGACAACAAGGACAATGTCTACTCGTACAAGGCAGGACAGAAAGTCGACTTCACCGTCGACATCCGCGCCCCGCACACCGGTATCGCCAATGTCTCTGTCGTCGACACTTCTTCCAACACTGTTATCGGTGCTCCCCTGATCTCCTGGTCTGTCTATGCATCCGTCGCCACTGGCGTCAAAGCCGATGAGACCAGCTTCAGTATCACTATGCCTGATGATCTCGAAGACCGGTGTGTCACCGCCGGTGACTGTGTGCTGCAGTGGTACTGGTACGCTCAGTCAATTGATCAGACCTACGAGTCGTGTATCGACTTCACTCTCGGTGGATCTGGCTCCGGTGGTGTCTCAGCTCCGGCTCCGTCGGTGAAGGCCTCGTCGATCGACAGCTCTACGGAGGCTGCTACAATTGCTACTGCTACTACGTCGGCCACAACTGTCGCTGAGCCCACCACCACGGCTGCTGTTAAACCTACCACTACCACTGTTGCTGTTCAGCCTACTACTTTTGCCACCACTGCCCGTCAATCGACTACTTCTGCCGAGGTGCCAGTCGCTACCACCGCCGCAGCTAACCCCGGTGCTACCAATGCTGCCGGTGCTGCCTTACCTTTCCCCGCCGATAGCGCTGCGGATGTCCTGGCCTGGATCCAGGCCATGTTCGGCAACTTGGCAGGTAACTAAATGCGGAAGGGCGCAAATAATGGCCCACTAAAAAGTGGGCCACGTAATGTCGGAAGCACATCGTGTTCAATTTTGGACCTGCCTGTATCTACTGTGTTAGCTAGTAGCTAGATATAGCGGTAATTAAATGTCAGATTTACCATGCTTTCTTCGTCGTCGTGGATTCCAATGCAACGCTGTTAATAGCGATATCGGAGAGATCGCCGAATATCCGATGTCGCCACTTCCTCGATTTACAAGGTTCATTCAACATTAGGATATTAATATAAAAACAAGTATTCCTTATACAACCAAACATCTTCTAATATTTCAAATCATACGAAGAATGTACTGTCGTCTAAACCCCACAGCAACCAGACTATTCAACCACTCCCCGAGAATCCCAAGACCAGCCTACAGACACTTCACCACAACAATGTCTCAACAAAGCAAAGACTGGAGCGCAAGCCAATACCTCAAATTCGAAAATGAACGCACCCAGCCCGCGCGCGATCTCCTCTCGCACGTGCCCCTAACAGCCCCAAAGAGAATAATCGACCTAGGCTGCGGCCCAGCCAACTCTACAACAATTTTGGCAAACCAGTACCCATCAGCAACAATAACAGGTCTAGACTCATCGCCCGACATGATCGAGCGTGCAAAGAAAGTTCTCCCAGACCGGGAATTCCACGTCACAGACCTAAATACCTACATGCCAGACCCAGCCAAGCCAGTCGACCTCTTCTTCTCGAATGCGGTGTTCCAGTGGCTGAAAGCCGATGACCGTATCGCGGTTATTAAGCGGCTCTTGCAGCCACAGCAAAAGGGCGCTGTTTTTGCCCTCCAGGTCCCGCATAATCTGAACGAGCCTTCGCATTTGCTGATGGACGAGACTGCTGCTGACGGCCCGTGGGCGGGGAAAATCGCTGGCGCGCAGAGAGATGGGTTCCAGTCGCCGCAGGAGCTTTATGATCTGGTTAAGCCGTTTTGTAGTCAGGTTTCTGTTTTTGAGACGAGTTATTATCATTCGCTTGAGAGTCATGAGGCTGTTATTGAGTGGGTGAAGGGGACCGGGCTGAGGCCGTTTTTGGATCCGTTGGAGGATGGCGAGAAGGAGGCTTTCTTGAAGGGTTATCTGAGGCGCTTGCAGGCTGCTTATCCTGTTTCTGTTGATGGACGGGTGTTGTTGAAGTATCCGCGATTGTTCATGGTTGCTGTGAAATGATTTGGCTGGACGATAGTTCTTGGTTTGTCTTTGATGGAGGTCTACTTCTGTACGTATATATAGCATTGGATACATTCTATTTTCGTGTTACAGAGTACATATAGGGCAAAAGGATTTACGTGTTGGTTCTACCTAAGTTGATGGAAATCTAGAGATAGAAAAAAAATGAGACGCATGGTTCTATGGGAATGAACGAATTCATGTCCACATTGCTACCCAGTAAGCTGTTGGATACAACACAGCACCATTTCCTAAGATTAGACTGTTCCCGAAGAGGCAATCTTAATGGTACCATCAGTCTTTCCAGAGCGATCCAAGCTCTTGCTCTCCATCTTCTGGAGAATATCCTGACCGGAGACAACCTCTCCAAAGACCACGTGCTTGCCATCCAAGTGGGGGGTTTTCACGAACTAAGACAGTCAGAAAACACGTCTTTCACATATCCTTTGTGCATAGTTTCGACTTACAGTAATGAAGAACTGAGAACCATTGGTGTTGGGTCCAGCATTTGCCATGGAGAGTAGGCCGCCTTTGGTGTGCTTTGTCTGGAAATTCTCATCCGCAAACTTCTCGCCATAGATGGACTTGCCCCCCGTTCCCTGAAGAAGGAATAAAGATTAGTTGGAGCTCGTAATTCCGGTCATAAAGATACCATGACTGACATTTCCGCGAGTAAAGTCACCACCCTGGGCCATGAACCCAGCAATTACGCGGTGGAAAGCAGAGCCTGCATAACCGAAGCCCTTTTCGCCCGTCGCAAGGGCCCGGAAGTTGGTTGCAGTCTTGGGGACGACGTCGTCGTAAAGTTTGAACTCGATGCGACCCCAGTTTTCCACTGCATGAAGTTAGTGTGAGGTGAGACAAAATAACAAACAGCAAACTTGCCCTGGCCGCCAGCCGAAGTGTATTCAATATCGAAATAAGGATTGGCCATGATGAATTTGAATATTCTGAGGTATACAATGTAGGAAAAGCAAGAGAAAATAGGCGGGGTAATATATGAGGGGGATTTATGCATGAGGTCATAGGGGTCCAAGGACGATACTACCTAAGTACCACCTAAGTGGTATTACATAGTAGTTGGACGTATTATTTTCATTACTTAGGGCTTTGACTACACCCGTGACCTTTACTTTAAAACTTTTGTTTAGTTATACTACTCACTTATGAGAGAAAAGTTGTGAAAGTTTGGTTGCATTATCTCTTAAAAAAAAGAAATGAATCTCAGCCGAAAGGGGCACATGTGAAGTGCAGGCTGAGACCAGAGCAACATAGAATGAGAAAGTATGAAACAAATGAACCAGAGCGCAGTAAGTATCCAGAGCAAGGTGATCAATCAAGACTCTCATTCAGAGTCCATCATCCTCCGCGTGCGTTGCCACCAAAATCCCTTTTCATCTACTCAGTTTCGTTGGAATCGGCGGTCTGGACATCCTTCTCATTGGTGTCATTTTCATTGTCGGATCCATCAGCGGCATCAGCGGGGGCCGTGGCGGCGAGGTACTTCTCCACCTTGGTATTGAGTCGCCAGTACTGCTTCTGAACGGTGCCAACGGACTTACCCGCATCTTCGGAGACGGCGGCCCAGTCAATCTGTAAATTCAGTAAGTATATGACATACATCGTGTGTTGTATGGACATGTCAACACATCGAAAAGACACTTACCTTGATGCCAGAGGACATATTGACGCATTTCCACAAGAACACAAGGTCCTTATCAAGAGGGGCTCCGGGGGCGGGCTTGTTAGCGGTCGCCTTGACAGGGAAAACCTTGGTAGCAGTCGCCTTGACAGGGGAGACCTTGGTAGCAGTCGCTTTGGTAGGGGAGACTGAGGCAGAAGTCGCCTTGGTAGGAGTCCGCTTCACGATACCTCCCTTTGTAGCCCGGGTAGGCTTGGCCTTGGGGGTGGTTGGCGCTTTGGGAGCCATGTTGATAACAATGAACTTATGTTGGTTTGTGTGAGAGAGCTCTAGGAACAGTGCAAATGGGAGCAGTGTAGATAGGAGTGTAGTTGGGAACAATAATGTGAACTTCGGAGGGGGATACCAATAGGAAACAAATAAGAGAGACAAAAGCGAACAGCTTCCATTTATGGCGGGTGCCGAGTCACTTGGTCTGCGTTGGGATTCATCGCCCCGACGATTTCTGTTGTCACGACAAACAAATCACGAGCAACTGATTGACTAGCAATATTACAGTTACATGACACATTGTAAATATTCCAATTTTTACTCACCACAGCCCTCCCTGTCGTGACCGCTATAGCCGGCAAGACATCTCAACTTGAAGATTTTGTGAAATGGCCGAGAAAGGAAAAAAAGCGGAAATGAAATTTAGGAGAGAAAGGATAGTAAATATGATCATAAGAAGTATTTATATACACAGACTGGAACTCGAAAGAAGTACATATAGTAGTATGATGTAACATACAATGATATAGAGTTCTCTTACAATATTTTATATTACATAGACCAAAGAGGAAATCCCAAAACAATGGCCAACTTTACAAGTTTGCGGCTTTGGCAGGAACTCGCAAAATTGACTGCTGTGTCATGGAAGCCACTAAATTCCCAGCCTCATCCCACATTTTACTCTCACTATATGTGCGGCCATGGCCAGCACGGTGATTGATTACCTCCCTCAAGTGCCACTCATCCACTTTGGGCGGCGTAAAGATACGCAGAGCAAAGTCCAAGCTCGAACAGGCACCGGCGTCCTCAAAGGACATGTGATTGTGTGTCAACGGCAAAAATGACAAAATGCCATCCAGGATGAACCCTAAGCTGGCCATTTGCTCTCCTTCTGTCTGCAGAGGGTGTTTGACTCGAAACCAGTCGGCTGATGACTTTGCTGTTGGAGACAATCCCTCCTGGCTGGTTTTGACGGTCTTGGCCATCCCCATGAGATTTTGAGCGATAATTCCTTCCGGACATGGGCGGCCTTCGTAGAGGTCTCGGGAGAGTCCGAATAGAGTGTTGAAAGCTTTGAACTGTGGCTCTGCTATTTTACCAGCTTTGAGCCAATCTTCCACAAGGCGGTCCCAAGGCACACAGTCCCGCCAGTGACTATAGCTCCGAGTGGGTTGATCCGAGAATGTGAGAAGAGACGGCTCATCCCTGTGAAAATCGGCTAGGAGCTCCATGCATAGGTTTCGTCGGCCGGTGGACGGGTCATTCTGTTCGACGGCAACGCGGTAGGTGACGAAACTCTTCGATTGGCGGAGTTGAACAGGTGTGCATATCAAGTTGTTTTCAGTATTTACTGCTCGGAGGTAATGCCCAAATGCCGAATATAAGTGAAAACCACTCGGGGCGGTCTTACACGCAGCGTGGATTGCAAGAGCGATGGCGTAGCCACCGTAGGCGATGGGTGCTAGATTACCCATCTTTTGCGGAAGATGGGTGGACACATAATGATCATGAATTTTTTGTTGCGATACATGTTCGGCTAAAGTGGTCGCCATGGTTGTGACTGGGTTGGAGGTATTCGAAGACAAGGGTAAATATGTCTAAACTTATACAGAAACCTATATTCTCTCTACCTCGGCTCAATGGGCCTTTCTACGGCAGCATATGAGATCTGATTTTTGTTTAGTTATCATAGACCCACTTCGGAATATGTTCGGTTAACAAAATCTGACCTTTTTTATCGGTACATCAGGATATATCCAAACATAATTATATTGATCAAGATATAGACAGATGCTGAGTGTAGAAAGCTTTTTGCTTTTTGCTTTTTTTGGGCCGACAGTGTCAAGTGATCCATGCGAGCCAATGCTGATTTTATCAAGGGGGCATGAAGGAGAAATTCTTTTATTCGTTGCTCTCAGCCTCAATTTGACGATTCTTCCTTATTACAGTCACAAACCGATTAGTTGTGTGAAGGGCCTTCAGGATCCATTGTATTTTTTTCCTACTCTTGAGGTAGAAATGGAGCATAGACCTAAATGACAGCGAGAAAGACATCAAGTTCACGTCAATTATGACTATCTAATAGTTAGAGTTGGAGTAAATGTCGCATAAAATAATATGCTGTTCCTACTATCTACCAGTGCTAAGAAACCCACATGATTTCATGCCCACAAAGACATTCGAAGAGCTTTCTCCACATCGAGAGGCCGCCATCCGGGCGAGCGACCAAGGCAAATGCACATATCTACCAAACCTATAGGTGATGAGATTAATTCAGGAAGTTGGTTCAATGCGGCAATGGTCTTACTTTTAATCAAATGCACGGGGCTTGCGGCTTGCATTGATACGCCCCGTCGTGCCTCCGTAGAACTGCCAGGAGCTCTGCCGATAAAATGAACCCCCCTCTCCTGGAGAAATCCTTCGAGATCTCGAATATCAAACCACTTTCCATCCATTTGTTCTTGAACCTCCGGGGAGAATTCGGTTAAAGGGTTCTCCCGAATTGAGGGTTGATTGTAGTCCCCCTGAGAAGCATTGTGGGAATTTGAGACAGATGGTGAAGAGGAGATATAATGAGTACCGGCTCCACCAACGGCAAAGAATGGAAGCGCCTGCCACTTCGTCATACGCTCCGGATAGATTCGAGCCTGTACCGAGGCTTCAAAATAGGATGTGAGTTCCTCGCGAGTCAAAATGCTGAGAAGGAACCGAAACTTCCTTCTGAGATCCTCCAATCTGACCGATGAATTGCGTAAAGAAATATACGCGTGATATGCGCACGCCAGACGAAGCTGACGGATAAACTGTGACAGCTCAACAACAGAGGTGGTGGGAATGTCGAACAGAAGCGGCGAGGCGGGGCCTAATGGCATTGGGGGATCACCGATCGTGGACCACGGAGACGGGTTAAGCAATGTAATTACCGGTGATCGATGAGGTGAATACAATGGAGCTAGAGATGAGGATAGGTGCTCTTGTCCTTGTTTTTGCGGCACACATGACGACGTCGAGCCTCCCTCGGCGGTAGAATAGGGCACCTGATCTTGTGCCGTGGTTAAACCAGCTTCCTCCGAAACATTATTACATGTCTCTAGGATATTGCGAATATGAGCATGGAGATCTGGGTGTGTAGCCAGAATTCCAGTTTCTCCTAAATTCTGTCCGAATGAACTGATAGCTGCATTCATCTTTTTCATGCCTGTCTCCAGTTGAGTGATCCGGGCCTCATATTTCAAAAGTGCGCCCTCTTGGCGGGTGCGATAGGCACGTTGTGCCAATCGTATTTGCGCCCGACGTCGCTACACCCACAGCAGTGATTAGCTAAATCTTGGAGATAAATTGAGAGAGGATAAGTGTTAAACAAACATCTGCGGGAAGTTCCTCGGTCTGGTCATTGTCGTCCTTTCGCGGTCTTCCGCGTTTCTTGCGTGATGATCCCTTGGCACTTTGCGAACTGCGCAGAAGATTTTGCCCCTGTGTTTGTCCAAGCTGTTCATATGGACCAGACGGATTATGGTTTCTCTCGGGATCGCTATTTCTAGTTCCTGGCGAAATTATGTTGTGCCCTGATGGTCCTTCCCCGAAGTCAGATGTTTGCAGACTGTGTCCCTGCAAAAGGTAGGTAGAAGGCAATAAATCCTCCGCAGAAAGGGTTGAATCTGACAGTGAAATATTACGCATTGTCAAAGAGTACTAGGAACAATGGGGGGTTCTAGAGAGTGGGAGGTTTTCCAGGGGGCAAGGGCTATTATTATTAATGAAATTCACCCAAGCATAACTGACTAGGTTAACTAACTTAGTTATGCGTCTACTCTCCGACCTTATTTTTCAGGCGCAATTTTTCAAAGGCATAACTAACTAGGGATTCCAAGAAATTATTTGGATTCGGCAACATGGCAATGTAGTAGTTCTTTCTGATTTCCCAGTGTGGCTCGAACCATGTCCCAGCCCTAGCATGTTATACTGCCTTTGCCTAACACATTTGAGAAATAATAAAAGCTAAGATGGGGAAAAAGACTAGTAGAAAGACATTTAAATGGTATTGAGAAAAGAAATTTTGAAGAAATATAATTCTCACTAGGCTTCTGACGTTACTTAGTTAGTTAGGTGAGGTGAGGTAACTTGATAGGTTTATGCCGGGCAGTACGGAGTACCTACATATACCCCCTGTTGGAGCGGTCCTGTCCACCAAGAAAGGCCCGCCCCGCCCCTCCACTTTTCTCGGCATATGACGATATCCCGCCAAGTCCAATCCGGAACAGAGTCATGACGGAGGCCAAGAGTCAAATATCGAGATTGTCGCTGCATCATGTTTTCACGAACCGAGCTACTTGGCATTGGCTCAGGCAGCTACATTACTCCGCTGTAGTCTGTCGCATTTAACCCGGCATTGCCCCAAAAGACAAATCACTAGATTTTACCTCCATACCGATACCCATACATCATGGATCAGACCTACAAGCCCACGGAATCGGCGCCTGCCGTACGAATCATGGTCCTAGAGACCGACATACCTCACCCAGACACACAGTCGGCCCGCGGCTCCTTTGGCCAGATACTACACAACCACTTCGCCAAAGCCGGACGCGCCCACCATCCACCTCTAGAAGTAGAGACAGACCAAGTCTACGTGGTGACCGAAAAAGGTGGCCGAATGCCAACCGTGGATGATTTTGACCGCTTCGACGGCCTCCTCATCACGGGGAGCGTGTACGATGCACATGCGAACAACGAATGGATCCTACAACTGCTAGACCTCCTTAAAGCCCTCTGGATCAAGCGCCCCGACTTCCACTTCGTGGGCGTCTGCTTCGGCCACCAGCTCCTTGCCCGCCTTCTCGGTGGATCTGTTGCGCCTGCGCCCTCACAGGATTGGGAACTCGGTCACTGTCGCATCACGCTGACGCCCGTTGGCCAGCGTCTCTTCCGTTCGCGCAAAGACCACATTTATCTCCACCAGATGCATCAGGATCAGGTTGTCGCGCCGCCTACTTCCGCGTCTGCGGGACCCGACATGCTTCCCCCGAACACGGAGGTTGCTTGCTGGGGCCGTAGTGAGCATACACCGGTTCAGGGATTGTATATTCCGAACAGATTATTCACTACGCAGGCGCATTTGGCCTTCGACGAGGATATGGTGAAGCGACAGATCCAGATCAGGGTAGATAGTGGCGGGATCAAAGACCTCGAGCATGCGGATCGGGCGGCTGAGACGGCACATCTAGAGCATGATGGTGTTGAAGTTGCTAAGGCTGTACTGCGGTTGTTTTCATATGACCATGACGAATGAGCGAAGGACTGCTGTAGTACCTCCACCTCTTGGCACCGCCACACCACCTACTGTTCCCGCTAGTCTTTCATGTGCGTATATATAGACGTTGGTAATAGAGTCCTACCCATTCATCCTCGTAATTTTGTTGGAGTTTTCAATTCGACTGAAAGGCCTACGATTGTAGTAGTCGAGGATTCTTAGCATTTTCAACACAAATCCGTCCAGATCTCTCTCCCACAACCAGGCGAAAGCTTTGATTCGTAGAATTGTGGCGGGGTTCAAACATGCAGGGCTAGAAAGGGGGTTTCAATCTTCATTCATACAATGATGTATACAAAACCATGCTTACCCAGCAATTAGATCTAATACGCGGGAGACAAGGAGAGGAAGAATCCATTTATTCGGTGAATGAAGTCAAGGAAAGACACCGTTTCTCTCAAGAATCTGGCTTGAATCTTGGTAAACCTTAAAGAGTATACAATGAGAATGCTGACTTTGACTCGAGTCAATCTAGTGTTCAAAGACATACTACAGGAATAACTCATCTTCAATGGTATCGCGAGATGGCCCCATATCAAGAAGCTGGAGAAGTCGTAATAAGACATCTTATTTGGTAGTTGAAAATGAAAGTAGCTGTCGTATGTAAGCTACATAATTACTTAGATAACTAGAGTCCTGATAGTTAGTGCAGATCATATTATGCAATGGTGATCACCTGGGCAAGTCAGGGTACTTGGGGGTCTACTAAGCAATATTCAATTTTAAAAGCGCCAAGATTTGAGCACTAAAGCAGAAGTATTAAGTACCAGGAATCATCTGGCACCTACATATATGTATGTATGTTAGAATGTCATACATACAAAATGCATAAACGATGTGCCAAGAAGCTAAGGTGGGGCAAGATCATCATGATAAGATAAGCGGTGCACTGCTACAGGGGAAATTATTTCTCCCCTTACATGAGATTCTTTCATCCCCAATTCATCCCATTCACCCCATTCACCCCATTCACCCCATTCACCCCATTCATCTCATTCATCATGGAGGAACATCTGCGTCACAGTCTTTCCAACCACCCTCATGCCTTCCAGAGTTTACATCATAGTCATAGCAACTCACCGTCACACCGGGATAGAATGACTCCGCTTTCTATCAATGAAGGTACCACAACTGCGCTTGAACACGAGCTCACCACCATACAGCAACACCGTGGTGGCAGTTCCAGTGACGAAGAAGGTCAACCTCCACCGCGTTACACCCCTGAAACCGATCCGTTCCAGCTTGCCTCGAAGTTGAAGACCGAGGATGAGATTCGGCAGATGAAAGCCAATACCTCGCGGAAACGGGATTCCACTACAAACAAAAGCCGGAGAGTAGGATCCATAGTGCAGGACACTGCCCGTCTTGGAAAGCAGGCCTTTGTCACCAAGAAGCTGCAAGGCTTCTACGAGTCCCAAAATGAAAACATCGAGCGTATGCTGAAGCCCGTCGAGGAGCACCGACGTGCCGCCCGCGAGTTGAGCGTCGACAACCGTCTCAAGTACCGCATCGCGGTTTACGGTAGTTTTGCCGCGAATATCATTCTTTCGGTCGTTCAGGTGTACGGTGCCGTGTCCTCCGGGTCACTCTCTTTGTTCACCACAATGGCTGACGCCATCTTCGACCCCATGTCCAACCTGACCCTCCTGCTGTGCAACAAGGCCGTCAACCGCGTTGATCCGCGCAAGTTCCCGGCTGGAAAGGCCCGCCTTGAAACCGCGGGCAATATCTGCTTCTGCTTCCTTATGACCGCCGTCTCTTTCATCATCATCGCCTTCTCTATTCGCGCACTGGTGGTGGGCTCCGAGGAAGAAACTCAGTCTTTCCACCTCCCATCCGTTATTGCTGTCGCCGTCGCCTTTGCCACCAAGTTGGGCCTTTTCCTGTACTGTTGGGCCCTACGCAACCAGGTCTCGCAGATCCGCATTCTGTGGGAAGATCACCGCAACGATCTGTTTATCAATGGGTTCGGTATTCTGACCTCCGTCGGTGGTAGTAAGCTTCGCTGGTGGATCGATCCTATGGGTGCTATCCTTCTGTCCGTGCTGGTCAGTGTGCTGTGGCTGCACTCTGCCTATGGCGAGTTCCAGTTGCTCGTCGGTGTTACTGCCGACACTAAGATGCAGCAGCTCATCACCTATATTTGTATGTTCATTCCCTTTCAGCTCTTTTAAGCTCTTGGTAACACCATCCACTAACATTCCTAGCCATGACCCACTCTCCTGTCATTACTGCCATCGATACGGTCCGTGCATACACCTCTGGTCCTCGCCTGCTGGTCGAGGTAGATGTCGTCATGGATGCGGAGGCTTCTCTGCGTGCCACCCACGACGTTGCCGAAGAGCTCCAGATTAAGCTCGAGTCGCTGCCCGATGTTGAGCGTGCTTATGTGCATGTTGACTACGAGACTACTCACAAGCCTGAGCATTCCCTGAAGAAGGAACTGTAGGGACTTTGCTTGAGACATGAATTGGACCGGCTTTTTCATTTTGGAGACCGTTAAAACGCGAACTCAACCCATTGCTTCAATTTTCTTTGGTGTTATCTTATTGAAAAACACATACATAACTTGGAATATCATGTCTTCACTAATGTCTCTTCTGGTGCCATTTTTACTCTTGGGGTCTTTAATTAGGTAAAGCAGTGGTTGGCCAATCTCAAGCTGACTGCCCGAGCTATACGACAGCTAAGTGGTTCAGTCCCTTGAGGTTGCCGAGTCTTATATTGGGCCTAGAAATCCCTTCCTGCTGTCAATAATAGACATATTCAAGATGAGCCTGCGTAGGGTGCTTTCCTTTGAAGTCTCCGATGCTCAACTAGGAGGTGCCTTCCCTTTTAAGTACCGGGTGCCTTCCTTAAATATCAAAACTCGTCACCTACCTTTCCCCCATTTACCTTCAGTCGCCAAAATATAAATACCTGCCCTTTCCCACTTTCTTTCTTCTTTTTTTCTTTCTTCAACTCCCCACATGGATCTTTGCCGCGGCCCAGGTTAGTCTGACACTAGAGGGACACAGTCCCTCTAAAGGCACGAAGCATGTTGTGGCCCGGACACAGTCCCCCTACAACCTCTGTGGATAACTGACCGTACTTTCTTGGGTACTCCATCGACCATCGGGCGTTTCGTAGCGTAGCCCCCACTCCACTATCCCTTTGCCCCCATTCTTCCCAAACCCCAGTTGCACGGGTCCTGTGTGCAACACCTGAGCAAGACTTGCGCCTTTACGTGGTGTTCAGGATAAGTAGCCTTGATGGTGAAACCAAGCAAGTCATTATCTAGTACAATAAAGGATTCACATTTCAAAACATACTCTGTGTCAAGTTCCCTAGTAACATGTAAACATTTACACCAGTATAGTGGAGACATCCCCTTGTCTCCTCGACAACCAAAACAACATTCCCTGCCATTACTGTCTACACTGCACATCACATTGTAAGCTTCAATATCATCTATATTGTATGGATCCTTGTTCTAATGTGACATTTATGTCCTAATCTAGCTCTGTAGGTACACACACATAACGTATGGACATTCTATCCCCGTGATGGCACCTGTGTACACACCACAGTCAGTGCACGCTGCAACTCGCCCAAATTTCGTAGTAAACGTGTATTCGACTGTCCACCCAGATTCTTGTCACCCATAATCTCAGCAGATTATACTCGACGATAGAGAGCCTGACACACCTGAGATAAAGTCTGCACCTCGCAAAGCAGTAGCTGGGCCTTCACTTTTGTCTCCGTGGCACGGGATAGATTGAAAACGCCAGTCGTCAATGGAATAGTCAACGGGACAGTATATTTCGTACTTTCAGACGGTTGCGAGGGTGCTGTAGAGTGCTGATCCCCAGACTGGCTGCTATCCGAATGATGTCGTCGTGAGCTCATGTCTTCGCAACCATTCGGCAGCGGAGTGTTTGACACGACTAGCCTGCCAATCTCAGATTCGTACAGAGCTTCGTAGCAGCTCAGGACTTTCAAAAGAACAGATCCGAGAACCAGGAGCATTGAAGGATCCTGTGTGCAGGATCTGCCGATGCAATTTAATAATTGAGAAACAGTCTCTGTGGCAGTTCGAGTCGTGCAGAACATAACATCGTTTGCATGTTCCTCCTCCCGGGTTGGTGGTTTTCGCATGCTGCGAGATTGAGTATCGTTGGTTGCGTGTCCATTCGCATTCACACACAGTCCGACTGAACGAACTGATACAGCGAAGAGAGCGTCCATACAAGGTTCCCGTTCATCTTCCGAGTCCTCTGACCGTTCGTCGCCCTGTTCATCTCCGTCATCGTCGTCCACCTTCCCCATCTCATTATAATTGGAATGGTCGTGTTCTCCGTGGACATGCGATGGGAGGGAACCGAGATCGTCACCATCGGTCACCATAGGATCTAACCCGACCATAGACCAAGAAAATCCCGGCCTTGAATGCGAGGTTCCTGAATCCTCGTTCGGTAGTCATTGATATGGATTCAAGCTGGGAGTCGAGCTATTTGGTGTGTTCCTTTCCCATTGTGTCGAATAATTGGCCGATGGGACTGTTGAAGACTGATACCAAGGACAGCTGTAGTTATAGTTGGGTTGGTGGCGATTCGGCCCTGTGGGCCAAGATAGTGGAGCTTGCGTTGGAGCTGGAGGAGATACCGGGACTTGAGACAAAGAATGGAGCGGATAGGCGGTAGTCTTGTTGGAAGGTGGTTTACCCTTTCGTCGCGATCGCCCGTACACGCATTTTAGGCCATTTCGAGCGCAGCGGGAACAGCCGTGCTGCTCTTTGGTGCAGCGCACCTTCGATGCTGCACAGGGGTCGCATGAAGTTCGAAATGGAAGTGGTTGGGGTTTGTTGGTATTCTTCGTGTGATTTTGGTGATGCGACTACGTCTGCATCTCTGTCGAGGGAGTCAGAAACATGATTAAGATGAAGATGGTGTTGCTTAAGTTCTTCAGCGTTTTTTCTTTTTTGGGGGATCTTCAAGAGATTGGGGATAGACCTTGTCGTGAATAAGCCACAGCTTACGTTGATTCGATTGAATCAGACGCAAAGGATTGAATCGGGCGAATAACATTCCCGTATACCAATCTCCAAGGATCTTAGTGCTCATGATACCCTCAGTGTTCTTGGCCCCATTTCCTTTCTTTTTCCTATTTGGTCACAATCTCTACAGAGTGCTCCGTGGACATCGCTCTCTTGACTTCCAACACCGAGTCTTGAACACTCATTGGAAATCCTACTGCTTTATGTATAAAAGGAATTCGAGGTGCACCGACTCGGGAATTTAGGCATATCAGACCCACATGGCTTCGGGTTCCGAAGGGGATTTTCACGATCTACCCGTTATATATATCCTATAGCATCGGGTTTATACGAAGAACATAAGCTCACTGGATCGGACTCTCCATGCTCCCAGGTTGTCTTTTTCCACCGTGTTTCGAGAATTTTGAGCTACAGCGCATAGATCACAAGGTAGGTTCCATGGCATTGTATATCATCGCATCAATCACAGAAATGAAGAGAAAGTCTACTAATGATCTCATTCATGAAAAAAGCCGAGTTCGGTGGTATCAAGCAGAACTGAGAAGACCGTGTAAATGCAAATCCCGCACGACGACAATTTGAGAGAAAGAAGTGTCTAGGACGAACATAGGGACAGGAAGGTAGAAAAGAAAAGGGAGACTGGATCTCATACAATGGTGGGGAAGGTACAAAAAAAAGTAGTGGTATTGTTTACAACAATGAATGAGAACAGGGATAATAAGAATGATTTCAGGGGGAAAAAAAGAATAATCTAAGCAGACTGTTCAAAGAGCGCGATGGTGGAGCAATAGTTGCTCTTGTTTGGTTTTCCAGGGACCAGAGCTTTGCCATTGGACGAGGTGACCATGTTGACAGCGGCCTTGGTGCTGAGACCGTACAGCTTGACATCGGAGCAGTCGACCTCAACCATGTTCTCCTGACAGTCCTCGGAGTTGAGGCAGGATTGGGCGTAGTTCTCGAAGAAGCTGTAGAGACCGGCGCCGTAGACGAAGACATCCTCGGAGCCGAGAACACGCAGACCCCAGGCTTTGCGGCAGGAGTTTGTCGTGCAGTTTGAGAAGTCGGGGTCGTTCCAAGACTTTTGTGGGGTGAAGGGAGTCAGTGAATTCGGGTTCGACTGGTAGTACGGAGTCTCGGTCTGGATCAGTCCCATGAAGACGTTCTTGGCACTGGAGACCTGGTAGTTGTACAGCTGGTGGTGCTCCGAGGAGGTACCCCACAGCCAGACGGGGTTTTGCGACTCGATGAGCACACCACGGCCGGTATACACATTGATCTGGTTGTGATCCTTGAGATCCAGCTCGTGATCGGCGGTCCAGAACCAGGTGTTCTCGAGGTACGCACTACCCTTTTTGGTGATGTGCAGGAGCATGAAGGCGGCCATGCACTCCTTCTTGGGGGTGGTCTTCTCCTTGGGGGTCTTGGGGCAAGTGTCACTCTGCAGCTCGGTACCAGCGGCGCCACCGATGCGGAAGTGAACATCCCACATGCCAGCGGAACCTTGGGAAGAACCAGCAACGTTCCACTCCATAAGGATAGCTCCAGCGGCGGGACCCTTGGTGGTGATGATAAGGTCGCTCATCTCGACAGAGCCAATGTCACCCTTTTGACCGACCTGGAAGACCGGAACAGGTTTATCTTGGTTGGCGAACTTGGGGCCGTGTGCCATGAGCATGGGCCAGATCTCACCAGTGATCTTGATATCCTTGGGAACCTTGATGGTGGAGGTTATGACATAGGCACCGTGATCAAAGTAGATGACCTGACCATCCTTGTAGCTGTCAAAGATCTTTTGGATGGCCGCAGTGTCGTCAGTAGTTCCGTCACCCTTGGCGCCGGCCGACTTAACGCTGATAAAGGAGGAGGCTGCAAGGTTCTCGTAAAGAGGCTTCGAGCGTTCAAAGATGGCACCCCCCTTGAGCAGGCTGGCAGGCTTGGAAGAAGTCTTCATAGTGCTCTGTGTGCGGGCAGAGGCAACGGCGTGTGCGGCACCGCAAGTGCCAGTGCTGCTATCACTGCCAGACTCGGGGCCCTGGCTAACTTGAGAGCCGCTACCAGTGCTTTGAGCGGATGCAGCACTCGAGGTCACAGGTACAGCAGGTTGGTGGGCAGAGGCCACACTAGAGGGTGAAGAATGACCAGACGCCGCGGAATTGACAGGGTGCTCACTGGAAGGAGCAGCTGCGGGAGTAGGCTCGGCGACGTCGGCGGGAGAAGAAAGCTTAGGGGAGCGATCGGTATCGCTGCTGGTACCAGCACCTGGGGCAGGCGAAGGAGCGGCAGCAGATCCAGCTGATGCAGTCTTTGCAGGGGCAGGAACCTCGCCACCGGCAAGGCTGGCGCTGGGAAGGCCATGGGAAGCGCCACAGACATGAATAGTCTCCGTAACGGTCTCGACCACCGTTACCACCTGAGGTTGAGCCTCGCTGGCACGCTTGTTGATAGTCTTAGACGGGGTGTAAGTGTTACCCTGGACCCAGTTGTCGATGACAGATCCACCTGCCAGGATAGTATTGCCATTGACACCAGCCACGGCAACCTTGGAGCCAGAGAAGTCCACGTTATCCAAAATGAGATCACCACCACCAACGGGGATGCTCTTCTGCGTCCAGGCAGTCACGATACCAATGGGGGTGTTGGTGAGCTTGCTGTCCAGCATCAAGACAGAGCCAACAGTCTGATTGGAAGGTGAGGTGGACATATTCAGACCAACCTCGCAGTTGTTGATCTTGACCGACTTGAAAGTCCACGCCCAGTTCCAGTTCATGTAGATGGCAGTCTGGCAGTCGTTGAAGATCAAGTTGCGGGTGGTGAACTGTTGGTTACCGAGGAACATGCCGTAGTTACCGCCGTTGAAAGTCAAGTCGGACATGAAACCACCAGATCCGTTGTCCATAAAGATACCCTGCTGCTTGTTGGCTTGACCACCACCCTTGACCATCTCGAAGCGAATGTTTTGCAAGCTCGTAGCCTGGCCGACCTGCCAGTGGATACCAGCACCGGAGCCAGCGGGCATGCCTCTCAGATCAATGACCAAGTCACGAATGGCGCGGAAGAAGTTGTTCTGGTTGGTGAACCAATTGTCGCCGTTGTCCTCGTAGGGATCGGAGTCAATCACAGCCATACCGGCGAACTTGGGTGAAGCCTTAATGACGGGCAGCTCGACAGCATCACCGACAATCTGAGTGTAGTAGTACTGGGTGATAGGCTTTGAGACAACATAGGTACCAGGCGGAAAGTAGACGATAGCAGGAGTGGTGGTAGAGGAATCACAGCCCTTGCCACAACGGCCTCCAGAAGACATAGCCTTGTTGATAGCGGCAGTGTCGTCGGTGGAGCCATCACCTATGATATAGTCAGCAGGCTGTCCGAGGGTATAGAGTTTGGACGAATGACTGACCCTTGGCACCATAGTCCTTTACATTTCGGAAGATCTTGTAGTCGGGCGTCTTAGCGAAGGGGACGATACCCTGACGCTCAACATTGGCGACCCAGTAGCTTGAGGCAGCTCTCTTTTCGGTTGTTGCCAACACGTTAGTGACCGGAGAAACTGGGACGGCGACTGGTACAGCTGCGACCAAAGCGGCTGGCAAACCGAGCAAAAGGATGAGATGGGCGACAAAGATCGCGATGGAGGTCTGTAGAACGGCCATGTTGAAAATGAGTAACGCTGGACCAGCAGCGTAGAAAATGTCTTAAAAAAAAAAAGGACTAGAGAATGAAGATAGTTCAGCAACCAGTGGAGAAATGGAAATAAGAATCGAGTCCAGCGCTTAACCAGCAGCGATATGCAGAGAAGATTTAAAGAGTCAATCTTCAGATGCACTTTCCCAAAGAAAGGAAAACAATAGCCCAAAGAAACGAAGAGAATGAATGAGATGAATAGAAAAGAAAGAAGAAAAGGGTAGGAAATAGGACACAATAGAGATGAGAATCATACCTATAAGAAAGGCGTTTGCACACTTCCCCTTCAACCAATCACACACAACACAGCCCTGAAGTGCACCACCAACCCACCAATCAGGAACCAGAAGCTGTTGATCCTGAAGCTTGAAACGTGATAGTCCGAAGTTGAAACGCTGAAGGAGATCGGTGTTGCAGGTTGAACTTTAGATAGCGCCGGACAATGTTTCGAATTGTATTGCCTAGAGTGATAGGCAATTTTCAATTCTATGGAGAAACAGAACAGTTGAAATAAACAAGGTACGGGGTCTACGCGCTATATAACTAGATTCATCCCTAAACAGGGTATGCTGGATCATCCATTCCAGTCATCTGGGCTGTTAGGGAGCATTGCAAGCGCGTATCACTATGCCCTTGACCCGGGGTGGGTCCCCCTTTGCTATTGAATACTATACATTAAATAGTGCCGATGATAGCCCGCGATTCCCTAGATTTGTCACGTTTGATCAAACGCGAATTGCTTTTAAAAGCATGTGTAATGCACACATGTAGCACAAACCAGACTCGACGTATCGAGTCAATGTGTATATCCCCCGAGTATTGTCAGGCCAAGTGTGCCAAGGTCAGCAGTGTTGTTATGGATGAACATTCCGGGGGGTTTGAAGGATTCCTAATGACGGAGGACAAGAAGTCAAAGCCATAACCCCAAGTCACTCTGGAATTCCCCAACTTAAGGGTTAAAAGAGAGAGAAGGAGAAAAGTGTGAAGGCCAAGCTTTGCCCCCACTCAACCCCCTGAGGAAACCTGAGGAGACTTCGGGATTGGCTTGCCCTTCTGTCTCGCGTCTTATTGCCCTTATTGCCCCTGGAGAGAATTGTAGGCCTCTAAAGGCTGCCCTGGCGATGTTCGCCTTTTAACTGATCCAGGTTCCAAAAATAACCCTTGGAAGCGCCCAACTCAAAAGGTCTGTACAATACCCGACGCAGAGCCTCACGTACACTTGTACAGTATCCAACTTCGGCTTGTATGAGCTGGCAAGGCTACGTTTAATTTTCTACTTAAATTTTCTTAAATCTTGTTATACGCCACGCGTCCATAGTGGACACGGTACGGACCGTGCTCTGGAACAGCTGGCGTGGCTACGATGTGGCGTCCACATCCAACGCATCAATACTCCGTACCTAGACCTGGGTACGAATGATACGGTGGAGAACACGCGCTAGCCTACGCATTCCCTCGGTCAAGTGTCGTGGCTCTTCCCACGCAAAACACAAACGCAGATGATCCGTAAACCTCTCCTCAGTCACCTGAGGGTCCGGCACCTGGAACAGATCACCCGCACACAAACGCAGATTTTCTTCGCTCTGCGCTCGCTGGACTACGTCGGCGGCGAGTAACGGCGCTGGTAGACCAATCCACATGAAGTAGCCTCCAGCTGCGGCGGCAGGTGCTGGGACTGTGACGCCCAACGGGACGAGATGCTCGTGGATTGCTGATAACAAGGTATGATAGCGCTCGGCGTATTTCGGTTGGAGGACGTCGCGGATGTGGTTATGGATGCCTGTGGGGAACAGCTGGTCAATGATAGCGGCGCATAAATGGGAAGGAGCGCCGCCCGATCGGGAAGAGCCTCTGTAATATCGGGTTAGTCTGCAATTCCGTATCCGAGAAAGGGTCAAGTCATCCCGGTGCCCCATACGTTTGTGATAATCCATAAGCAACCTTTTCCGACGCTTCCGCCCAGCCGGTGCGAGCCCCAGGCCCGATCAGCTTGCTGAAACTGCCGTTGCTTAGTGCGTGTCCCCATTCATCCTGTGGACCGCCGTCCAAGTAACGGTCCACGTCAACAATGCGCGGAACACATGCGCGGTTGCCGAATTTCTTCTCCCCTTCCGGCTTCGGCGACCACTGAAGGAAATCGTACACATCATCCGTAACGATCAGCGCATCGTACTGACGGGCGAGACGAACAAGCGCCTCACGTCTACGCAGCGACATGATCTTCCCAGAGGGATTCGCAAAAGTCGGCACGGCGTAGATAACGTGCTTGTAGATTTTGCGCCAGGCCCTGGGCGGTTTCAGTTTCTGCAGGGAAAGAGGGGCAATGTCAGCCCGGGACTCAATAGACGATGGCACAGTGGCATGGCACGGTGACGGGCGTGTCAGCTCGGACTGATCATAGGCGTAGGATTATCGTACCGGCTCAGTATTCCCAGCGCGCAGAGCGATATCTTCCGCAGCGCGTAACCCGCTCTCCAGCACCGCAATATCGACGCCCTCATCATCTTCGGGGACTCCCCGTAGACGCCCGGCGAACCCGGCGTCATCCATAACCCGCGCAGCCAGGTGATACGTCGGTGCGACCATCCATACATTTCGCGTGTAGACCGGGTCTGTGAAGGTTTGCAGCACACATGCTAGGTTCTGGCTAGCCCCGCCGGTGATGCAAATGCGCTGCGATGAGACGGGCTCGCGCGGCTGGTAGAAATCGCTCAGCCATGCGGCTATGTGTATGCGCAGTGGCTCGTATCCTTCATCGGGGCCGTAGAGCAGGGCTGGGTTTGCGATTGAGGGATTGGATAGTACGGCCGTGGCGGAGTGACGGAGGTTGGGGGCGGGGAGCAGCGCAGGGTTAGGCCAGCCGATTTGGAGGTCAATGGGCTGGTCGGGAGAAACGGTGAGGGTCATGACGAGTATATCAATAGATATCTAGATAAAAAAAATAATATGTGCTTATGTATAGGCTGAAAATAGGTTAATGCTCAAGAGCTTGACTTTATGTGACGAGGTGGGCACCGATGCATCCGAGATCGGGAAGTGAATGGTTCAGGGGGTTAACAGGTACAGGAACACGAGAATTGGCAACATTTGTATTATATGAGAGATCTATATGGAATTAAGTTGTATATATTAAGTTCTATTAAGTCAACCTTAGAATATATATCGAGCCATGTCATAAAAAGCTTTGATACCAGGTATGCACTTGTATCCCTATTTAGTAGCCTGATCGTGTTTTATATACGAACTATAATTGGGTGATCGGAAATGCTGGTGTGAGAGATGTAAGTTAATTTCTACTTCCTATGTTCCAGCAATTGTTATCCTATATATACATATGTATATCTTTTCCAGGTTTCTTCTTATATCTTATACAAAGGAATTGTATATAAATGATCATCTTTGTATTTTAATGGGTCCACATCCAAGACATGCACCAGGGAACTTACAAGGTTCTTACATGTAGTTCTATTATTGGCATCGAATGTTGCCATTATTTTCTTGTATTATATATCAATGTATTGTAATATATTGTATAAAATCAAGGCTCCGATATTATTTATTTTTAAGTGAACTTCTCTCCCCCCCTAATTCTCTGTCCTGATTTTTTTTTTCGTTCAGCTTAGCCTCATTCCCTAGCTGTGAGGTCAGACAAGTTTCCCTGTCATTCTTCCAATCCCTCCTGCCGATCCATTCCGCCCCCCTAAACCTCCCCTCACCTGACAATTCCCATGCGGGAGTGACCTTCTTTACCGGGTCTTCCCAACTTATCCTCACAGCATATTTATCAACATGTTGTCGGCTCCCGTTAAGTCGGCGAAGCGGATCTCGTCCCTGTTTTCCCTGGGATCCAAAGATCGGGACTCATCCTCAACCGTGTCTTCGCCAGTTTTGAACTCAGAAAACAACGACAACCGACGCCGGAGTAGCTCAAAACCCACTCGCCATGTCTCGACCCCCAATCCCACCTTCTCGGAGCCCCGAACCATGCCCGATAACCTCGATATGGAGAGCCTACCTCCGCCTCCTTCACTGCTGGCGGTGAACCAAGATTTGGCCAACAGCACTCCCAGTTCGCCCGTTGGCCGGCCGCAGAGCAGAGGTCGTGATATGAGCAGGCCCTCCAGCTCTGCAGGGTTAACTATCCCCGGATCGACTCCGGATTCCCGCCCCAGCACACCGTCGAAGCGCAGAAGTTGGATGCCAGGCCGTTCGCGCGCCAGCTCAATCGATAAGCGACCAACACCCATGCTCCCGGCTGCTTGGATCGCCGGGCTAGACCAGAAGGTTGTTTATGATCTGACGCCATTGTCAAGAGGAGAGCAGGTATGCATACAACCTAGTTCCGTTTTGAGGTACTTTTCAAGTTAATCGTTTATTTTTTTTTGTTACTTTTCAGATCCAGGAACTGTGGAACGAACAAGGTGACACTTATGTGTATATGTTCCCCCAGAATACCGGACGCGCCCCATCGTTCAAGGTCGATTCCACCATATTTGCCGAGTCCCCCTCCCTCACCTATCTAGCCCGCGGCACCGATGGCAAGAGCGGCCTCGAGCAGCAAACCCGATCATTATCACTCAACCCAGTGTCTCCGCCCATGTCGCCGTTGGACGGTCAGCCCGAAAACGACAATGACAACGACAGCGCGGGAAGCCAAAGAATGGCATTCGAAGATACACCCGAGGAAGTGCAGGAACTTCATCTTTATCTCCCCATTCCGCTCAACTGCGATGTGTCCAACCCGCAAGCGAGACTCACGCCAGAGGACATAGAGACTCTTCTTTTGTTCCGCAACCTTTTCGCATTCCTGCTCGGCCAGTCTTTGATTGCCTCTCCCAAATCATCTACTCTTTTCTCTATTTTCATGGATGTGGCGGTCCTTTTGGCCCGTTTCGAGTTCTCCAACTTGGACGCGTCCAACTTTGGTGAAACTGCCACCTCCAGTTTCAGCAACTACTGTGAAGAATTGCGCCTTGCAGATGTCCGTCGAAGCAGGGAGAAGACGATCGAGGCTATCGTCTTGGGTGAACGTCTGCGCTACTATCCGCTGTATGTCGAGGGCTTTGTCCATGGTGTTGGAAAGCTCGATGAGCTTAAGCAACTGCGGAGCCCTAAATATACCTTCATTCACCCTATCACGCAGAAACGCATGGAGCGCGCGTTCATCGATCTCGACACCCGTCTGCGCGGTCTTTACGGCAAGCTCGAAGACTTCGATTTCCCCTCTGTATTCTCGGGTATCGCCAACTCGACTACCTCGGAGGAAAGCAAAGTGGTGCGCTTCAAGAACTGGAAGACTGGATTTCAAGAGTTCCGCCGCTTTACAATCCAATACTACCGACAGAAGTACGGCTCGTGGCCGCCCAAGGCTCGGTCGAAGAAGAACGAGTTTGAGGAGAACGGACTTAACCGTCTTCTCCTCTTGGATTTGTACCATGACTTCACCGATCTATACGATTTGATGGTGGACCGCACGTCCCTGACGACGCGTACAATTGATATCTCGGGCGCGGGCAGTGACTCAGTAGATTCGTCTGATCCAAAGCAAATGACCGTTCGTGCTTTGCGACAGGTTCTCTCCGAGTATGACCGCAGCACCCCACCAGTGCTTCCTCCTATTCCATTCGATATTCCCCAGTTGCCTTCGCTGCAGCCCTTGCACCGGAAACCGCTCGACGCCAAGAAGGAGGCCAAGCAGAGCGTCAAGAAGCTCAAGAACTCCGACATCAACGCTGTCCTGATGGGATCCTATACCCGGGAGGCCATGCGGCCCACTCCTTTCATTGAGAGCTTCATGCAATTCGAGCGTCGCTCCGCGCACGGCAAGAATGTGAATGACATTACCGACCTCCGATGTGGCCAGTGGATCTTCCTATACGCCGTGATCCAAGCTCTCCCCATGCTGGTGGTGGATGTCCCTGATGTTCACTTCAACGATGGCGTGGAGTATTTCCTTTGCATTGCCCCACGTGGCGGTGCTCCCTGGATTCACAACGACACCAAGACTGCTCGCAGCTGGTTCGGAGTTGCAGGCGGTGCTGGTGTTGTTAGCTTGCCGTCTGATGTAGTCATCAACGGAGTGGAAGGCGTATACCGCCGCAGTCATTGCTGGCAAGTCGCCGAGCAGTGGGCGGAGGCGGGATTTCTTCTTGATCCACCTATGGTGGAAGACGCTACATACGACGACGAGGAGTCCTCTATATCATCACCTTACCCGGGCCATCAATCGTCGGCTGGATCTTCTTCCGAGCCTTACCCGAACCCGATGATGGTCCCCGGTGGGCTCACCCCGCCCCCTCCAGCCATTCCACGAACCCGCTCGCCTGCCGCTGCCCAGCGTTCTGAGCATCGCCACTCATTCTACCCTGGATTGGAAGCCTTGCCCCTTCCTGCGGGCATTGCTCCCATCGAGCCTCCCACACGTCCGATTAGTCGATTCAACCCGAACATGAGTTTCGACGATATTCTCAAGGAAGTCCCGAAGAAGGACAAGAAGAAGCACTAAATACCATTGTCTTGTGTCTTTTCTTTATGATTAGATTCCATGGCACTACGATACGGCTTGCATACTCAGAATACAAACTTGTTTTGTCACTCTGACTTTCCATACTCTTGACCGTTTCATTTTTCTGTTGATAGGCGCATTGTGTGACGAATTACTGGGCTGGACCGGTGCACAGGGAAGCGGAAACAAAAAGCAACAACTTTTTAATTCATGGGGCATGAAGAAGTACATCATAATTATCAGCATATCGGCATCAACATGTCCGGAGGAGGGGCTTTTCTTTTTCACCTTGTCATTTTAATTTTTCTGCTTTTCTCTTTGGATTCCCCTGTAGTTTGAGGATAGAAACATAGATTCTAATATCTGTACATTTCAGTAGTTTATTTCTTTTGCGTAGATTGTATATCTATAGTAGGTCATTGAGTTGTCCTGGATCCATGGTTCGAGCTCGAGTTACCAAGGTCCTAATTTTCTTGTTTACACTATAGTTGAGCCTCATGGCCTTCCAAGTCATTGATGTCTTTCTAGTGGTATTTTCAGTGGTCTTCTCAGATATTCTGTTTAGGTGTCTTTCTAGATATTTTCTCCTCGGTTTTATAGGTTAACGGCAGACAGAAAGCGGGAAGGCTTAATTTGCGAAACCAACTTTTGCATGTATAACATTTGAGACTTTTACTCCGTACACAAATGTCTCTTTCAAAATATCCAATCAAATCGCGAAACCATGCATATGCCGAGGCCAAACCCACTAAAGCAGGAAATACGAGAGGGATCAGCCACACAGCCTCTTTCCCTTTATCGCCGTCGGTTGCAGAATCCCCATGGGATTTTGAGCTAATGAAAGGACCTTCACGACCGCAGATCTCTTCCAGACCAGGAAAAGGGCCATCTGCTGTCGCTTGAGCTTGATTCAAGTCCGGCCTTGTCCAACTTCTCCCAACTTCCATCCCCAAGTCCTTTGTTTATCCTACTGGGGGAAAGGAAAAAAAGTCAAAGAACCTCGATAACCCCAAAAGTACCGCCCACAATGCATTAATGACGCCTTATACGCAACCGTATATACTCTAATCATCGCAATCCCGTCATCGTCTCAACCTTAACTCTACCCACTATGCCGCCCTCCCGCTCCAGCGTAACGAGCGACAGCCATGAGCGCCTCGAACCGCGACTCCTGCGCGCCGCAGAATCAAACGACGTCGACTCCCTCAAAAAAACAATAGCCCTCGCCCAAGAGCACAACCAATTAACCGACAACTTCCTCCGCATTGGATTAATGCGCAGCGCAGAACGAGCATGCGTCGCCGCAACGGAATGCCTCCTCACCCTCGGCGCAAAAACAGATGTCCCCTCAAACCGCGCCTCACCACTCCTCCGCGCCGTAGAGCGCGACCACTACGAGATTGTCCGTCTCCTCCTAGACCACGGTGCCAGCCCAGACTCCGCTGATAAAGAGGGTCGCACGGCCCTCATGACTGCCGCATGGAAGAATCACGCTGATATCCTGCATTTGCTCATTATGCGCGGCGCGGATGTCAGCAAGCGGGATATGCGTCGCCGGAATGCGTTGCATAACCTTGCTGCTGATAAGGCTTGTCGGTGGGGGTGGGGGGATGAGGTTGTGAGGTTGTTGCTGAAGACGAAGTGTCATCTTGATGGACGTGGGGGGCAGGATGAGCTTGGACGGACGCCGTTACATTGGGCCTGTGCGTCGGGAAATTGGAGGTTGGCGGAGATGTTGCTGACGAGGACTGGTGAGGTGGATGGGGAGGCGCAGAACCCCGCGGAGGTCGATGCTGTTGAGTTGCGTGGCAAGACCGCGTTGCATGTTGCTACGGCTCATGACCGTGTGGATATCGTGCAACTGCTGCTTGCGCACAAGGCAGCTGTTAATGCGGCTAGTGATGGTGGCTGGACGCCGCTTCACAATGCTTGTGATAAGGGGTGTGAGGATATTGTGCGGATTCTGGTAAGCGAAGGCGCACATATCAATGCACAGCTTTTAAATGGAATTACGCCGCTGCATCTTGCTGCCCAGGGTGGTCATAGCGAGGTTGTGAAGTGTCTTCTTGAGAGGCCGGATCTGAAGCGGAGGGTTAGAGATAATTTTGGCAGTACGCCATTTCTGCGTGCGGCGCAGTTCAAGCGCAAAGATATTGTGCTGTTGCTTGCGCCGTTTAACAATGTCGAGAGTCTTTCTGATGATGTTAAGGAGGCTTGTGCCGCGTTCGATGCTACTGTTGTTGATTTTGGAAACTTTCATAATGAGAATCGGGTTAAGCGCATGTCAGTGTTTAATTTGCTTTATGGAAGGGACCAGGAAAATCCTAGGAAACAGGCTGTTACCACTGTGCCGGCTGATAGTCGTGGGACCGATTTCCGGTGGATTCACTTGCCGGCGAATAATATGGCGTGGGTGGAAGCTTTGCTCACCAAGTCTTTCATTGAGGAGGGGGCCCATGATGTTGATGGGTTTAAGGGGCTGGAGAAGTCTTTCAACTATCAACATCGGGGTCAAAGGACTCACTCGCACTTTATGCGGCCACTGTGTCAGAATACACCGCGGACAATGCTGCGGCGATATGAAGAGGAGACTTCGGAGGAGCCTGTCTCTGATCAAGGGCACACGAAGACCATGGACAACACTGCCCGCAAGCAGAAAGGCACAGGAAACAAACCTGACAAGGTGGATTCTTATTTCCCCGATGAAGGGGCAGGGACACATGGAAAAAAGGGCAAGAACAATCCAAAGCGTGGCAAGTCGGGCAGCGCACCGGGAACCCCCAAGCAGCCCGAGACGAAAGGGAAGTCACCATGGGGACAGAGTGAGAAGCAGGCGAGGTCATCACCTCTGTCTTCATCAACCTTTTGTAAAGATCCTCACCCTCTGGTTTCTGCATGTAATGTCTGCGTGTTCATGCCGTATCTACACTTTGAGACCACGGAGCGCAGACAGAAGATGCAGGATGCAATCTCACGAGCAGAAACGCTAGAGTTTGTATCCAATGGGATGAAGCGAACGCGTACAAGAGACGTATTGCTCATCGACGCCCATCTATCATCCTCAACGACCTCCCTCCATGTCCGCCGAACACTGGACCAGTTTTTTTACCCAAACATCGATACCAAGAGCCGTGACCAGGATCAAGTCGTGTACCGGTACCAAACAAAAAGCCCCGGAATGGGGGCAGACCCCAAGATATTCATGGTTGACCAACTGTGGATGTGGGTTCTAGGCACGAATCTGATTGTAACAGCCTTCCCACAGAGATGGGATCAGCCCAAGAATGATCCGCTTAACGTGCTAGATGGGATTATCGAGGATATCAATTCCAAAACTCGAGACCCTGTCAGATCCGTGTATGATCTAGCCATGATAATCACAAATCGATGCTCGGGAGTCTTCGATCGACACCGCTTAGGCGACGAGGAATACCAGTTCTTAGATATGTTCGAGTCATCCATCGGTATAGCTACGGACAAAGAGACCGTGCTTTTTAACCAATTCAACCACGCCTCCGGGCAGGCATCAGACTGGCTGAAAAGCCACCGGAAGCTGAATGGCTCCTTCAGCTCTCCGCCAAAATCCGGCAATGGGATAGAAGACGATCAAAGCAGCAACTACTGCGACGAGGACGGTCAGCCACTTTTCGTCGACCGGCTTCTGGATATAGGACAGGAGACCAACCTCCTAGCTGAGACAAAGGACATCCGAGACGAGCTGAACATGATCCGGACCGTACTGGAGCACCAGAATAACGTACTGCTTGACTTCCAAGAAGTCATCTGTGAGACCTATCAAGGCCAGCATCGGTCACAATTCGAGGTCAAGAAACGATTTAAAGACCAGCAGCGCATGATCGATATGCACCTGAAGGACATTGACCGCATGGATAAACAGGCCGAGCGCATCTACCACTCCATCACGGATCTGCTTGATCTCAAACAGAAACACGCCAATGCTTTTGAAGCACGCTTTGCCCGTGACCAGGCTGCTGGTACAGCCCGCCAGGGAAAGACAATTATGGTCTTCACCATTGTCACTATCATCTTCCTGCCGCTGTCGTTTATCGCCTCCATCTTCACGATCAACTTGAAAGAATTCGAAAACTTAAGTCTTGGTTATGTGGCAAAATTTACCTTTGGTATCGGCTTTGCAATCTCCATCCCACTTGTCTGGCTCGCTCTCACGGTTGACGATATTGGTGGCTTCTTCCGCGTGGGCAGCCGACGCTGGCGATCTAGCCGGGAGAAGGTGCTTGCAAAGAGTGAACGGGGCGACGAAACGCTCCAGGCTTTGGAGATGGAGAAAATTATAAGCTTATCGCGGATGCGCAGGAGCATCGACGTCGCATATGGTGGTAGTCTGTTACCTGTTTCTTCACGCGGCACGGGGGTGTCGAGGCGACCTGATTTATATGTCGGTGGATTAGGCAATGGCATTGTGCGGAGAAGTTACGATCTGCGGTCAAGTCAGGACTACAGATCACGATGATATGATTTATGGCATCTAATAATTCGATATTCTGTCTTATAGTTTGTCATTTTGTCCTTGTTTTGCTGTTTCGATCTTTGGGCAAAAGTTGGATATACCCGTCTCTATATAATGCTAAAAGTAATTGAACTTTTGATAAGAATTGAAGAAGGACTGGAGGAAAATTGAATATCTTCTGATTAAGTAGATGCGCCAGCTCTGGCACTCATAAAAATTGGTGTCTATTCAAGCTGCATTCCGCCCGAATACTCCTGACTCCCACCTTTCCCATCCCCGATGATCTCAGCGGGGTGGTACACATTCATCACAGCCATGGCGATCAACATCAGGACGCCGTCGAAGATGTACATGAAAACCTCATGCGTCATTGTGTACCCATTGTAACCCTCTTTGTATTCAACCAAGCGGAACACAGACCGGACCAGAATCAAAAAGCTGACAATGTACAGCCCGATCAGAATAGTGAACCAATTGCGCTGTTTGAAGCCGTCACTGCGGGTTTGGTCGCGATCTGCCTGAGATTTGGAGGTTGGCTGACGCGAGATGCGGAAGTGGAAGACCGTTGTAACAACCACAAAGAAGCCGAAGAAGAGAAGCTGGACGACCAAACCGCCGATTGTGATGTTCGAGCCGGTTTCACGCATGGAGCCTGCTGTAGCCATGAGGCCACCGCCTAAGATGAGATGTAGGTTAGAGTTTATGTTCTCAGTCCATGGCTTGCCTGCTGCCTGATAATGACATGGATTTTACTTACCAGAGCACTGTAAGAGAAACGAGAACACATCTCCTCCCACGAAGATCTTTGTCATCCACTTCACTGGCACCAGGCTCAGGTGCTCGGCGTGGAGATAGGTCACTGTTCGCCCGAGGACCATGTAGATTGATGCTGCGTACAGCGGCGGGGCGAGCAGGATAAACAAAGTCTGCATTGCATATAGGGGGATTCCATAGAAGTTATCATGCGATGCAGCTCGACAGATGTATCCGAGAACCTGGACTGCATGAGTTGAGAGTCAGTAATGCTTTTACAAAGTCAAACAAGTAGATTGCGCAGGTAACATACAGATTCCGCCAATCACGAAGGGAATGAAGTACCAGCATCTTGACTTTGTGAGTTGATAGCCATGGTAAGCGGTCGTGACGCTGAAGAGAATGATAAAGATGATAGCGGCAGGAAGAGAGGGGTTGTACCCGTAGATATTATGCTGTTCAGCCATATTGCGATGAGATTAAATGAATGTTTGAAGAAAGTGAATTCATTTGAGCTGATTGGGGTCAAGATGAGATTTATATTAAACTGGGCAACAGCAATCGGCTGGGCAACAAAACATCGCTACCATAGCCCATAGCTTTGAACCCGAAACAGACTTCCTCCGCGATCCACTATAAATTTAGGCGACCTTCTAATTGAATGCATTGATTCGAGCGTTATTCTTATCCTTTGGGGAAACGTCTTGGCTTTTGAGCAGCTTTGACGCGATGTGGGGGCTGAAGAGGCTTTTCGGCGAATTCGTTTCCGTCTCCGTTTCCGTATTCGTTTGCCCGTAACCCCGTATCCGCACTCGAATAGCTTGATTTCTCTTGATCTGATATACCCCTTTAATAATGGGCCCAAGAAGAACACATCGGAAGTCACGAAATGGCTGTCCACAATGTAAGGCACGAAGACTAAAGGTGCGCGGAATCTCCCACCGGCTTGAGGTTTTTCTAACCGGGACAGTGCGATGAGCAATATCCATGTACGAACTGTACCAAACACGCCATTCAATGTTCCTACGTTGATCGTGGCATATCAACTCCCGCTGAGAGTCCCGCTACTCGGTCAGAGTCATTGGCGTCGTCTTATGTGCCTTCGCCGTTGAACACGGAGTCATACCCGGCAACCCCTGCCGGGAACCCGGCAGCTCTGGGTGACGCCAAGCCCAAGCCAGAGAGTAGGTCTCGTCTACTACAATTTCTCTCCGACTCGGCAGACGAAATTCCGGCCTTAAATTCGGATGACTGGGCGTCAGATCTTGAACTCATGCACCATTACTGCACCGTGGCATGCAACACTCTGACAATCCGCGAAGATGCACGGCATGTCTGGCGCGTTGTTCTCCCCGTGGAGGCATATTCCAACAAATACTTGATGCACGGACTACTGGCTCTGTCAGCTCTGCACCGCGCCTCTCTTTTCCCAACCCAGAAAGAAAAGAACATCAAGGCCTCCGCCTACCACCAGGCAGCTGGGCTAAAAGAGTTTCGGGAGCTCATTTCCTCTCCAGTCGACCCTAGCAACTGGCAACCTGTTTTTTGCTTTGCTTCTATGATCATGGTATATGTCTGTGCTTCGCCGATCCGACTGGGCGAGGATCGTTGGCCAGCTCCCATATCGAATATGGTGGAGCTCTTTTCCGTCGTCCAGGGATTGCAGACTCTTATGGAGCCATGGCTACACTCTCTTCGAAGAACCCAGCTCGCACCGCTTGCTAACTGCGTCTGGCTTGACAGTGAAATGCTCATTGGAAGGTGAGCTTTTGAGTTCTCGCAATTCCACATCTGGGGACATGGTAATGGTCGAACCGAAACAACTGACCCTGTTTTAGCCCAGCGACCATACAGCAATCTCTACTTCCTCCCGACATCCAGGTTCGGATATCACGGCTCCACCGGTTTATTGATGATTATCCATTCCCTCATACACTTCCCCAGTCGCAGCAGAATTTGAGCGCCTCGGATGAATTGCCACGTCCCGTCGATTACAGAGCAGACTACAAGCGCGCATTGAAATTCTTTGAGAACTCGACTCGTCAGATAGAGCTCGCAGGCCCCCACATTGAGGTCGGCATGGTCCTAATGTGGGCATACTCGCTTTCCAAACAATTCCGAGATGATTTGGAAGCATTCCATCCTGCAGCTCTCGTACTACTGAGTCATTGGTGTGTGCTGCTGCATCTTATTAATGACACCTGGTTCATCAAAGGCACTTCACTTCAATTACTGGAGGAGATTGAGATAAAGATTAACCCCGGCTTTAGGGAGTGGTTGGTATGGCCGAGAAGATGGGTCTGTGGGAAATGACCTTGTTCTACCTTGTTTAGTGATCCTCAAATCCGACATATTGATAGATTTTGGCATGGGACTTGGGGACTTGATCTACAATACTATTACAGCGAAGGCAAAATTTGTATTTATTCCGCCTGATATTGAGCGGTGATTCATTATTTCATGGTAAACAATTTCAAATATTAAACAATGGACGCAAGCACAAACTCATAACAAAAAAACTTCAACTAACCTAAAATCACAGAAATCCGACCTGTGCTCACTGCACATGAACCTTAACATACTCTCTCGCTTCAACATCTTCAACGTCACTCCCTTCAGACTCCACTGGGGTGACAGTCGCCTCGTCCACAACCATGGCGTCTTTCTCATTCTCCAAATCACCATCCTCCACAAAAACCTTTGTCTTCCCAACCCCAGGATCCTGAACAATTTTCGGCAGTGTAACATTCAAGACACCATCCTCCAGCTTTGCCGAGATGCCATCAACAATTACAGAAGCCGGGGCAACTCGACTCCCAAGACGAATCTCGCGCTCAAAGACACCAACGTGTCGACCCCGCTCTTCCATAACAAGAGCTTGGTGCATATCCTCATTGACACCGGGGCGATAAACCACACCCGCCAGATGCAGAACAGACTCATCAGCATCGTAGTCAATGCTGAGGTCGCTCTTCTTAGCTCCAGGCAGTGAGACATGCACAATGTACTTGGTAGGGGTATTGAAGACGTCAACGGAGGGCGTGAAGTCAACATCCTCTGCGGTAGGCGTGTTCATGGGGAAACCAAGTCCAGCACCAAGCTGGCGCAGGAAATCGAACGGACCGCTGAAAGGAGGTCCGCCATGGTGTCTGCCGCGGCCACCGGGACCTCCTTTATGGCGGTGACCCTGTCCACGGGGCCCGAAATCGAAGGCACCGGGGAAGCTATATGGACTAGCATGGGGGCCGTGTCCATGCCCATGTCCATGTCTACCGTTTCCCTCGCGTCCAGGGCCCCCGAAAGTACTGGCACCGTGGTGGTGGTTGTGGCCGTAATTGTGGAAGTCATAAGGCCCAGCATGAGGGCCATGGCCGTGTTTTCCTTTGCCACCCTTGCCCCGGAAGGGACCTGGCCCATGGTGACCGGGAACTCCATGGCCCTTGTTCTTGCACTTTCCACTGTGGTCGTGACGGTGGTGGTTGTTGGGAGAGTCAGAGTCTGATGCCGAGAGTTCGATGTTCTCTTTAGGGGCGGATGGGAGCGCGTTTGACTCGGAGAGTTCACCGACTTCGCTAACTTCTTCCGGATCTTGTGAGAATCCCTTGGAGGTATTATGGTGGCCATAGGGCCCAGCGTGAGGGCCATGTCCATGCCTTCCCTTGCCGTCCTTGCCACGGAATGGGCCTGGACCTTGGTGGCCGGGACCTCCACGGCCTTTGCCTTTGCCTTTACCATTTCCGCAGTGGTCGCAGCGACGGTGGTGGCTGTTTGGGGAGTCAGAGTCTGATGCCGACCTTTCGTCTTTCTCCATGTTGCCGTTGGGCTCAGTAGTTTCACCTGTTTGAGCACCTCGGGTGGAATTGTCGTTCTGCTGGAGGTTATCCCATCCACGACGTCCACGATGTCCGTGATGTCCGCGAGGAACAAAGAAAGGATGGTCCTCTAGGTTGCCGTTGACAAAATCCCAGAACGGATTTGGAGGTTGGTTGAGTTCGTAGATGGAAGCCATCTTGAAGTAGTAGATTGATATAAAAACTTGCGAGAGAAAATGATATGTTAGATATCAAAAAGCGAGAGAAGTAAAGCAAGAAAAGTGAAAGACACTTGTTCTGGTACTAGAGGCAACCGGTTGCTCTTTATATACAAATAGTTACACACCAGGCAGACGTGTTGACCGTTATCCTGCAAGTATACGTACGATAGCCCTGCCTAGCCATGTGCATCATCTTCACGCCAATTCGCCATCAGGGCTCGGGGCCGAGAATTAGTCCCAATGTAGCAATATATCGGTGATAAGAATGCATTATACAATGATCTCCGAGCCTACGAGTAACCTAAAACTCGGAGGGGCGAACAAAGATAGAATCGATGGGGCTGGAAGTATACAGCGGAGAGAAGGAATATCCCGATTAGGCAATTTGTCCCTAAACCCGAGCTCTTGAGTCAGACTCAGGCTGCGCCACTCTGTGTACTCGTATGCGCCACACGACGCCACGCATCATGTGTCATAGCCCCGCGCTATTCATTACCGCCCGGTCCACCGCCTATGAAGTGAAGGCAGAATCTCGCACCAGGACATGATGATGATCATTGATGCGAACGGACAAGTTCACTTTAGTCTCATGCCATTTCCTTGGATAACATTAAGACGCATACACCGGGACAGGCTCTGACTCGCGCCTCTTTTTGCAGTGCTATCGGAGTTGGGTTGTCCAAGTCCTCAAACACGATGGCATCTGCTGGACCGCGGAAGACAACGTGAGAAAACAATCCGGGCCCCAGCATCCAAGCTTCAAGCCGCTAGAATATCTGAGATCCTTGAGATAACCTTGGAACTTATTGCATTTACATAATTCATGTGATTTTGCCAAGCTCTAGCTCAACCCCATCATACGACACTCCCCTCAAACTCATAATATCTTTATTTCTCTTCTCTTCTTCACCCCTCAAAATAATTTACAGCTGATAGAGATCTGTCAAAACTCTTCTGTTTCATGTGAACAGCATGTGCCAGAATCTCCCGATCGTCTCCGACAGCACGTGCAGTCCATTCTCACCGACTGCTCCGAAGGGTTCCGGGTATCCACGAGCTTGATAGCAATACGGAGTGGAACAGTCACAACTCTCAGTTCCAAACAAACATGTTCACGGGAGCACGAGTATCCGATCCAATATGGAGCCTGCCAAGTGGAGAAGGCCCAAGATCCGTTCCGGGCATCTCCTTTCCTTATCCCGCCGACGGGTGAAGTCATCGGTGTGTCAGCAAAAGCGTGAACCGTGAAACCTTCGTTATGAGCAATGCCGCATTTAGATAGCAGGTGTTGGTACTGACATGGGATTTTTTTGAAAATTTTCCCTTGGATCTACTGATACACCGAGTTAGTCCTGCATTGCCATGCAAACCCGGCCATTGAGCGCGATGCTCCCTCTCCGGCGCCAGGCCCCACGTATACGGAATTCGTTCCCCTGCCTTGCTCACCCTCCCAACTCTACATATCTATCTTCCTCTAGCATTGCACCGGTACTAAATGTATCAGGGCGGAGGTGCCTCGCAACACAAGGTGAACAGTCCGCCACAAACCAGCCGTCTGATAATAAAAAAGAACGAGTCGTCATTCTTGGATCCGGCTGGGGTGGATACACACTTTCGCGCAGGCTTTCTCAAAAGACCTACGCACCTCTCATAATCTCACCTCGCTCATACTTCGTCTTCACTCCTCTCCTCACCAATACGGCCAGCGGATCTCTCGATTTCTCCAACATCGTCGAACCCGTGCGCGATCCGCGCGCCAAGGTCGACTTCATCCAAGCAGCTGCGCGTGCAGTTAACCTGAAAAAGAAAACTGTTCTATGCGAAGCAACAGTCGTCAAGAGCGGTGTCACTGAATCCCCTCGCACGGCTGAAACTGAGCGACGGACCGAGGATGGCCCGCAGACCACGAATATGAAGCCGATGCAGGCACAACGTCAATGGGAACAGGGAGAAACATTCGAAGTACCCTATGATAAGCTTGTCATTGCCGTAGGCGCCGTCAGTCAGACATTTGGAACACCGGGAGTGCGGGAGAATGCAATGTTCTTCAAAGATATCGGCGACGCGAAAAGGGTCAAGCGGCGCGTTCGGGAATGCTTCGAGCTAGCCGTGCTGCCATTCACTACCCCAGAGATGCGGAAGTGGCTGCTGAACTTTGCAATTGTCGGAGCTGGTCCAACTGGCATCGAGCTTGCGGCATCGCTGCGCGACTTCATCTACTCCGATCTGATGGCGTTATATCCGACTCTTGATGCACTCCCGAAGATCACGTTGTACGATGTTGCACCCAAGGTGCTTTCAATGTTTGACGAGTCGCTTTCTCGCTATGCGATGGAGACTATGAAGAGAGAGGGTATTGATATCAAGACCTCTCACCATGTCAAAAGCTTGCGCTGGGGCCCGCCTGGTGCAGCTCCACCGTACCATATGGATCCCAAGCGCTGTCTCACTCTTACAACCGAAGAAGATGGTGAAATGGGCGTCGGAATGTGTGTTTGGGCAACGGGTAATGCCATGCCCAAGTTCATCACCGAATCGCTTGATTCAGTCGACGCATACCCTAAAGACTCGATCCATAGCATCGAGAGCTCTTCAGCTGTAGCGATAGATGTCGAACACGCATCATGGAAATTTAAGAAAGCTCCCAAGAATGGTCCCCTTCTCGTCGATGGACATCTGCGGGTACAGCTGCAAAACGAAACCGGCCAGACAGCTGTGCTCCGGGACGTGTTCGCATTGGGTGACAACGCCATGCCAGAGACCGGTGCCCCTCCTGCGACGGCACAGGCTACCAGCCAAGAGTCCAAGTGGCTAGCGGATCGTTTGAACAAAAATGACCTCGCCCAGACCCCGCCGTTCTCCTTCCGTGACCTGGGCACGATGGCGTACATTGGCGACGAGCGGGCATTGATGCAAATACCCCACAAGGCTGGCCGTGGTTCTAACAGTTTTATGCCAGAAGGTATCAAGGGACGCACTGCCTCACTTATTTGGAAGATGGCGTACATCGGCATGAGCATCAGCTGGCGCAATAAACTGCGTGTGGCTTTCCGGTGGACGTTGAATAAGTTCTTTGGGCGGGATGTTTCGCGATTTTGAAGAAAATGTAAACAGACCAGAATTTCTTAGAACACATATGGAATTTCGGAAATTAGTTCTACCTCGTTCGACTACCCTACATGACTAGCTGTATAAGGAAAGACCTTGGGAGGATGCGACCCCCATGTATTCCGTGGGACCTGTCAAATGGCTACCGAACCCCCAAAGCTCAGCCAATGACCTTGTCAAAGAACGTCCACGGGAACTCCCAATTTGATTTGGGTGCGGACCTACATGGACCTCAACAACTTGGTAATGTTGATATCCTTGTGTGTAGGTAAGGCACCGCCCTCTGCGCGATCTCAGGTGGGCTACGAAGAGATGGTGGTAGAGGGTTGGGGAGAGGAAGAAGAGAAGGGGAAGAAAGATGAGGGCGAGAGGGGGATTTATACCCCCACGTGCCTTCCTAAAGGGGACAGTTCCCTTGCACCTTCCCAACACATTTCCTATAGTTCCTTCCAAATTCGGAGGTAAACAAAGCAGGTTTCTTCAATATCCCGACTATCTAAAATACCACACAAATCGAAAGTCGGTCAACTCAAAAGATCCTAACTATCCCAGTGGCCTCTTACTCGTCAACCCTAACCCACCAGGCACCCTATATTCAAAGCTCAAGTAAATCTATATCCCAGTTAGTATATCAACCCAGAAACTAGAGAATGAGGCACATACCTCATAACATAAGGACAGATACTCTCCCCACCATATGAAGTCCAAATAGCCTGCTCACGAACCGGCGTGCCAGTCCGAGCAGCATTAATCATCAACTTATCATTGATAAAGATGCCAACATGTGCAACCTTGTTCTTGCAATCACCACCAGTAGCCCAGAACAAGAGATCACCGGGCTTGGCCTGCGCACGGGGATACCGCTTGCCCATATTGGAGTCATACTGGTCTTGCGCAACACGGGGAATCGTCTTCTTCAATGCCTGGCAGATAGCATACTGCGTCAGACCCGAGCAGTCAAAGCCCCCACCGGAGGGACCCTTGCATCCACCACCGCCCCAGACGTATGGGAGGCCTTTCTTCTTCTCGGCTGCAGCAATGATGGCCTTTCCCGTACCGGTGCTGCCACCACTACCTCCTCCACCGCTGCATTTGGTGGTCACGTAGCCGCTGCTGCCGGTTTTCACGTAGTAATCGGCTACATAACAGCCGTCGGATGTCTTGTCCCAGATGTTGTTGCCGAAGACGGATTCTCCAGTGGTTTGGCAGGTGACTTTGACATCGTGCGACTTTTTGTATGATTTGACGACCGCATGGCTTGTTCCGGGACCGGAGCGGCAGTTGACCGTCTCGCCGGTGATGGGGTAGGCGCTGACTGCTGTTATAGCGGTTGTAAGGGAGAAGGCAATCAGAGAAATGAAATGCATGACGAATTGCTTGGTTGCTTGTCTTTGTGATAGAAAGTTATAGTTTCCTGTGGTGGAGAAGGACGGAGTTGAAGACAATGTATCTGAATAGCGATGGAAATTGGAGCCTTTATAGACAAATCGTTTACGCTATGCCACGATAAAACTTATATCCCATTGTTGTGTTCTTCGTGTTCATCGACTTGATCGTCGATTCGTATTTCTCTTGCAGCAGGATGCGACCCTTCACTCGTATTCCAGCCTCAGATCCGACATGATCACCGTGAAAATTGCCTCATAGACCCCTACTGACCGTGATTCCCAAGATTGTTTACAAAAATAACACTTTCGAGGGATCTAACAGGCACTAACTGGAGTTTCGGTTGATCTTTTCTCGTAATTTCGTGTTCCTGCGTTCATACTTCCCTAAAGACCACTAGCAACACAAGGAACACGAGAACTACTATTTATAGCAGATGCAACCATCATTTGGCCCCAAATTAGATAGCCAGATTTTAGCTCAAATTTCATTTCTTCACATCTTAGGAGCACATGGTTCATGCTAATCGGTTTATCATCATTTTCGACCATTCTACAGCGCAGCAAAAACTTTGGAATAAAAATTAGTCTACTAGCTTAACTCTGAGTATTAAATGCCCAGGCCCTAAGGGAGACACAAAGAGAGCATCAAATCCCCGGACGTTCCTAACTAACTACATGCATCCACCTACAGCAACGCTGTAGGAGCCATGCCCTGGAATCCACGTCCACCCAGTACCTTTCATGACAAATCATGGTCTACACGATGGCGTTCATCTGAGTTTCCATCCGAAGAAAACCTCAACGTCACCTGGCTAAGCCGATGCCTATGTCATTCCGCAAGTCCCGTCTCCTAAAGACGCAACTGTTGCCGAGGGGGCGACAACTCGTTGCAGCAAGTGGCATGTTGTCACCAACGAAGAGTTGGAAGAAACCTGTAGGACGACTGGTATGCAGAACAAGATCCCTTGGAGTTTGCTCTTGGATGTGAACCCTTCTCTGGGGGTAGATAACTGTAACAACAAGCTGGTTGTTGGGAATACTTACCGTGACGGGCTAGCATACAGCTAGGATGAGTTCTTTGGGGGCGATTTTGAGTGATGGTGTCTGCCGATGGGTGTTTGAGCAAGATGTTTAGGCCAGCATCAGCAGTGTCTTAAAGTCATCCTCTCCTTTTGTATTGTGTTGAGATAACTTCCAGTTAAGCTTGTGGTCAAAAGTGAGGAGTAGAAGATACAAACAACAAAGATTGAGACAACAAGACTGGACATATTGGAAATAAAACATCGTCAGGCAGCATATTAAGCTCTCGTACTGATTATCGAGACTCATACTCTACTATTTCTATCTTGACTGGGCGGTTAGATGCCTTCTGTGATACCCTATTTGTGGGAAGGAAAAAGCGGGGAGATAGGTATTAAAGACCGGTCTCACCTTTGTTTCCTTGCCCAAGTCACTCACCTTGATTTCCAATTTGTCTCCAACTTCCAGCATCAATATGTCAACCTCCCAGATCTACCCAGTCTACAAAGTCAAATTGAAACTAGGCATCCAAGACCCCGACATGCCATCGCCCCGATATCACACCATACTTTTCGTCCAGACAAACGCGCAAGGCCCGCGTAGCGGCATAAAACACCACGTCACCGGCGATATCGTCACTGGCATGCACTATGAACCAGCAAAATATGACGACCCCGAGACTGACGAAAACTTCTTCTCAAAAGAACTCATTGGACATACCAGAGCTCTCAACTATCCCCAAAACTGGAACGATATTCTCAAGTCTATCCCCGCACCAGGGAAGCAGAAGGCGTTCAACAAAGTGACAATGAAGACGGAGCCTGTTAAAAGTTGGGATCCTGTGACGTTTTACGAGCCTGGAGAGCCTCGCCGGCCGTTGATCAAATGTACCGAGTGGATTGAGGATCACGCTATTCCGATCTTGATTAATGCGGGCCTGATTCAGTGGAGACATGAGCGTATAGCTGGTGTTTAAAGCTAAGGAGATTAGTCTTGACGTCGTTATTTCAACGGGTACATCTTTTATGTAGTCCTTCTGGTTTTGTTATAGTCCATGCTCCTCTCAGTAACAAATTTAGCATCGTCAGTAGCGTTTTTCCAATTTCTTTTCCAATTTATACGAATGCCACAAGACTGGATGTCGTGATGAGCAATATCAAGCAAGCCCCATAAGACCGGTGGACGACGGACAGTGTCACTAAATGGTTGACGATATGCTTTCGAATGAAAGTCCAAGTGACTTCTGGATGATAGAAAATACTGCCAGTTGTGGGAATTATATCCTGACTGTGTGACATATGAAGCAAGGCATTAGATGGTGCTTGATGAATACGCCTTGGGAGGGGCCTAAGCGCTCCAACAAAATCAAAAGGCCTCACGGTTAATCCCAGTCCTGGGTAACACCCGGGGTCAATATGACTGCCCGGTAATTCTATCGACCCTTTCTCTATGACCCCAACGCTACAAATTTGACACAGGGTGTAGGTATTGGGGAATGAGCACATGATTAAAATCCTATGTACCAACGCTCTACTGGGTGGGACACAATCCAACTGAAACTACCAACGTACTACCTCAACGCCTCTGGCATTTAATCGATGTCCTCTTGCATGATGCTTTATATTGATATATAAATCCACAGAATCTATATCCACCCACACAATATACATCAAACATGGACCCCTTCACAATCCTCAAGCAACTTGCCTACACAGGAAAAGCTTTCAAGGAAAATGAGCCTGGTTCACGAGAAGCACTCATTACACAAAGCCGCGCGCTTATAGCCGCACTTGAACTCCCAAGCGAATTCATTCAGCACACTTTCTGGGCAGAGGTAAGAAGACCAGATCTAGTTCCAATTCCGTACAAGCCTTCCCAATAGCGCAAAAAGCAAGCTCACACTATTCCTAGCCCGCCCAGTCTGCAATATTACGGCTCGCTGTAGATGTGCGTCTATTCCAACACCTCAAAGAAGCACCTCCAAAGGGTCTCAGCCCGGTAGCTCTATCCAAGAAAACAGGCGTGGAAGTCGATCTGCTAGTACGTCTATCACGGCATTTAGTCGCCATGAACATACTTGCCTTTCACTCGGGTACGTTCCATGGCACAGCTCTGAGCAACAGCCTCGCGGTGGAACGATACCAGGATAGTATATTACATTGCTATAACGCCATGCGGCCAGCGCTCAACGAGATCCCGGCTTACTTTAAGAAAGTCGCATACCGGTCTCCAACTTCGGGCGGTACTGACGGAATCTTCCAGGACGCTCATGGGACGGACCTGGGATTTTTTGACTGGATTGTCGCCACGCCGCCGCAGCTGCGGCATTTTTATTCGTTTATGAGTACCTACCATACTGGGAAGAGTTGGTTTGAGGAGGGGTTTTATCCTGTTTCCCAGCGGCTGATCTGTGGGTTTGATGTAGAGGTCGGCGATGCTTTGCTGGTCGATGTTGGTGGTGGACGGGGTCATGACGTTGCTGCTTTTGTGGGAGTTTATGGAAATCTGCCTGGGAAGGTTGTGCTTCAGGATCGCAAGCCTGTCATTGCGGGTATTTCGAATGGGGCTGTGGGGAGAGCGTTTGAGGTGCAGGCTTATGATTTCTTTACACCGCAGCCCGTGAAGGGGGCGAGGGCTTATTCTTTGCATTCTATTTTGCATGATTGGTGCGATAAGGATGCTGTGCGGATTCTGGGTAATCTGGTGCCTGCTTTGGTCAGGAGCTATTCACGGGTTCTCTTAAATGAGATTGTTCTCAGTGAAGCGAAGCCGACGCTGGCAACGACGAGTATGGATATGATCATGTTGTCACATTTTGGAGTGAGGGAGAGGACGGAGGTGGAGTGGAGGCGGATTTTGGAACAAGTTGGGTTGAGGGTAATTGGGATTTATACTTATCCTGGTGTTGCAGAGAGTTTGATCGAGGCTGAGTTGGCATAATTTTGGATTTCTTTTCAAGGAACTTTGGGATTCCTGATTAGGTTAGTCTTATATAGGGGCATAGTGGCCAGGGTTACTTTCGGATCACCTTTCGGATTTAATACATACAGTAGTACCTTGATGCCTTGATTTGGCATGGTAGAAAGATCAAGATAACTAGTTAGCTGAATTACAATTATAGAGGCCCGCAAGTGCCTGAATATCTGCCTTAGGTAGCATTTAGCCCTATGAATATGCATTAATATGAAGCTACTTCTGCCATACAAATCTATATAACACGAAATCTTTAGGTTTAAACCTCTACCTTATTCGCAAGTAATCAACATATGACTCTAGAAGCAAAGAGAATAGGGCTCTTTACCTTCACCTTAACAAATTAACTTGTGATGGCTATCTTATGATCAACATGTGTTCCTGTATTTGGTTATTCTTTCCGTCGGCAAGCGATCTAACTAAAACCCACTCGATTCAGTCTTGGCAGTGATTTTTTAATATCATTGCATGATGTTCTTGTCCCAATCTTGTAAGGATCCTATCCGTTACAGATACTTTCTAGATTAATTCATTATGATAATGTATAATTCCGTTGGTAAGAAGATAAGAATAATTCAAATGAACTTTAGAGGGATAACGCAGAACCCTAAAATCTTGTTAGATCTTTCATACTAAAATAGTGCAGCTATTGTGTTTTAGTACTACCATGGGGCTTTGGCAGTTTTAGGTTGCCTTCCATCTTCGGGAGATCGCGTCGTTGCTCCTCGAGCAGAGCAGACGAAGAGATTCTGGCCCATCTTTCAGCCTACTCCAACACATCTCCGCTCGCGAAATCAGGGTCGGAGAAGACAGAGATCATTGGGCACCCAAAGAATTTTAGGCGAGCTGGATAGCTTTCCGAGTGGATTGTTTTGTTTTATTGTCGGCTCGATTGCCCTCGCGGACTATATCGAGATCGCTTTTTATAGATACTCGGACTTTGAAATATCCGCTCCAGAGCAATTAGTAGATCCGTCGTGTTATCACTTCATTTTATATACACATAAGAACGTGCAAAGAACGAGCTAGTCATTATGAAATCGGCAAATATTGTCAACTTGATTGCAGTAACTGTTGGTCTGTCCAAGGAGCGTGGTTCTTCACATCATCCATCAATCGAGTGATTTCTTTGAAAGAAACAGGCTTCGTGACGAACATATCAACACCTGCGGCATAAGCCTTCATCACATGTTCATCCGAGCCCAGACCTGTTAAAGCAATGATCCTGGCTGGTGATATGGATTGCCGTTCCAACTCAAGGGCCCGGATTCCCTCTGTGGCTTCGAAGCCATCCATCACAGGCATTGATATGTCTAAGTGCAATAGTCAGCTAGGCTATTAGGAACGAATTGGTGCACATGTATGCAATATGCGAGTGACTTACCCATGAATATGAGATGGTACCCCTCCGGCATTTTCTTGACTGCCTCGACTGCTTTCTGACCGTCTACAGCGGTATGTAAGATACTTGGATGACGCCGAGCGACTAGCTTCTCAAGTAGCGCCATGTTGATGGAGTTGTCTTCAACCAGAAGAATTCGAAGTGCTTCAGTTCTGACGACATTTTTAGCCGTCCTTTCAACCACAGTGTCTTTGTTTTCAGGCTGTGATTGGCTTTGCGGTTGCGTAGTATTCGTCTCATGAGGGGTTGGAGTAGAGGGAGGTGTTTTTGTTTTCGAGGAAAGTTGAATTTGGGCCGCGAGTGGCTGTTTTGCAGTTGTAAGGGGTATGACTTGGCTGTTTTGTTGATCGCCAAAATCTGGGCAATTTTTTTGGGGCTTTTCACTAAAGACTTCTGAAGATGGTTTGACTGATTCTCCTTGCAGGCAACGTTGGATTGCCCGTGCTAGTTTATGGGGACCACAAGGAAGATTAAGCCATTCGACACGCTCGCATAGTGGTTCCAAGCTCTGGATGATAGCCTGCGATCGTTGCGCATTCCGACATAGAACCAGAACCTTAGATAATTGTGTTGAATGCATGCGCGAAATTTGTGTTTCATCAATGACAATGAGATCTGCATGGGCATTCGGGGTCCAAGGTTGAAGTTGTACACCATACCATTCCGTCAAGTAGTTTGCGATTGTGCGGTCCGAAGGAAGAACTTCCGATGAAGTGCCTTGGAAGGGAACGAAGGAGACTGTCTTTCCTTTGATTTCCCGCTTTAGAGACTGGAGGTCATCTACCGTGGACTGAACAGAAGGCTCTTGAGTAATCATATAGTCTTTCTCACGTTCACTTCTGGGGCATGTGAGCGGGATTGAAATTTCAGCAATGGTTCCTATGCCCGGTTGACTCTTGATTTTGATGTTGCCGCCGAGGTATCGGAGGATACTTTGAACAATAGACATCCCGAGTCCAGTGCCTGGTGATAAAGGGTCCTCTTGTGAAAAAGCAGTAAAAAGGTCGGAGCGGAGGTATTCGCTCGAAATGCCCCTTCCAGTGTCTGAGACCGTCAAAAGAAGAGCGTTGCAGTTGTCAATTTTCGGGTTCCCTGGGCCCTTTGGGCCGTTTTGAATCTCAATACGGACCGATACGGAGCCCTCCTGGGTGTATTTGAGCGCATTGCTGAATATGTTCATCACTATACGCCGCAAAGCCCCTCGCTCCAAGACAAAGACCCAGTCACCAGGGGCTACGTCAATGGAAACATCGACGTACTCGTTAGGAACGGATTTCAGATCATCAAACAATCCTCCTTTGTAATGTGTTGCACCAAAAGCAATACTTTCAATGACATCTTCAATGACCGCTACAATGTTGGTAGGCTTTAGAATGTGTAGAGACTCAGGCAATGCATGGGATTTTGCCACACCCCGGTCTCCATACAAGCGAAGAGTGTAGTCTCGTCGCTTCTTTTGAAAAGAGTTGATCTTCGTGAAATCTAAAATCTGCTCAAACGTATCCAGAAGTGTCTGACTGCAGGCACGAATGGTATCGAGGAGGGACCTTGGGAGCTCGGAACCTACCTGTTCAGCAAGGAATTCGCTTGCAGCTAGGATTCCGTGTAGCGGACTTCGAAGCTCGTGTCTACCGAAAGATGTGATTAGTGACCAATGCCAACTGTAATCAACACAACATCCTTGACAGGACATCAAGAAGAAAGGTCCCTGGAAATCACCTACGAGATATTGCTGATAAAATCCGCTTTCTTCTTGTCCGATTCTTGACTTTGGATACGACTATGCTCCATCATCAATGAAGAACCAAATCCGAGAACACCACCTAGCTCGACATGAGCACTGAAAATGCGAGTTTCAGCCGAGCTCCAGCAAAAGCAGCCACCAAACCACCGTGACTTAAATGAATCCCACAAAGGCGTGAATATGATACGAGTAGCATCGGGGAAGTATTTTCGCAAAGCTCGAAGATCCTTTTCCCTTAATACACCCTGGAGTCGTGGCTGGGACATGCTGGGGCTTTGGGGAGAGGGGTTTGTATCATCCCCTTCGCTTTCTGATTTGCTTGTATCATCATCTGACGAAAACACTGTTCCATCTTCATGGAAATACCAAATGGCACCTTTATCGAACCTGCGTAGCATACGCTTCAGGAACCCCCGTTCCATTTGAGTAACCGGCAAGAAATTCGGCTGATCTTGGGAACCGACCATTTCAGTGTGTTTTCTCGAAATGGTACAGATTTTGGCAAGGGGTCGAGAGACAGCCGGCGCATCTCTTGAGTCTTCGTCGAGATCTAACCCAGGAGTGGCATTGCTGTCGAATATTACGACACCGCCATCTTCTCCAAGGTCCAGGCTCTTTCGCATGATTTGAGCAGCGCGTTGAAATGTCGTTCCGTTCTTGTTGATGGAGTAATTTATCGAAGCATTGAACTGTTGGAAGGGCGTATTCTGATTACTGTTGGTAGTCGATGTAGCATCTGAAGTAAGCCTGGGGCTATCCTCTGATTGTGCTTTATTTCTTGCCGTTTTCTTGGTAATTTGCGCATTGTCGTTTTCTAGTCTTTCGATCGGGATTGTGGGAGGACTGGGTGTGTTTGACTGATCTAGCTCCGATGAGCTTGAGGTTCTCGAAAGGGGTTCATTGATGGGATCCACGCTTTTCTCGCCTTGAACAAAATAATTTAGGCCAGTTAGCAGGTTGGCTAGACGTCCGCTCTCTAGCGATTGACGAGATATCTCTAGATATTCCATGACTGCAGCCCCAATGACACTAAGTGTCTCTTTATGAAATTCGCTTAAGCATATATTTGGCCGCGGATCGATAACATAGAGGCTACCGATATTGATGCCACTAGCAGTCGTCAGAGGAGTACCGGCGTAGTATCGAAAGTGCGGGGCACCGGCCACGCAGGGAATTTTGCAATAGGTTGGATGTTCTTTCAAATCTTCGACAATAAAGAAACGATGCCTTTCTTCCGCGGTTGGGTGCAGTGTAATTGTTTCCTATTAGTATCCAGACTTAGTCAGCCAAATCAATGACCTCGGGATTATTGTGATCTTGTTTGCATAATCTGTGCATATCTAACCTCACACAAAGTTCCCGCGAGAGGACCATTTGAACAACCCATCCACAGGTTATCACCGTCATTGTCGCAAACACTGTTGTCACCCAAATGCAAAGACCGTGTCGCTTCGGCGACCACATATAGTGTTTCCCGACCAATCAAGCTAAATTGAATCAGCTGCTGATCCATTATTTTGGATCGAGACGCGCATACCTGATAATTGCGCGTTGGACTCCCAACTTCAGCGCCGCGAGTTGGGTCAGAGAGGTAAGAACGAGGTTAGGGCTTGCTTTGATTTGCGGTCGGCCAAATGTCGAAGTACATGTCGGGAGGAGGGCTGGATTGTCGGGCTGGAAATAATTGAACAGTTCTCGGGCGCGACGAGCATTATCATGACTCTCCCTCGGCTGGTTTTCCGGTAAATCCATGGCCTTTTCCGGACCCGTCCTTGCTATCTCTCTTTCGTCTCTTATCCCTATGGAGCTTTGTTGAGGTTTTTGGGGAGAATCAGTCAAGAATATCAAAGGCAAGAAAAGATTAAAAGAATAAAAGAAGAAAAGAAAAGAAGAAAAGAAGATAAGAAAAGAATTAAAGAAAAGAATAAAAGAAAAGAGAAAAGAAACGTTCCTTGAAATTCCCTTTATCGCTTAGTTTATCTCTCTCTGGCGGTGATTTTGTTGCGTCATTTATCCCCACAGTTCGGGGGCCCAGACTGCACAAACAAAAAGTCTTGGCCTTTGAGAGGATCTTAGATATTTCTTGACCTCGGAGACCCAGAAACCGTCGAGGCAAAAGGGAAATAGATCGAGTTGAATTGCTTCTTTTTGCATAGAACACCTGTAGATAAGTCCGCCACATGGGATTTCTTAATAACGCAGTAAATTTGTGTATATTACGCACAGTGACCCAAAATCCTATACAGCTAAAATGTAAAAGTCTTGACAAATAAACGTATGTAAATGCGGTTCTGAAATGTGAACCGGAATCGCAAATCTCCTCGTCTTCTGCAAAGTGTCTTAACACCTGCTGTATTGCGCCAGTTTTTATAAGGTCTCTTACGGCTACATGACATTGTAGTTCTCTTCCCCAGGCTCAGTACCTAGAGGCTCCATGTCATCACACTATTTCCGATAAATACGGTAAGATGACTAACAAGAGAGGGTATTAAGTGACACTGGGGGGAAGGCATAACTACGATATTGATAGTCAAAGCCTGGTAAAATGGGGCAGACAAAAAGACAAGAAACTTGGCTATCTAAAAACCCGACACCTCAACTACTATAGCAAGGGCCGCTAGGTATATTAGCTGCCCAGCACTCTGAACAGCCTCATGATCTGCTGTACTTTGAATGAAATTAACATACTCTGTTCCTGTGAGAGCATGGTCACTCCCTTGTGTATATGGAAGTGGCTGATATCGTGCGCTCACTCAATGACCAGTGATACTTCCAATTAGATCTAATCTTTTTTAAGTAACGGAATTGATTTGCCTAGGGCATCATTTAAGCTTAAAATTAGCGAGTTACGTGGATGACATAAACGGGTAGCACTAACTAAATGGTAGGTTCGATATAGAACAGATAGCGACATTAGATGCTCCGTAAACGGTCCTTATGCTTGTATATCCTTGATCCTCCTATGCCATATTTTTGTGATTCACTTTTCTTTTAGTCCGCTATACGACTTTTGTCTAGATATACTTCTCGCCATTGCCGTACGTCTGCTCTTTTAGCTTAATGGAAATCAACTCTATTCTGCAGATGCTGCCTTTATGACAGAGGACCATAATTACATCTTTGAGTGTCGGACTTTATTTTGGGTTTGTTACATTATAGATAAATGCCTGTAAAACAGTATTCTATCCTTACATTGAAGCTTTTATGCAGTTGAATTCGATGGGCTGGATAGGGTGCGCCGCTCGTATGTGAAATACGTTAACCAAGTCCGAAAGTAACCCTGGCCACTATGCTCCTGCGTAGTACGTTGGTCTGCATGCACGACACCTTTTAGACATGCAGAAGTGGATTTCTGATATGTCCAGTCTTTAAACCACAAATTCTGGTGCTTGATCATTTACACACTCGCCTCATATTATTTACACCGGCGAATCAATTGGCTCTTCGAAAACACCGCTTGGTAAAAAGCATAAGGATACGCTATCGAGAGGAATGGCAGTTAGTGTGGATATCCCGGGGGAGATTAGTACGGTGAACGACGAGAAGCCCGAGGTTGGGGGGATATGCAGGAAATTGAGGGAGATGGTGGCAAATTTGCGCAGTGCTCGATGATAAATCAAAACGGAACATCGCCCATATAGGGACTCCTACGTATAGATGATGGACCGAAACCTGGATTTTCACCAGGTGGTGATGTTCCAGTTGATTTCTGCTTCTTTTGAAGTGACCTGGGATTGTACCGTCATAAAACATAAAAATGGCATCAACCCCATCCGGTCATAATTAGCTATTAAATGGCTTCCCCTTAAATAGCCATATTGGCACAAGTAAAGGCGGGCGTGACAGATCCTGAGTAGTCAGCAATGATCGCCTCAACGGCTGCATACAGCCCAGGACCCAGCAAGAACAGTCCAACAATCATGATGAAAACATTGAGCAGAGTCAGAGCAGTCTTTCCCAGACCCTTGAAAAGTGATCCCCGGTTGAGCTGCCAGTATGCGACAGCGAAGTAAATGAACCCAAAGAACGAATCAAAGGCTGCGCTGAGCAGGGACAGGAAATCACCCATGCTGGGAATGATCTCCGCGAAAACAAACCCGAGTATCCAGATCCCGACCATGATAATTCCCCAGACACTCCATCCGATCACGGTGTGGCTGTGCGAGTGTCGGGACTTGCCAAGGATGCGGGTGTAGATGAATTTCCCAGTTACGTTGGCGTAGATCACGCCGATGACTAGGGTGGGGACGATCACGAAGCCGAAGGATGACTTTTTGTATGATACCACTCCGAGACTGCCAAAGGCTGGGGCGGTAGCATATTGGCCGAGGTAACGGAACCCAATGGCCGAGGGGACGATGAATAGGACGGCGGAGATCGCGGCCAGAACAGCCAATGCTTTGGGAAAGTCTTGCGGCCGTTCCATCTCTGAGATGAAAGTTGGAAACAGAATTTGGGGGACCCAGAGATAGGTGATGTTCAGCACAGCGTTCATACAGGCGACCCATGTGGTGCCTGGCAGAGGGAAGGCATAGGTTTTCACGGGTCCGTCTGTCGGGTAGTTGCCCCTGTATCCGTAGAGAGGGGCTTCTTCGATACCAGCGAAAATGAGGAAGAGAAGAATTGCGATACCCATGCAGGCGGCTTTGAGAATGTCAGCTGGGGCCGAGTTAGAGGAGAAGTAGCTACTCACATGAGAACATTGACATGAAACTAATATGTTGCAAGGTCCGGGGCATGGACATGACGATTCCCACAACAGCTGTGATGATTGAGAAGACCGCAGTGCACAATGTGTGATCTGAGAGGGTATTCAAGACCTTCGCACCAGTCAAGACGTGAAATCCGATGAGAAGAATATTATTTGCAAGCATCATGAATGCGGAGAAGACGTAGGCAGCTTTGCTCTGTCCAAATACGTGATATCCAAAGTCGCCTGTGGGGGGAATACACTGTTAGTTTTTCATTGCAAGTTGGAATCAGGATAGTTGGACTCACAAATATCCATGATATGAGGGTGCTTCATGATATACTTGTGCATCGTGATGGAGGTGACCCAGAAGAGGAGTCCGCAAAGGATCATAGTAATGATTCCCGGAACCCATCCAAGGACACTTGATACAAGCACTCCTGTCAGCTTGATTGAAAATAGTACTCGAAGGAAATGGCCACTCACGAGAGAGACCACGACTGTGCCATGATGGCCAGACAGACCTGCTCACCGGCAAGCAAGCAGGCCGTCTTCTGCCACGACATAGTTCGAAGCTTGATATCATGTTCATGGTCTGGACGAAAGGTACTGTCAGCTCAGTGGGAGATATAACGCAGGGCAATCAGTACCTGCGGCAACCAGAGCAGTGATGGTATCAAATGAGTCTGTTCCATCAGTCTCGGTGCCCAGGACGTAGCCTGGTTCCTTGTCGTCTTTAGACATGTTTCAGGTTCTTAAGATTGAGGTGATTAGAGAAGGTAAGTCTGCCTAGGATGCCATGATAAACAAAATGAGAGACAAATTACACAAATTACACGTGGATCAAAGTCTTTTTTTTTTCTTCTATTTTTTCTTCTATTTTTCTATTTTTCTTTTTTGCCTCTTTTTTGACCTTGGCATTAACTTGGTATCTTTGACGCCAACCCAGAGAAGGCAAAAAGTGCATGGATGGCGCCATAATTAAGAGCATCGCGATATTGGCTTTAACTTGTCAGGGCTTAGCTAAACTTGCTTATCGGCCGTTCCGTGGGTCTGGCCCAATTTCCCTGTCGAAGGCTTTTAGACTTTTAATATGATTGGTCGAACGGGTTGACTTTCCTACCTTAGCAAATCAAAGCAGCCCTGGAGTGTAACAAATTACCCTCCTTTGCCTACCTAGGTATTTCTTGGCACATTGCTTAATATATTTGCCGAATTTTCGTTCTCTCAGATGCTATGGATATATTCAAACTACAGCTTCGCACTAACCGAGCCCTGCACAGCCCGATCAACAATATCCATGGCCTGGAAAAGCTGATAATCATGTTGCTTAGGAGTGACAACCTGCACACTGAGGGGTGACCCGAGGTATACCTGACGGTCAACCTTTTTCTCTTCCCCTATGAATCGAAGCCAATTAGCGAAGGATCACCTGTGTAGTGTGAATACAAACTTACACAACTGCCGATTAGCCTTATCCCAACTTCCCAATACAGGCACATCCATTTCCCGCCCAATCTCAAGATCGGATTCTGTGAATGAGCGGACAGGAACCGAGCCAGCCGGATAGTCTAGCAACACAAAGGTCGAGGTGTACCCAACGGCATTGTAGCGGTCGAGCTCTGGGACCGGGTGTGGCGCCACAGGGCAAATTATGGCGTCAACGCGTCGAGCAACAGATGCAGCCGGTGATGTCAATGTCCACATCTTCATAATCTCCTCTTCAACCTCGGCACGCTGGGCCTGCAGATTGGCCAGTTGAACCACCGTCAGGGCCTTTCCGCGCTTCATACGGCCCTGCAGCCACGGAGTGAGCTCCTCGCCCATGCTCTCGATGAGATCGAGCATGTGGGACCCGTCGTCGACGCCCATCAGCCTACCAGCGAGGGCTTGACATTTCGATAAGACCGAGGGAACGGGGATATCAACAACCTCGACGCCCGGGGTACGGCGGAGCTTGTTCGCTACTTCGTTCAAAATGCGGGTAATCGGGGGCAGAGGTGTGACGAGACCATCTGTCTTGAGAATACCGATAGTGAAGTTGCGCGGAGCGAGAGAAGCCGGTACCGACTGTGATGGCCAGGAGCCCGGAATGCAATCAGCGCCGAATAGCTCCGCGCGAGGCACGATCTCCGCCATGACGGCGTTGAGATCCGCAACAGAGCGAGCCAACGGACCAGCTACTGCTTGCAACCCTATGCGCCCCTTACCTTCAATCTGGCCGCTCTGTTGGCCTCCAAATGGCACGCGTCCAGTACTCGGCTTAAACCCGTAGATACCCTGGCACATAGCTGGAATACGAATGCTACCCCCGATATCCGTGCCAAAGCCTACCATAGTCCCGCGCATAGCGATCAACGCGCCCTCCCCACCAGTGCTACCACCGGCCGTCCATTGACGATTGAGAGGGTTCAGCGTGCGCCCGAAAAGGTGATTGCAGCTGTCCAATGTTCCGAGTGTTTGTGGTACGTTTGTCTTGGCGATCACTACCGCGCCCAGAGACTGCAACAGCTCTACTAGCGGTGCAGTTGCTTTGGCAGGCTTGAATGCCAGGGCAGACAATCCGATGCTGGAGTCCACGCCTTGGATATTAAATGTATCCTTCACTGTCACCGGGAGCCCATGCAGGGGGCCGATCGGGGCGCCAGTGCGCTGGAAGTGATCGTCCAGCTCCCGGGCTCGTTGTAGGGCGCGGTCGAAGAGGGGTTCGGTTAGACAGCGGGTGAGTTGGTGAGCGACAGCTGCTCTCTGCAATTAACCGCTTTTAGCAGCTTGATCGGAAATGATTAGCCAATATACTAGCGCACCTTGCAAAACCCTCGCACCACATCCTCGGCCTTCAATCGACCCTCTGCCATCTCCGCCACAAGGCCCCGCACGTCGTATTTCTCTGTGATTTCCAACTCTTTGGGTGTAATTATACCACAAGTTCGTGGAATATCCATCACCCCAACTCGTTGATAGCTTTTTGGACCAACGGTGATCGACTCGGAAATTGAGAGCATCCCGTCAGGGATGAGGTGTGCGGGTAGCCGCCATTCGGCAGGGATAGCTGCAGCAAGCTCAGCTTGCTTGCGTTGGGCAACTGCCACATAACGGGGTTCCTGGGAGGCCATGGTGAATGTGTTGAAAATGACATGGAGAGAGGTGGTTTTTAATGCGGGGGTGGAGAACAACCTCGGCCCAGACGTTGGGGTATTCCAAGGTCCACGGTTACTTCGACTCCAAAAGGAGACCTCCCAAAACCTATATGTTTTACAATGTAACCCCCATCAGCTGAAATAGGTATATACTTGTTTAAAACCTCGGCGAAAAGGACACTGGTCACAGAAATGAAAAATTCCTAATTAGGGTACAGGATGTATATCTTAGACTATGTGTACAGCTTGATCACGTTAATGTTTTGAGCTTTATTTCTGTCAATGCTCCGTTATCACCTATAATAATATCAAATAGAAAGAATTACAGTCTTCCCTTAAGCACAGCTCCACCATCTGTCGCAATGACCGCTCCATTCAAATGACTTGAAGCCCTAGACCCAAGGAAGACAACCAAACCAGCAATATCCTCAGGCTTGCCAAGTCGACCATTTGGTGAGTACGCCTCAAGATCTTTCATACCTCCTTTGGCCTCAATAAGTCCAGAAGCCATCTTCGAGGGATAGAACCCTGGTGCAATAGCATTGGTCAAGACATGACGTGGCCCAAGCTCAACTGCCAAGTTCTTCGCCAGGTGGATAGCAGCCGCCTTGGAAGCGGAGTAAGACGGGGTTGCGTTATCGCCGACTGTGCCAATCCCAATACCTGCCACAGAGGCAGTGATAATAACACGGGATGGATCTGTGATGGTTGCCTTTGCTGTGAGGAGAGGGGTGAATCTAGTTCGATGTTAGAATCGTGTCTCATCCCTAGTTTGGGCTAGGCTAGTAACATACTTTTGAATTGTATAGAACACACTCTTTACATTCAAATCCATAACCTTCGAGAACATCTTCTCGGGGTGGGTATCGAACTTCTCGCCCCAGGTCGCACCGGCATTAGCGAAGAGAATATCGACGCGGTCGGTTGTTTTGCCCACTTCAGCAACAAGTCGATCTAGCTCTTTCATGTCTGAGCTGTCGGCCGGCACAGAGATGGCTTGTGCGCCGGGCCGCTTGTTGGGGATGGCATTGAGAGCTGCGACTGCTTCATCGCAGGCTGCCTTCTTGCGGGAGGTGATGTAGACTTTGGAGCAGCCGGCTTGGAGAAGACTGTACAGGTGTGAGAATATGTACTGGCAAACAATCGTCATAACGCTGAAGATACATACCCCGAGGCTGCATGTAGTCCTAATCCCCGGGAACCGCCCGTTACGACAGCGACCTTGCCCTCAAGGGAGAAGATGCTGGAGAAGTTGGAGAGTTTGACTTGTTCGTCGACGGACATTATGAAATTGATTGGGACTCAATTATGCTAAAACAATAATGAGATGAGGAAACAGATGTTCGGTTCCCTTAGCTATTTGTATCGGTCTAAGCCGAAATGGCCGAGGCTCATTGACTCTCCCCGCCCACGGGTGGAACCTTCCAAGGAAGCCCGGGGTGATTAGTAATCTACACATAAATTCTAGGTAGCCCTGTATGATCAATAGATATTTTGAAGTTTCAATTATTTTTAATTGTCTGATTGGCGTTGTTTCTTTGTATTTCAGTCGACGGAAAGTTGTAGAGATGTTGTTCAAGCTTGATCGGAATGGCCAAGCTTTTGAAAGGTAGTTCAATAGTGGTTTTGCTCTGGTTTTATTGTTATAAACCGTTGAGCATTCTCGTAGTGCATGCTTGTATTCTATGAGATAAAATTAGTTTTTATTCAAAGCGTGAGAATATAGAGAGCGCCAATTTCCGCGGCTCGTTTCCCCCGTCTTTCTCTCCCCGCATATGAGGACGATCATTGTATTCCTAGATAGATTGGACTGCTTTATATAATTTCGACAAAGCTCTAAAGAGCCATGAGTATGGCACATCCAAAGTATATCATATATATTTGAAGCAAAGGAAGGAGAGCAGATTAGAGCAACTTTAGCCAAAAATGTGCTCAATCCAACTCCACCTGTGGATATCTACCTTGGTGGCTTCAATATCCGTACTATAACGTCACTTAAGAGGGGCATCTAGCTGAGGGACCTTGGTGGTTTATCTCTTGTCTACACTCCCACTCTTCCTTTCCACCATTCTTTACACGTCTATATTTGCAATTCAACCATGTCTGCTCAAACTCACACTCTGCCTCCTCTCCCCTACGCCTACGATGTAAGTCTCGTCCGATCAGGGATGCCGAGGGTTTGTCATGAAGCTAACAACCAACAGGCGTTGGAGCCCGTCATCTCTAAGCAGATCATGGAGCTGCACCATCAGAAGCACCACCAGGCATACGTCAACAACCTGAACGCAGCACTCTCCGCTCAAGCATCCGCAACTGTATCAAACGACGTCCCCACCTTGATTGCACTGCAGCAAAAGATCCGCTTCAATGGCGGCGGCCACATTAACCACACCCTGTTCTGGAAGAACCTGACTCCCCCCGGCACACCTGGGAATGACATCGGCGGCGCACCCACTCTGCGTGAAGCCATCGTCTCTCGCTGGGGATCGCACGAAGGCTTCGTCAAGGCTTTTAACGCCGAGCTGCTCGGTCTCCAGGGAAGCGGCTGGGGATGGCTAGTGAGCAAGGGTGGTGCCAAGGGACGACTTGAGATTGTTACGACCAAGGATCAGGACCCTGTCAATGGACCTGATGTGCCAGTCTTCGGTGTTGATATGTGGGAGCATGCCTACTACCTCCAGGTTAGTTGATACCCATACTTATGTCCTTTTTTGTGTGTATTTGTCTGCTGATCTGAGTTGTGTACAGTACCTGAACAACAAGGCTGGCTATATCGAGGGGATTTGGAAGATCATCCACTGGGCAGAAGCAGAGAAGCGCTACACTGCTGGTGTTGAGAACCCACTGAAGCTGTGAGGTTGATTAGGAGCCAAAGTTTCCAGTTTCATCTAGTTTCAATGATCCGGTACTCTTTTAAGAGGCCAAGTATTTCCAACTCGTACAAAATGATTTATGTCTCCAATTATGTGTATGATGTATGTTTGTAAATAGCAGAAGCTGGTCACTTTAATTGTATCCCACAACTCCAATCCCCAGGATCGAACCCCCTTGTTCTCTCACCGTCACTCGTCGACCAATGACACCCTTCTCCGAGACGCCCAGGTCCAGCCTTTCGGGCAGCTCGAACTCAATTTCCCTTGGATTCGCAGTGTTGGAGCTCTTGTTCCGTTCCATATTCAGACAGAACTGATGAAGCGGAGATGTGGGTTGTGTTGTAGTGGAGAGATCACCATATTTCCTGACATGAACTGTAAGCCTTTTGTCCATTCGTATAACTCATGGGAGAGAATCAACCCACTCAATGCGCATATCGACATTTCGACATCCTCTGAGTGCATTGTATGTCTCTGCATCTTCAGTTCGAAAGATTGCTCTCGTTTTATGGCTTGTTGCATCTGGTTCGCGGAAGAAAAGAGAGTATGATGACATTGAGGCAGTTGACGATGATGATGCAAACGAGGATACCGATTCTGGCGAAGAGGACAATGATGCATCTGAAGCAATCGAGCTTGGGCGAGTCTCTCGAGGGAATAGGACGGCAATGGTGCCTCCGAATGTTGGACGGTTGGTTTCTCCACACATGGTGATCTATACAAAGTGAAGATGTTGAAATGAGATGAGATGAAAGGATGTTGATATACAAGTGACTATATTGACTGTAGGTAAAGAGAAAGACAAAAAGACAATGCCGACCATCTAAATAGGATTCCTAATAAACCCCCAAGGTGCTCAAGCTGAGAGTGATCGAGCACGAGTGAGCACATTTAAAAGTGGATTTCCTCAAATCTGCTCATGTGGGCCGCTTTGAAGCCTTGCTGCCTTGCGGCCTTGTTGCCTCAGGAATAGAACACTGCCTAAGGCACTTTTGTGATCTGTCACTATTTATAAATAACCCCTAGTATATACTTCACTTCACTATAAGCGCTTATCTTATCCCAGTGTCCAATACGATCAGAATGGGTAGATGAGAGTCTGGGTAGGGCCGTGTTGGGCAACCGTACCCCTCCTCTCCACTACAACATACACAACCCACCATCAACAAAATGGACCAGCCATCTCCCGCCGAGGACTACTATAACCTAGGTGACTACCGTCGGAGTGTGACCACAATAAGCGAGGATGCCCAAATTTGGTTTAGTCGGGGCTTGATCTGGGCCTACGCCTTCAATCATGAAGAATCTGCCCGATGCTTCGAAAAGGTCGTCGAATTCGACCCCACATGCGCCATGGGATACTGGGGCATCGCCCTTGCCCTGGGGCCCAACTATAACAAGCCATGGCAGCTCTTTGACGGAGAGGATCTCTCCGCCACCACGACTCGCGCCCATCGCGCGATTTTAGAGGCGAAGAAACACGCCCCCGCCGTGACGCCTTTGGAACATGCTCTTATCGATGCACTGCAGCACCGATACCCTCAAGAACAACCCATAGAAGACTGCACAGAATGGGACAAGAAATACGCCGAGGCAATGACATCAGTGTACAATGATCACCCGGATGACCTCGACGTGACCGCGCTGTACTGCGATGCGCTGATGAACTTGACTCCATGGGGTCTGTGGGATATAAAGACGGGTGAGGCTGCACCAGGAGCAAAAACATTTGAAGCAAAAAAAGCGCTAGATCGAGTCTTGGAGCGAGACGAAGCCCTCGATCATCCCGGTATCTTGCATCTCTACATCCATCTGATGGAAATGTCCCCCACCCCTGAAATTGCCCTGCCAGTAGCAGAATACCTGCGCGGCCTTGTACCGGATGCTGGTCATCTGGAACACATGCCTTCCCACATCGATGTCTTGTGTGGCGAGTACAAACGCGCAGTCACGGCCAATAGCTCTGCAATCCGCGCAGACGAGAAGTTCCTCGCCAAGCAGCCACTGGGCCATTTTTATAATCTATACCGTGCACACGATTACCACTTCCGGATGTATGCTGGTATGTTGGGCGGTCGATCGAAGGTCGCACTTGAGTCTGGGGCTGATTTGGCGCGAATAATCACCGAGCCTCTTCTGCGCATCGAGTCCCCGCCGATGGCAGACTGGCTCGAGGGTTTTGTGGCTATGCAAATGCATGGATTTGTGCGCTTCGGTCGCTGGGAGGAAATCATTGCTGCAGAGCTGCCGGAAGATACAGAGTTGTACTGTGTCACCACTGCTATGATGCACTATGCAAAGGGCGTCGCATTTGCTGCTACCAGCCGTGTTTTGGAAGCAGAGGAACAGCGAGAGAACTTCCTCCGAGCAAGGAAGCTTGTCCCGGCTTCGCGCACGATCTTCAATAACCGTTGTGTCGACATTCTTGGCGTCGGTGAGGCGATGCTCGATGGCGAGATTGCGTATCGCCGTGGCGAATACAATGCTGCGTTCTCGTATCTCAGGGATGCTGTTAAGAGGGATGATGCGTTGCCATATGATGAGCCGTGGGGCTGGATGCAGCCGACTAGACACGCGCTGGGGGCGTTGTTACTCGAACAGGATCGTGTTGAGGAGGCTGCGGCCGTATATTCTGCAGACCTTGGGGTTGATACGTCTCTGCCTCGTGCCTTGAGGCATCCGGGTAATGTATGGGCTTCGCATGGGTATCATGAGTGCTTGGTCAAGATGGGTCGGAAATACGAGGCGCGTGCCATGTTGCCGCAACTGAAGATTAATTTAGCCTGGGCGGATGTGCCTATTAAATCGTCATGTTTCTGTCGGCAGAGAACCGAGTGATATCTCTTTTCTATTTTGGAGTTATATCTTTAACTTTTTGAATGTTGGTTGAGGTGCATTTATTTCAGCTAACCCGAATACACTATGATCGTGAGATTGACATGGATATGAATCGTCTAAATAACTGGCCTTTATGACGAAGCTGGTTCGAAAACGCGCGATGCGGCGCAGTTAAAATTGCTGGCTGCCATGGATGGTCCTATCAAGTCATATTTCCCCTGTGTGTATGCATATGACACCGGACGATAATCCTTAGGGGCCATTATAGGGTGTTGAATTATAAATTCACATATTCGGCCGTACTATAAAGCCCATATTCGAGTGTTGTAATCCGCAGGTTCTCTCTTGTCGACTGGGTTGGGCATCGTTGTGAACTGATCAGCCATACATCTTACTATAATACATACTCCATATGGTTTCAAAACAGTTGCAATAAACATGAACAAGTATTCAGCGCTATCTCACAATATCCTAGCCAATAGATGCCCTGCCTGGAGGTTCTGTCAAGACCGTGAGCAGGGGCTAGCGCTTCTCCCCTCGCTGTGATTAGCTCTACGTCGAACCAATATGGCCCTCCGCTTCATGGAGCCCGAGGTCGCGAATCAAATTTGCTTAATATCAAACCTCATCTGTAGGTTTCCGACAATGGTCCATGTATGAATGGCGTGGATGCGATGCGTGCCTGTCGGCCAAGCCCCCAGAACCAGACGAGCCACCCCCTCTCCCAGCTTCGTACCCAAGAGCTCCTGATACTCTCTAGTACCGTATGCCCAACGCTGGGGCTCATGGTCATTAAACCAGTGCAAGCCATGACGAGGGTATAATTGGATTTCCACGTAGGGCCAGGTATGCAGATTTTGAACGTTGATAAAATAAACATACCGGAGCGTATCGATGTGGTTATCGAGCTGGTACTGCGCCTGAGCCACTTGAGACCAGTATGGCCCAGATCGTCTTGTGATGTTCTCAACGAAGATAGCGCCAAGCCCAGTGCGGTGTTGGTAAACAGTCCAACCCTCTTGGTCACCATACGAGTGTCGATATTGCCTCAAGTAAACATAACGCCAATCATTCCCCGTCGAAAGCCCGGTTGATTCGATGCTGCCCGCTTCCTCGGGTGTTGATCTATTCTCGTCTAGATGCACCTCAAAGCTGTGATCTTGGAGTGGGTGGTTGATTAAGTCACCCCAGGTGACTCTTGATCGTCGGATTGGACATGTCGTTGTGCTTCGGCCGGCTATCCATGCTTGGTATTGAGCTCCGATGGCGCGGTAATCGGTCACACTATCATCCGACACATATTGGTCCCAGGAGAGATCCGATGAGGGGAACGGTAGAGCCTGAGAAGACCTCTCATCACGTCGTCTAAATTCCATCGCCAAGGCGTCCAAGAGTTGCCATCTTCGCGTTTGAGGTATCTGGGGTGGAGGTGACGCTAGTTGAGATGATTCGCTATCGGAGCTGCGCTGTCGAGTGGATTGAGGAGAATGCGTTTCATCTCTGGTGCTTTGTGATCGCCTACTACGAGATGCTGAGGATGATTGGTATCCTCCTGGAGATTCGCCGGGTCCGTCGAGAGAGTAGTGGCGCAGGTCAAAGCTATGGATGCCAGTGTTGGTAACATGTCTCTGGCCTGTCGGGTCTGAAATCAGGGATTGTTGTGGAGCTTTCTGGTTAGCTGTCATGTTGACATTGTCACTGTTCGATCTTCCTTACCTTGTTTGATCCCGTCTTGGCCAGCCCCGTGTTGACTAGACTCGCCATCAGAATGAGAGCGAGGTGGACTTATACGCACTGACGAACGGTATTGCCGTATCATCTTTGGAATAGTTGGAAAGAATTGTCAAAGGAATTGTCACTTGGGTTGTGACTTGGGTTGTGACTTACGATTTGTTGGGGCAAGAGTGTAGGTCTGAAGTGAGCCCTCGACAAGTGATTGACAAAGCCAGTGTCATTTATTTCTGTCTGATAATCTAAATGAGAGAAATTCTTTTTTTTCTTTTTTTCTTCTTTTTTTTTTGATAGCAGTCGAAACTACTAGATACGATGGTTTGGGCTTTGAGGTATCAATCAGGCCAAAATTCATTCTGACATCCCAGACACTCACTCCCTACTGGCCACGCACTTTAGAGCAGAATATGATTCTGATTATTTTGTAATCATATGTCGTCTGAGCGTGGAAAACTATAAATATCATAGCCCATGGCAACAAGGAGCTTTGAATATTCCATGATTTCCTGCTCAAGCAGTCATCAAGATTCAATCAGAAGTAGACTTCATCTCGTCCTTCTTTTCCTCGGAGAGTTCCAGCTCCACCATCGATTCAAGTGCACATCTTTTCAAGCTCTGTTTTAACAAGATCATAGTCCTAAACCTCAAAATCAGCATGTGCCATATCGATATGGAGTCTGTAATCATAAACCGGGACGAATACTGGGAGAATACTTTTGCAACATGCGACCATTCTCGCCATCTCGATTGTCCTTTGCGCATTTTTGTGCTCGTGCCGGAGGTTATCCCGGATTATCTAGTACGGATACCTTCGGAAGAAGATCTCGATACTGTGTGCGACTTGCTGTTCGAACTGATCATCGGTGATGCTTGCGATAGATGGAGGGATAGGCGGAGAAACTGGGAGGTGATAGAAGTATGTGTCTAAATAGACTAAGTCTACGGATATTATCTCTTTGTAAGAAGTGTTGCTAGCAATGTGTTTGATTTTGTTTGCCCTCGGATTCATTTTGGATATTTCTTCCTTCAGATCCTTCCCGGCTCTCATGTTCTGGACCAGAAAGAGCTACTTTGTGTTCATTATGATTTGACGCACGTCGTTATTTTACCTTAATGCTAGGGGTCTTACCCAATTCTTGACTCATTAAGACATTCACTGGTATCAGATCACGCGCTACTGAATGAAAGCGCTCAAGCGTGCGAAAACAATAATACAACAGAATATACATAGTTTTATGTAAAGTTGGGCTGCGGTCCACTAGCATTGGCAGTTAATAAAAAAGAAAATATACAGTCCATGTAAGCGAGCAGACGATCTAACCATGGAGAAACGGCTACTCACCAAGTCAAGGGCTCACTATATGATAAATATTTATACCCAATATTGAACCAAACCAATTTTCTCGACGATATCAGTCATTTATGATATGATATAAAGTCACCATACTTCAACTGATGCAGCTGAATGCAACGATTAAACGAATATGACTGCACGTACAATACTTAGAATCAAAGATGAATATATATGATGATTTATTGAAGATCTCATTGAACTAATATATATCGTAATCATGAAAGAGCCATGTAAACAAAGGCCACGACAAATGGTGTCTACTGATGTCAAACGAATATCTGCAGTAATTTGCGATATTCCATCGTATCGCAAATGTGCGTACTATATCTTTCACCACACTCTCCAGCCGTTGAATAATTCCAACAGATACATAGTGGTGCGGTATGGATCTGATTTATCGTCAATTAGCGTTATGTTCTAATAGAATTCAGTAAATAATTTCTTTTATTATAAATGCGACTAAACACTCAGACTGGTGGAAAAATGAAGTAGCAAAAGAAAAGGAAATATGCGGATTTTCCAGCATTTAATATCGAATAAACTCCATTTTCCACTCAATTTCCACTTCAGCTACTACCAGAGCTATCAAAATGTAAAAGTGAACTTATTTATAGAAAACGTTTATTAACTCCAAGGTCACCCCATCTGCCACTCCCTTCCTATTAGAGAATGCCAAGTGATGCCAAGACAGACACCTTTAACAGTGAAGTACTAGCTGAATGGGTAGGAAAGAGGCTCAGTTCGGGGCTGCCGGCGTGGATTGGACCCTGTATAAATGCTCCGCCACCTGTTCGTCGAGTCTACTGGTCCGATCGGAATTTGTGGGGTCATTTTGTATAGGTCCTTGGCGTTGCCACCGCAGGTCGAGGGCTGTGTTAGCAGATTAAAGGAAATGATTAGCATGACATATGAACTATGTTTCTGTGGCTGCATACAAGATATATAAGTTCTCTGGAATCATGAGAACCTCTGTATCATCTAGTTCTGCTCTCTCTATAAGCGCCTAATATTTAATATCTCATACCACTTATAACCATGCCTACAGCCTTGCACCACCAAACTTCCCCTTCTTTCTGCATCGAAGCAGTACCGAGGAAAGAGAAAAAATGGCTCTCGCTTCTTTCTCTTCGATTCGGCGCGGTACTATGCGCCATGATAGCGATAATCTGCTTTGCTTGGGCCATGGTTTAGCATCATGAAGGAGTTGTTTCAAGCGATGGACTAGGAGAAGCATGGTCTAGTATAAACCTGGGTACGGTGAGTCAAAGAATGCTAATTATAATGTTTTTATATATCATATATTATAAAGACGTCCCGCTGATTATATTCCTATCATAATCAGGCCTCATACGGATTCGTCTGGTCCACTGTTTTTCTCATCATCGTCTTTTGCAACTGCGTGGTTCATCCTGGTGTAATCGTTGCATTCGACTGCATTTCTTGCATTGCCCAGTTTATCACAGTTTGCTTTGATTTGCATGAGCTTGCCTATTGGAACCTTGGTGGTTATGGGTACTCCAGTACCCAGGATGTTGGCCCATTGTATGGGGCCGAGTGTTTGGGCTGTTCTATGATACTTCTTGGAATGTGAGTTTAGTATTCCTCGTTTTGCTATATTTTTATATCTGATGGAATATGATAATTCAGCCTCTTCAACCTCATCCTTTGTGTACGTGCCTCTGTCGCCTGTCATAGGCTGCGGAAGGCTGGAAAGCAGCTAGACGCCAAACGGCCTTTCGACGCGTGATGTCTACTGGCAATTCTTGCTCTATGCGCTATGATTTTCAGCAGCTACACGGCCTACTAGATAGTCTACTACAGAGTAAAGTTTAATATTTAATATTCAACTCGTCCTATTGTCAAATTTGGATCTTTCCATCTTCACTCATCGCCAGCTTTCTCAGTCTCCAAATGCCACCTTTTGATAAGGTTATGATGTTGCCAGAAACTGCGGTATCTCTTGCCGTAGATATACATCGGGACAGAAGTGAGAATTAGACCAGCACTGATACCAGCCATAACATTAGACATGCTCGAAACACCTTGCGTCATAAGCCAATCAATTCCGTAATCACTGATACTGTAGAGAGAGTATTAGCAAAATATTCAATGGGCACATGGCGTCACAAAAATCTGTTTTGAAAAGACTCGTGAAAGGTTATGCATACCCATAGAAAAAGAAGTTTTTGAAAACCATGTTCATGATGAATATCTCGGTGCTGTGCTCTCGCATAGCATCCAGTACATATGCACTGTTGACGGCAGCCGAGATAAACAAGCCAAACATAAGCACACCCCATGCGAATGAGATGAGGTAGATTGACACCGAATTCTGGCAGGCGTATCCAAAGCCCACAAGACCGGCAACTGTGGGGATAAGGCCAATGACGATCACAGGCAGCCTGAACTCGGGTTCGTAGACTCCCTTGTTTCTTCGTGCCACTGCCTTGATGAGCGGATCTGCGATCAGACCGTATACGATAAGACCCAATGTGCCGCCAATCAGAGGGCCCGTAGACACATAGCCAATGCCAGCGGGACTGAGGGAGTACGGCGGAGCTGACCAGAGAACAGCGGAGATGATCGAAGTGCCCACTGACCAGGTAATAGTAACACCAGAAACGACGACGTTATAAAGGGCGGCAACATTAAGTAAGATGGCTGGGCAGGAGAGAAGCATTTTGATCAAAGAATCTTCAACAAAGACTCCATTCCAAACCGCCAGTCGCTGCCGGAATGACTTTCGTCGCGGTAGAGTGGTACAGGTTCGGACATTCTCTATCTCCTCACTGCCGACACTTTCTTTGGTGGGCTCATCGGGCGTTCCAGCTGCGGCTTCCACATCTCCGAGCTCTTCGAGGTTCACGTTTGAGCCTATTATGTCCGTTTCATAGATCTTGCTTCTGTTGTAACTGGTCTCTGGCACGAAGAGAAAAACAAGGATAAACTGCAAGGTCGTGAAGGGCAACAGTATATGAAAGTTATAGGACCAGCCAAAACGCGCTGTGATCACCCCGGCGATGATGGAGACACCGTTATTGATTGCTGTCAAAATGAACATGACGGCTGAGACCCGGGTTCCCCTCTCATGCACAAAAAAGAGATCACCGATGGATGTCAGAATCAGGGATTCGTATGCTGCCATGGCTAGACCCTGGATAACCCGAGCGCCCACCAGGGTAGAGTACTCCTTGGCGACTTCTCCAATGATACAGCCGACTACGGCCAGTAGAGACGAGAGGAGGTATAGAGGTCGTTTTCCGAACTTTCTTGCGAGCGCTGAGACGAAGAACCCGGAAGCTCCAGCTGCTAGAAGAAGGTAACCCGTGAGTAGTGCAATGTCTGTCACACTGACGCCCAAATCCACCGAAACCTCAACCGTGCCTGCAGCAAGCAACGGGCCCTGTATGAAGCTGTCAGCATTTCTCAATACCTGGGAATTGAAGGTTGGCTTACAACTACCGTGGTAGAAGTAATAGCACCATAGCAGAGTACTCCTATAATGGTGTGCTTTTCAAATGACGACCAGTTCAATGGGTCATTGGGATCGTCCGAAGGCTGCGGAGCGAGCACCACATTCTTGTCTCTCCCAGTCCCATGCTTCAAATTCCCAGTTTGAGGCAATGAATGTGCCGCCGCTTCGTTGAGCAGAACGGTACCGGCCACATGGGTGGTTGTAGAAGGTTCAAGAACACCGAGACCCATGTTGAGACTCGAGGGTAACTTTAATGGGATATAATAGGAGGATTGCCAGTTATAGCTGAGCAAAGTCTCCCATCTTAATACTTATATGGTGATAGATATAGAATATGTAATTACATACCTTGATATCTAGATCCCATGGCCTTAAGCTTGTATATTACAGAATTACAGCTATAATATGGTATATTACTCACATAAACCAGCGTAATGTTGTATATATTACCGTTCCGGTTTCTTAATAGCCGAAATCCCCGCGTTTCGGGATTTTAGCTTTCCCCACATTACGCTAGTATGTGGGGGATCCGAATCGGCTTAATATATGTATCCCGGTCGACCCGATATGTTCCAAAACTCCTGAAGTGGGGTGTAGATTCGTGTTCCAGACCCCCCCCCCCAACATGTGAGAACGCCCTTATCTTAGATACGTAGCTCCGGTTCATTGTTCTCCGGTAAAGTACGCGGTATGCTAAGGAAATAGCGTAGTAGACCATATGGTAATGGCCAGTATCCTAGATATATTATGCTATAGAAGATGGGCCAGTTCATACCAAGCTAAATTGCCGGTTCAAAGTGGACACGTGCCAATGGGACACAGCTGGTTATTCTTTAATAAAGGTTTCGCCAGATCGTGAGTCAAATAATGCCTAAGAAACAAGTAAACTCATCGCCAATAAACTCAACAGAGATGCTGCAGTTTGCCAAGAGCAAGCAAAGGACAGTTTTATCATAGAATGTTTCAAATTCCAATTTATAGAGATGTCCACCTCAGCGGCCAACACATAAGTACTTGCGAGCGGTGTTTCTTGTACTCTATATCTGCTGATCATTCGTATCCAAGGTAGTATCACTTAAAGCGCGTAAGACCTGTGAATGTGTTGTATCATGCTTTTGAGAGATATTATCCAACAAATCCGCACAATGCATCATAGACTGCCGACTATTGCGGCGACTATGATGAAAGAGACGCCCCTGGAGCGTGAAATCTCCACCACCACGAATGAACTGATGCACGTCACCCGGAACTTCGGATGGCAATTTAGGCCCTTCCTCAATGTCGGTTAGGCCACATTTGCCTATTGAAGTCCAATCAATCTCAGAGAAAAGGTCAATGGATACTTTCGGATGGTCTGGGGTTGTGATTGGAGCGGTGCGGAAGTAGAATCCTAACACTAGTGCGGAAACGAACAGTGCATCCGCGACATGCAACCTAAGTGCGTCGGATGCCCTGCGGTCGTACAGAAGGCGGTAGATTTCAGTTGAATGAAGCACAGCTCGGCGTGCCTGCGGCGTTTGCGCCCACATTTGAACACCCTCAAGATGCTGTATGGCTTTCTCGGGGCCGAACCGACCAGATGCGTTTTCGAGTGAATGAATGTCGACACAACAAAGCAGGCACATCATATTCCAGAGCAAAAGACTGTTCAAGTCGCTTGTTTTTGCGGTTCCTTGACGATACGGTAGCGCTGAAACCAGGCACGATCGTAAAGAGCCGTCGATGTGTGGTTCATAGACCTGCCCCGACTGTTGTTCTTGTGTTCTTCTAGGTATGACCGCACGAGCCTGAGATTCACATATTCTGTGGTACAGCAAATTGAGATAGCCATATAGGCGTGATTTGTCCTGGACGTCTAAATAGGCGGGAAATGCATACGCCGTGGCGGAGGCTGGCTGGAGAATTGGATTGTTGTGGATGACTTTTGCCCAGTGCTCAGCGGAGGCAGCTTGAAAGAGGTCATTTCGAGACGGCAAGTCTATTTGTATGACCTCAGAGCGAATGATGGGCATTTTGGAAAAGTAATTGGCGAACCAGCAATCTAACTCGACAAAACTTATCGCCATCCTGGTCGAGGTTAGCTCTCCGCAATAAGCGACTCCATACAACGCTCTGACCTTTTCATGCATTCTGCTTTGCACCATGATGTCCAGCGACGTTCAGGCGTGGATTCCAAATCCCAGAAGTTGGAATAAGAGAAGCCATCGGATACATCAAACATTCCTTGTGCCTGCGCAAGCTATTTTCCCGGCCATTTAGTATAGAACATATTTGCCCAGGTAGGATATACTTACAGTTACTGCTGCTATATATAGCGGTTGAATTTTGCAAATCATGTCTCGATCCTAGCGAACAGTCAATAGGGCAATAATATACCAAATCAGACGTAAAACTCACCCCAGAAAGTGACGCAATATACAAGGTTAGGAGCGAGGCTCCAAAAGACGCCAAAGTGCTGGTAGGGGACGAATCCCCCTTCATTGTGGACTTCAGGGCGATATGCGCTGCATCAATAAGCCTCTGCGAGACAAAGTTAGCCAATGGGTTATCGTACGATATTTCTAGATAACCAAGCTCACATCAAATGTCTGCGAAACAAATTCCGCCGCAGCCTTAGTTTTAACAAGACTGAACCCCAGCTCACAGATGGCTAGTAATAATGTTGTAGGGCAGTCGCTGGCAGAGAATGTCGGGATATGAATGATAGAAGCAATGGGCAGGAACTTCCAGCGAAAGACATCCATCACTGTATCAAAAACGTCTAGCGATGGCATACTGAATGCATCCGATTCATATGGCCCTGAAACTGGAGAGGGAATATTGGTGAATTCTGAATCAGGCACGCAAGCGCCCGCACCAGATAGAAGTTGCCGGATCCTGTTCCAGCAGCTGATGTCAAAGTCGCTAAGGGAGTTTGACTTTTTGTCGCCATTTCCACCTTGTATGGGCGGCCTGTCGGTCCTATTGCAGAAAATGTTCCCCACATTTGCACGGATGACCGATTCCCAGAGCTGATGTTCCCCTCCAGAAAACCGCTTTGCATCTGGTGGCCAACAACGTTGTATTTGCTCGATACGTCTAGGGGTAACATCGCTTGAAAAAGGCAAGTTTGTCTCGGAATATCCGGGAGACTGTGCGCTATTGATGAAGGGTAAAAAGAGCCCTTCTAAATATGCATCCAAGTCATCTGCAGAAGAATGGAGCCCTGGTTGCATATCCGAAGCACCCGCATTGTTATGAACCCAGGGATGGAAGGAATTGGACGATCTCCGGGGTGAGAACGATTGTGGTAATCAATCTGCATCAAGGCTCTGGAGAAAATCGGTTGGGTTGTCGACTGAGATCCCAGAAGGACCATTTAAGCGCACTGGGTTGGTTGCCTGGAAGTCGGCCATTAGCGAGTGCCGCCTGCTGGAAAATCTTTCCCCAGGAATGGGCATCGATGCATGCTCGCGAGCGGCCTCGATTGTATCGGTTGAATGTCCGCCATCCTTGAGCCGATTCGCAGCGTCCAGCGAGCCAACTTGTCCCATAGTGTCGATCCGTGCATGTGCATTTATAGTGTTGCTCCGTTCTGGATGCAGATTCTCCCTCGAACTAGGTTGCTCCATGCCATATAAATCCATGTCCGGTCGAATCTCATGATTTCCATGGCGTGGCTCTAGGAAGGAGTGCTGCGAGGTCTCTAAGCCGTGGTCGTCCCCATTACTTTCTGTAAAAGCGTTTGGGTTAATGAAAGGCTGACCGACCACGTTGAGATTGGTGTCACCCGTCACTGGCTCTGTATTTGGGGAGCGAGTTTCGCTGGATGTCGGTGACTGATGTTGAGCTGGGGGATCGGATCGCGCCAATGAAGCATTTCTCGCTGGAGGTTCTCTTTGCTCATGACCTTTTAGATGACGAGCAAGTACATCACTATAGAGTTATGAACTGGTATGATGCAGCTCGCAGGCGGATTGAGGTACCTTCTGGCATATGATTTCTGACATATGACACACTTGTATGGTCGCTCATTTGTGTCTGCAGCGCAGGTTAGCAGTGAAATATAAAATATGAAAAGAGTAAAAAAAAACGCACGGGAGCGCTCATGGCGTCTGAGGTGCTCAGTCTTAGAGAATATGCGATTACAATGTGCGCATGGCTTCGACATGATTGGTGCATACAGAATGAAAATCCCTAAAATGCAGAGCAAAGGAAAGATAGTTCACCTGAGCATTCCCCGCATTTTTTGTCCCCAGACCGCTTTCCATGGGGAAGATTATATAACCTTGGAACTGTACAATATATTACTTATATTACTTATATTACTTAAAAAGGTATGGACTTTACAGACTCCATATAAAAGACTTTCTACGTATTGTTCACTCCGGTAACGTCCTTATAAGGGGTTTTATACCAAGTAAGCCTATATTCTAAAATAAAATTAGGTTCAAAGACATTTGCTTCTCTTCTAATATTTAAATACCTTAGTCACCTTCACTATAGTTCAAGTGGATTGGAGGTATTTCAAGAGCAGAGTTATTAACACATGTGTTAGGGGCTTGGCACGACTACCTCTAGCGCCCACACGGACCCGGAACTACGGCAGTCTATTACCCGGCTTTTATTACCCAAAACTTGGATCTATGGATGTACTTAGGTAGGTCTTAATCTTTATACATTAACTGGGTAATTGCTCTATTTCTATAAAAAGCTAACATGAGGACTATATAAAGAGTTGAAGCATTACGAATCAATCATATATTTAAGCGTAAAAATAAGCCATTTCATTAGTAGTGAGACATTAGCAACTAGTGGTATTCCCCCTTAATTCACGACCTATAGCAATCTTGCCAGATACGATTAACCTAGAATGCACGTGTAAGAGTGAAACAATTTGTTGTTGAAATACAGAAAATGAAAAACTAAAACAGCCTAATTACAATTTTGTAGATGCTGCCGCTGGTGCTACTCCGTTCCCTTCGGAGGATTCCCTGTTGGTGTATAGCTCCCAGCCTCTTCCTCTGTATCTCGCTGGCCAGATGCCGTTGCGCCCCGGTGCAAGGATACCGTTTGGGTCCAGGCAGTCCTTGATCCTCTCGTTAAGGTGCATGAGCGCATTGTCATTCCAGCTGTAGGTACTGGCCACCTGGTCACTTAGCAGCAAGTGCGTACGGTACTCGCCATATCCATGTTTAGCCGCCTCGGAAATGAGCCATCTCATTGCCGTCAACGCTGCGTCCCGCTGTTTAGGATCGTCACGATCATAAACTGCTTCAACGACGAGATGTAGCTCGCGAAGGCCGACGATAAAGTCAAAGAAGAAGTCAAGTCCCGATGCATCCCATTGGACTTTTGCCATTTCCCACAGCCGCATTGCATCAACACCGCGAGTAGGCGCTACGGGACTGAAGGCAACGTGCGCACCATTTGGCTGCCAGTTCACCCAAGCTAGCTCTTCTAGGTCAGGCTCTCCAGCGGAAATCTTGTCACGGGACCAGAAATAGTCGTTGGGTGGTAATGTGGCTGGGTCAATACGTCTGGCACCCGGAACCTTCATGAACTCGCGGTGGATAGTGTCGAGCTTCAACTGTCGAACCTCCTTGGGTCCATAGCATGTCCCGAAGTAAAGCCATGTGCACTCCCCGTATGGATGTTCCTTGAGGTAACTTTTCATTTTGTCCGTAGGAAACATCCCCTCACCTTCATAAAAGGCAGTGCGTGGTTTTCCTGACAATGCCAAAACCTGCAGCGCGTGGCGGATATTGGCTGCATTGTCTAGGATCATCGCAATCCGTAGTGGGCGCACGATCTCCACCAGTTGGTCCAAATCCTCCTCTTTCTGGAATGTGTAAAGCTATGAAGTATCTGCGTTAGCAAACTGAGCCCAAGTTAAGCCGTGTGTATGACTCACGAAGCTCTCGTGGCCACCGGGGTTTGGCATCAAACCAAAGCCCATTTTGGTTACAATGCCAAAGTTAGATTGCGAGAAAATTCCACTGTTGAAGCAAGTCAGCTGAGGAAATCGGGCCAAGGACACATGATGAATCTTACTCCACAAATGGCCCATAACCGTATGGAAACACCTGCCATGTGTTGTTGCCAGGCAGGGCGCCCATTCCTGTTCGGACGACCTCTCCTGTTGGGAGCACGACTTCCATTCCTGAATGCATAGACCAGTGGTCTCCGTATGGGGTGTATCCGACACCATGATCAAGTGCATTCCCAACCACGGAACCTCCACCTAGATCAGGGACATCTATCCAGAGGTGACTGTATCCCAGTCTCTGGACTTCCTCGTAGAGCGCGTAGTACGATACTCCGGGCTCTACCAAGCAAGTCAAATCATCTGGGTCGATGTTCATAATCTTGTTCATCCGTTTTCCAAGGTCGATTACGACAGCGCCACGGACGCGTGGGGCGGCTCCCCCATAACCAACTAAACCAGTGTTGTCGGTTAGCAGTGTCTCCTTATCATGGAAATTATTGTTCTCGAGTCTCCTTGTGTTTGCATATTTCTGCGAGGGCTTGGTAACAACGTACAGTTTCGGCCCATTGAGATGGGATGAAGAGGAATGAGATGCTTATTGGCCCAGATGACGATTTTCTGCACATCCTCAGTGTTACCTGGATAAACCACTGCAGAGGCGACCAGGTCTTCGTCGTCTGTTATGGCCATTCCATCGTGCGTATTTGGAGCTATATCTTTGTCAGAGTTGATCTCTTTCATACCGAAACCAAGTTCACTTACGCTCCATATACCTGTATATAGCCAGGATCAGCACTGCAATGAAGTATAGCTATATGAATGCCAAAACTTACCAGCCATCATTGAGGGGTTTGTCGTTGATCTCGACATGTGCGCTACCTAGTTCGGTTGAAAGCTCATCGATCGCGCGAAAGAATTGGGCACGCTCAACACCCTGAGGGATCACTGGCAGGCGCTGTCTGGCTCTTGGAACTTTCGTGGCGACTGTCTGAATCAGGCTCTTTGCACGCTGTGCTTTTCCCAAGAGCCGTGCTGGCACACCGTTGTGTTTCTGGTCTAGGGTAGGCGTTAGAGGTAGGCGTTTAGAAGCCATGGCGGTTTGACTCTGCAAAATAGATAATGTTCCGAGAAGTGATGAAAGTCAAAGTGAGAGTGACTGGTTTTAAAGGTATCTATGGATGAACATATAATTATGTAAGGACGCAGGTACATTGGGGCTGGACCTTACGAGTTAGATACTGTGGGGGACAACCTGATCTTCTTCCAGACCCCACGTCTTCCGGTCCCCGCGAATTCTTATGTTTGAAACGCTGTCTTCTCTTTCCGGCGAGTAGGGTCATTGCTGACAGAAAAAATAGTATGCTGTAAAGCTCGATACAAGTCCCTCCACATATCCCTACGCACCAGGCCACCCCACACCTTGAAATTCACTTGGCACCCTTCGGGCTTGCTCCACACAAGTACCACACGCAGCTTAACCATTTCCTCCCTATTGTTCCACTACACTATAACGGATTCTTCGAAAACCCGATATGATAGGTTCGGAACGAACTGCAGTTAGCACACCGCAGATCAGAGGGTCCACCCCCCACATAGCTCCTGCGGAGAGTAAAAGTGGGGGGCCATTTGGTTTTCTCGAAAATCACCTCTGGCTTCATACAATAATAATATTAAGCCATAATCCAGTTGACCAAGAGCTACGTTTATTCCCCTACCGTTGATCCACCCTTATCTGTTCTTCCGTTGGTCAAAATGTCGCGGCGTGTCGCACTTATTACGGGTGCTGCCTCTGGCATAGGGCTGGCTTTGACAAAGGATCTGGTCGCCAAGGGGTGGTACGTCGTCATGGCCGATGTTGACGAGAAGGCTGGTCGGGCACTTTCGAAGGAGCTTGGGAATCAAGTGTTGTTCCAAGTCACCGATGTTCGTTCTTACTCGCAACAAGCAAGTCTGTTCAAAACCGCCTTTGAGTGGGGGGAAAATCAACTGGATTTTTTTGCTGCAAATGCCGGCATTGCCGATACCCACTTCCTCTACAGTCAAAATGAAGAGTTTGACGAAAATGGGGTATTGCTACCTTTGAAGCTCGACTCCATGGAGGTAAACCTCACTGCTGTTATCCAGGGGGTTTGGCTATTCAAACACTACGCTCGCCGAAACAAAACCCCCGGTGGAAAGATTGTGATCACCTCATCGTCTGCAGGGTTATATCCCATGCCAACGAACCCTGTCTACACAGCTACCAAACATGCACTTGTTGGGTTATCCAGGGCTCTAGGCCCAGTCTTTGCAAAGGAAAACATTCAAGTCAACGCTATCTGCCCAGCCTTTGTCCCAACTGCACTTTGTCCAAAGGATATGTTGGAGCGATTTCCGAAGGAACACATCACTCCAATGTCGACAGTCCTCAGAGCGTACGATACATTTATCAACGATGGGACTCTCCATGGACAGACTGTGGAAATAAGCCTGGATCACCTCTACTTCCGCAACAAGCCAGAATACCCCAATGAGAGTGAACGGTGGCTATTGGAGGACTTTTCCAGTTTCTGGGAAGAAGCTTATAAATAGCATCTGTTATAATCTGTTCAATTGTTTCTCCAATCAATACTGAAAACACATGGTCGTCTTCCTAGCCACCCTTATATTTTTCGTTCTCTCTGTCTAGACTCTAGTGAAATATTCTATTATTACCCTTGACTTGCTTTACTTGGTAGGTATCTCTTTGCATTTTCTAAACATCGTAAATATATACTTTGTCCAATTTCTCTTCCACTGCTAAGACCCAAGTGCACTTTAAAGTAGCCCTTGTATTGCTCTAATGTATGAATTATAATAGATTGCTCTAGACTCACCTTGTTGTATTTTCCGCGGGTGGAAAGAGAAGCATGGGAATTGAAAAAATAATATAAATCTCCAGTATTGCACTCGACCACAGCGCACATGTAAGAAGATGTGTTAGCTAGTTCTGAAGACATGCAGTATAATCAGAGTCTCGATTGAAGGCATTGAGATCGCGTGGATTGTCTCAGTTGTCTATACCATGGAGCTCCGGTGTGTCACAACACTAAAACTCCGGGCCTACTCGGATTACAATAAAAGAGGAGTGGAGATTTGGGCGGCTGATGAAAATAATGTGCGAATTCGCGTCTCATACAAGTCCAACCCAGATGGGAGTATAAGCAACAAGCAACGACGTTCGCGCCAGCAGTTATAAAAAGTTCCAAATACATGTCAACAAAGGACGAAAGCCATCTTTATGGAAAGCAACAAGCAATCCTTGTCCTGGGCTCTCTGTCATTCTCTCGAGTCTTTCTGTGGTAGATGCCCTGGCTGCCTGCACATTAAACTCAGAGTGCTTTCTTTTCTGTGTTGTATTCTTGGCGGAAGTCGTGCATGATAGCATTAATACCCTGCGCTTTGATTAGCCTTCTAATATGAAGTAGATCTAGAGGAAATAGAACTTTACCTCAGCAAGTTTGAATGCAATCTTTGGGTCGGTATTGGCTTTCGCAAGTTCCTTAAAGAATGGATCATCATTGACAACCGTATCAGGGTCACGCCACATTCGCTGGAGATTGATGCTTGAGACTACGTTGATAATATCTTCGTATTTTTGGCGCCGTACTTCACTGTACCGGTCCAGAATTGCCTCATCCGCGAGGCCCTGATGAATGCCAACCAAGCAGTCCGCTAAGTTTCCAACATCGACAAGGCCACCGGTCAAGCCAAGGCCGCCGCTTAGTAACATTGTATGTTAGTATATCATAAGTAGGGTCATTTACCCCTTGGGGATATATGCGACTTACAATGGGTTGCATAAATGCGCAGCATCTGCCGCTAAGAGGAATCTCCCAACCCTCAAGCTTTTCGCTAGTCTTTGATGAACTCTGTATGGGGAAATACTGACGACCTTGTAGTCAGAGGGATCGGGATTCCCCGGCAGAAGTGCTTTGAATTTGGCGGGTTGCCGGGCAAGGATCTCATCACGCGAGAGACCTGGCTCCTCACCATAAGTGATTCGCAGAAGGCCATCCTTTTGAATTTGAGCAATCATACCCCAGTGTTGTTTATCAATGATGAAGGATGTCGCATCGCCGCCTTCAGATAGACTCATGTCCCAGTAAGTCTGTTTAACCGTCAGCATGCATGAACTTGTGCTAGGATCAAGTTAACAGTTAACACATACATTGGTTGCAACGATTTGTTCATCCCATGTCTTTCCGGGAAAATCGCTACCAAACAACGATTTCCGTATCTTGCTGTTTGCTCCATCACAGCCGACAATATAATCGGCCTCTAGACGTTTCGTTCCGTCCTTGGTGGTGACATCGACCCAGGCTCTTTCATTGCTTTGGCCAATATCGCATACTTCGTGGCTATAGAACACCTGGGCATGTTGCCTTTTCTCCAAATGCGCCTGCATAATTCGAACCAAGTGATTCAATGGAAGCGCGATCATCCGCCGGTTCTCGGGGATGAGCTCGGCTGGAACTTGTGCGATCAAAGATCCGTCCAGCTTTCTCCACGATAGATTCTGGTCCGTTCTAAACCCAGCTTCGAGCACATCGTCGTATATACCGGCTCTTTGCAACTCGTAAATCGCTGGCCAAGAGTAATGGGATGCACGAGGTGCGTTGTCTGGCTCATTGGCCATTTCAAGAACAGTGGTTTTGATGCCATTTTGGGACAACAAAAGTGCCAGCATGAGACCAGACGGCCCAGCACCAACTATAATAACCTAATTATGGATTAGCAGACTGTATAGTAATGCTGTTGGTACGCATGATATGTGACGAACTTCTGAAAATGTTCTCATGTTGCCTTCGAGTATTGATTTTGGGTACAATCTTTGTGATCACAACTTACTGCGCGGTTTCAAACAGTATTATATCTTTATGACTGGAAATTTGAGTAGGTTCTCGGGTCGTTTCCGACCAACGTCGTCCCATGTGGCAGCTCAAACAGACTGAAGAAGTGCCCCCACATTTCTGTTATGTGGGGTGTGAAGGGGCTTCAGTTAACTGACTAGTTCGTTGGTTGTAACATCACGCACTATTCAGGTATCAACCCTGCAAATCCAGGCATTCGGCCTATGGCCGCTAGTTATGCCCCTTATGTGGGGCCTATCTTGTCAATCCTTTCGAGCTCACCATGACTAGCGATGTTTTTTGCGGGGAGGATATCCGGTTACATTTTTCTATATGGCACAAAGGATAGGCTAAATATTTTGCTCTGTACCCAGTTCCCTCTTTTCCTTCATATTTCAATGAAAATCTCCCTCATTTGGACTGTCGACCAACTTCGAGCTTCCATACTCTTCCTGATTAAAGTCCGATTACACTCCTGCAAGGATTCCGTCGCGCATTCATGAATGGACTAGAGTTTCTGGCTAGGCAGCCGAAAGTCGTGCTTTAAATCACTGCCTTGCCAATTCTTGCTCTTATCCTACTGTTGCTGGGTTATAGGCCTTCGGCAAAGAAATTCTCCTATCCACCTGGCCCAAAAGGCATCCCTATATTTGGGAACCTCTTTCAACTACCACCCGCCTACCCTGGAGAACAACTAGCCAAGTGGAGAGATGAATATGGGGATCTGTGAGTTTTTGACATCCTGGAAGGATTGCATTGTTACAGACGCTTACACTACCGGTAGCTTTACTCTGCAACTCGGAGGAAGGAAATGGGTATTTGTGAACTCAATGACAGTGGCAAAAGAACTCCTCGATAAGCGAGGAAGGCTCTATGTTGATCGTCCCGACTTCCCAGTTACGCAGGACGTCTTGTCAGGTGGAAACAGAATCCTTTTGATGAAATATAGCGACAGATGGAGAAATCTCCGGAAGATTATGCATCAGCTTTTGATGGCTGGTAACGTAAGTGATATTCAAGGAATTGGCACGAACCCATATGCTGATATTTGACAAGGCCGATACGTATAAGCCCTTCCAAGACATCGAATCCAGGGCGCTTTTGTGGCAGTATCTCCACCAACCAGGAAATTATTACCAGCATGGTGCTCGTTTTGCCAACTCAGGTATGCTTTCTGTGCAGTCCAGCTTCACAATAAACCACTGACACTACACCAACGCACAGTGATCTTCTCAGTAGTTTTTGGACGCCGAACGAGCATGGCTGATAAAAACACGCAGCTCCTGTTCTCTACCATCGATGATTTCATGGAATCGCAGACCTCCCCGAGTGCTACTTTGATTGAACACTTCCCATGGTGTGCTCGGAATCTGCCTAAGCTGTTGCAATGGTATCGGCCGAGAGCGGAGAAGGTTTTCAATAAAACGATTCGGTAGGTGACCTATGCCCGTCAGCCCAATTTCATGGAAAAGGTTGCAGCTTGAAGTGGAGGGAAGGGACTTGCAGGGCTTTTGTGGCTTATCATTCTCATTTTTAGAGTCTACGCGGGCTTTCTAGATGATCTCGAGCGTCGAGTAAAAGATGGACAGGACCCTAAATGTTTTGCTAGAGACATGAGCCAATTGGCAGGAAAATATGGGTTTGACGACGCTCAAAAGTATTTCTGTGGTAAGATTTGACACATCTGACAATGTGGCTACACAATGAACTAAAAGATTTATAGCCGGGTCGATCATCGAAGCAGGAAGCGACACAACACGCAACCAAATCAACATCATGTTGGCGGCAGCAGCTAAGTTCCCTGAGTGGGTTGAAGTTGCTCAGAGACAACTTGATGCTGTGTGTGGTGCAGCCAATCGACTACCGGACTTTGATGTATGGGTACCTCGATCATTCTTTTGCATGTTTTTCAGGCTGACATTTACGTAGGACTGGGAGCAGCTTCCATATATTATTGCAGTCATCAAAGAAAGCCTTCGGTGGCGACCTAACATGACTGCATCTGGAATGCCCCGCGCTCTGATCGAAGATGATACTTATGGTCAGTACAAGTTCGAGAAGGGGACTGTCTTCACGTACAACAACTTTGGTATTATGCACGACGAAAAGGAGTTCCCAGATAATGAAACCTTCAAACCAGAGCGTTTCATTAATAGTGAACTTGGCGAGATGCTGAAGGGTCATTTGGGGTTCGGAGCAGGTAAGAGAAGTTGCAAAGCTCCTAAGAAACATTAAGAGCTAATGATATCATTTCAATTACAGGGCGACGCCTATGTCCCGGGTGGTTCCTAGGGACAAGAAACATGTTCATTGCATTTTCAAGGCTCTTATACTGTTTCAAGTTTGAACAAGTGCCAGGTCAGCCAATCGATTGTCTCCGCATCGACGCTCTTGCACATGATCACGCACCGTTTTCTATCAAGATTACGCCTCGCAGCCCAGCTCATGCCGAACTGATCAAGAAAGAATGTGCAACTGTCGGGAAAGACCTAGATTAGCAGACGAAGGGCCGTCTTCCAGCAATGGTGTAGTCAGTTGCTGAACGGTGCTCGCGATATTGTCAACAAGTACAACAAGCTTTGAAATTCCTTAGCAAAAAAATAAAATTCTTCACTGGCAAGCTTTTATGAGACCGCTCTATGATGCTCTCCACGTCTATCTTCTCGTGTTATGGGGGACTGGTGGATCTTACTGGCAGCCGGCTCCTCGGGACCCTTCTCCTTCTCCTATATGACTTATCACAGATGAATTAAATTATTCTGGTGTCTTCTTGCTTCCCATTCCCTATTACATAGTAGACTCCTCTCTTTCGGAATATGTTGAGATGCTGGAACCCGTTATCTATGCATGATACATTACAACGCCTCTATCTTACCTCACTGCATCACATCGTCAACTGGCCTGAATATGCGGGCTTGCGAGAAATATCTGCTGATGGCCATGATATAATTCCCACTGTGTTCCGAAGTTCTGAATCCAGAGACCTTGCACTTTATCATCCTTCTTTCTGGTACTATTTCCTCTCTAGCATTCATCAGAATACGATTGTGGCGCTCAAGAAACGGGATAAATGTTTTGCCTATCTCGATAAAGTAATTTCGATATAGTCGGCCATAATGGATGCTTAGTCTGGTCACTGCACTGACTATGCTTACTATTGATTTTCTAATTTGATCCATATCAACTGGATATGGTTTAGAACTATGGTACTGGACTAAATCCGGTATATAGAGCTAAGTCTTGCACTATCGACGATAGTCTATCGTGATTCATTGAATACATTGATACTACTGTCATCGTTTGTAGGAACTTGAATAGGGCGTTCAAGCACCTCCCACATTATTGTTTTCCTGTGCGAAGACGAGACCACATTATAGCCGAAACCAGTCCGATCCCCGAAAGCCAAAATGTCACCCGCGAATACAATATAATGTAAGCCAGAAAAATCCACGGAACTCCTTTGGTCCAATTAACTAATACTACGGCTAATATAATTGAAAATCTAGACGCTAAAAGGTACTGTAGGCAGTTGACCGGCAGTCAAAACCATTTCCCATGCTCCGGCAACCCCTAAGCCTCCGAGAGGCCCCCACGGGAATCTCCAGGGCTTCTAGGCCCCACACCCCACATCACAAACACACCTAGCCATTAGCTATATTTATAAATGTATATCCATAATCTGTATGAACACTTGTTTTATGCAGTGCATCCGATTTGTCTAGCTTTAAAAAATACAACATACGAAAAAATGGATCCAAACGATTTCGGAGTTTCCACAATTCCTCTACATCATAGCCCATATGGGCCTTTGAAACCAGAAAACCTTATCGGCGCAAACAAAGGCAAAATTGCTGTTGTGACCGGAGCTGCCAGAGGTGATAATTGAAAATGACCTAGATGGAGAAAAATCGGCACTAATGCTTGAGTAGGAATTGGACGAGCCATATCAGTGGCCTTGGCCAACTCCGGAGCAAACCTCGCAATCCTTGATCTCAATCTTGAACAACTACGTGAAACAAAAGCAGCATGCGAAGCTTTTGGAGTCAAGGTCGAGCCATACAAGTGCGACATTACGAGCCCCGAAGGTGTCTCGAATACATTCGCAGCGATCGAAACTGCGCTAGGGCCTGTGGATATCCTTGTCAACAATGCCGGTATTACTGGTAGTAGCCTTGCTGTTGATGAAGCATTCAATGACTTCTGGAAGGTCATGGAAGTCAATGTGAAGGGGCCTGCTCTTTGCATATACCAGGTTCTACGCACTATGTGTGAAAGAAAGACAGGGTGCATTATCAACATGGCGTCTCGATCCGCAACAATTGATATGCCTACCGGGTTCGGCTATAACTCGAGCAAGGCAGCGATTGTGAGGATGACTGGTACTCTTCAAGCCGAACTAGACTTGCAGGACCTGGGCGAACAAGTACATTGTTACGCCCTTCATCCGGGTGGAGTTTGGGGTGAGATGTTTAAAGGTATGTTTTGTATCATTGATTGCAATTTTTTCTCGATCTAATGTTAATCTGGACATAGGTGCAACAACGCTTGAGCAACAACAAGAGATGAGACATCTGTTCAAGGATTCCCCAGAGCTTTGTGCAAATACTGTTGCGTATCTTGCAGCAGGCAAGGCACTGGAGGTGAGAGGCCTATATTGGGATTGTCGACAAGACCTTGAAAAGGTTTCCACCCTTGGGCGAAAGACTCTCCAGGCCCATGGTCTGTATTCCTTGAACATGAAATTCCTTCCAGGGTACGAAAATGAGCCTTGATTCCGAAAATGTTCAGAATTCAGATACACAGATGTCGGTGTACCGTTCAAAATGAATGGGTTCAATCAAGAATAGCTAGTCTCTGAAACCTCATTCTAAAGCGATCGAGTATCCCCACTTCTAATACCCTTATGTAGACTCATGACTTCCTAGTGATGAAATTATCTAATATTTTTCTATAAGCCAAAAACCGTGTAATATGGCCAGATTCGGCATCAATTGTGCAAGTCGCGACCATACTCCAAGCACATGACTAATGCCTCAGCGCACCCGTGGACCATGTGTTGATGCCCGAAGGCATCAAAAGAGACTCGCTATGGTACATAGGGTAGATTGTATTTAGTCGCAGTGCGCTTCCTCTGAGAAAAAGCAGCCATTAGTTCCAAGTACAAGACCACCCCATACTCTTGTACCAGGCTCTATCTCCTATTATCCTCCTGGGATCCATCGGGGTCTCACATCAAGTCACGAAGTTTTTAGATTTGTCTTAGTTTAGTGAATGAAGAGCATAATCTCGAGGTTATCTAAGAAAGTCCAGCTGGGCTAATAGGTATATCTGAAATTGATTGTTGACTGGTGGTAAATTACACACTCCTTCTCTGTTTCAAGTCCTGCACCCACTGTAATATCGCATCACAGGTGGCGCGGGGCTGATCTATGTATACCATATGACCAACACTTGGTATAATGACAAGGCGGGAATCTTGTATCGTGGAAGCAATCTGCTGGTTCACGGCCACAGGACTCGCCATGCTGTTCTTCGGTGACAAAACCAATGTCGGGGTCTTGACATCCTGAGGAAGGCCTGTGATATCGACTTGGGTAATAAAGTCGAAATACCGCGCGATGCCTTCGGAAGAACATTTCTGCAACATTTCCTCATCCCAGGCTTTGTAGGCCTCGCCCGAGAAGTCACCCATATCATAGCTTTCAACATTTTGATTGGCATCGAGTGTTGTCACAGGCCGAGTGCGTTTCCATTCAAGTATTCCGAGCTTACGAACGGCTTCGCCAGGGGAGCTGTAAGGCTCTGAAGTCATAGACATAAATCTCTCACTGTAATAGTCTTGTTAACCATAGGTCAAATATATTTGATGATGGATCGCTCACTCACCCGAGCTCAAGCGGCGTTGATATGATAATGAGGGATTTCAGCTTTTCTGGATACGCCTTGGCGAATGCAATAGCGAGCATTCCTGCTGTGCTTTCTCCAACCCAGTGGACAGGTCTTTTTGCCACCTTGTCCACAAATTCAGCCATCTCTTCAACCAGCGTATCTAACGTGTAATTGTATCCGTCAGCATCTCCAATGGAGCTTTTGCCGTGCCCACGAAGATCGCGCCGGATAAGACGGACAGATCCACTCAAGAGTGGTACAAGATGAAACAGAAGCTCTGTATGACGACCTATTCCCGCTTGGAAAATGACTATATCAGTTTCGTCGGCTTTCCAAGGAGCCGTGAAGTCGTTTATCTCATAATAGTCGGTTTGTCCATTAGAAAGATGCAATTGAGGCATTGTGAACGAGATCAGAAGGTCTGAATATGTCGATTGGTATTGTAGAAATAAGAAACAGAGATGGCTATAAATCATTTAAAGCTATTCAAACCTATCCCTGCCACTTCACAACCACATCATCCTATGTGGGGTGAGTATGTGAGTATTCACCCCACCTACCTCTTCCCGCATTCTTATACCCTTGGCAATTATTATGTTTGGAGATATGCGTCTTACTTTACTAGTTTGGTCGACTTGTGCAGTACTTGCTTACCTATTGAACATCTTAATTTCGGAGCTTTATTCCATAGTCAAAGGAAACGTCCGTGCAAGAGACTCCCCATGCGCGCCAATCGCCTCGGCAACAAATCTCGCAGAGGAAGACAGTCCAAAATTTGGCTTCCAAGTAAAGACCGTCTCAAACGAATCCCTATCAACTAGGCCAATCTGCGACTTCTCCTGCCCGTTGACATAAAAGAATCTCCAAGCCGCAGTCTCCGTATCCCCATTCCAAGACACGTAAAGCTCAACAAGATTAGAGTCTGTTTTTAGCGCAACCAGCGCTGGGCTTTCCTGTGGCGTACCAGTCCAGTTCGCCAAAAAGCCACGGTAGCTGACCGACCCCGTCTGGATAAAGGCATGGTACAGAATCTCATTATCAGCACCAAATTCCGTGAAGGCCCCCTCCGATCCCCAGTTGACGAAGATTCGGTCGTCAGAAAGCAGCTGTGCATTCCCCTGGGACTGGGCTTGGAGATCGTAGGGCGCTGTTGCGTTGCGGAGAACTGTCGCCGTGCTATCTGTGTGGTTGATTTGGACAACCAACGCTCGCGACACCTCGTTAAATGTGATAGTTCCGTCGCCAGAGTTGTCGAAGAATGAGATTACTTCCGTCCCGGGCTGGCTGAGCTGCGGTTGCCAGTGGGCATCGTGTTGGAATCCGAAGGTCCAGTTGCCGATTTGTGAAAAACTGGGGTACTTTCCGCCGAGCCGCCAGATGATTGAACCATCCGTGCCGTTGATCTTGAATACCGTGCTCGTGTGTCGAGATGAGAGCAGGTAGTCTCCTTCTTCGTTTTTGTCGAGACTGTTGATGTGGAAGTAATCCCATGCTTCGGCGGAGGACAATCCGCTATTGGCCTTTGTGGAACCTAGTGTCACTAGGCTTTCTAGTTGGAGGTTAAATATGGTCTTTGTCGAGTAACAGCAAATCATCTTACCAGACGGGTCAACATGCTCCAAGGCATTCCACTCAAAGATCAACTCTCCCGTGGCAATATGATTTTCTATTCAAATAATCAGAATCAGCAAAGTCATCATCCAGTTTTCACAACAAACAAACCTTGGAAAATCCCATTCCCCACCCACTGCTGCGAAGAATTCCCACCATAAGCCGACAAATTCGCCGGGGTGGTATAAAAGACCTCAATCAAAGCCGTCTCTCCCTGGATAATATTGAATTCGTGGATCGACGAAACACGATGGTTCCCGGCAGTTGAGGTAACAACGTGCTGATAGCTCTGATCTAGCAGGACATGCTGACCATACCCTTCGCCATGGGAAGTATCCATATTACCCTGGAATGCCTGGAGAACAGGTTTCCCCTGATATGTGGTAGGATGGAAATTCCCCACGAAACCGGCGTAGTACCCTGTGCCAGCCCACACCAAGTCGCCATCTTTGCGGTAGATGTACGGACCGGGCCGTCCGAGGGCTCCACTCATCGAGTAAGGAGCGATGAAGACGTATTCGGAGCCATCGGGGCTTGTGGCGGGGATGGTGATATTTAATTGAGGTGGTGCAAGGTCAGGTCGTGAGCGATAATAGCTATTGGTGTTTGGTTGGGGTAAGGACGTTGTTGCTAAGGCTGCCAGGAGAGTTTGTTTTAGGGACGCCATGGCTTTGGGGTGATAGCTTAGGGTTGTCGGCTTTTTACTATTTATTGTATTCCAAGATATTTCATAGCCTTCTTATACACAGCGGATAATGAAGCTCGACATCTAGCATGTTAGCGTTTTCGCGATACACCTCGCGGATAGCATCATTGTGTACTATGTGACCAATCTTAGGAGGGTGTTTAATTGGATTTCATTAGCGAGTTATTGTGTCACCAAATCTGCAAATGGCGCAATTCGATGCCGAGCTAAGATATCTGCCCTTTGTATTTCCCTTATAGAATCTTTAAGCTCTAGAATAATTAAGCAATGTCAGGTTATCCTTCTCTTTTGGTCGAGTCGGCCATATGGCGCTCAGCTATTAATTCGTATAGGCTATCCGGCTCCATTAAATATCGGGTGTTGTTCTCATGTTTTAAACTGGCCCATAGAGCTGAGATGAATGTAATACAACGCGATCGTCTGATGCGACTTATTTTCTTGCGACATCTTGAGTTGAAGGCTTTAGTTTGCAAACTGAGAAATCAGTGTTTCTAGACATCTCGTACGTTATAATAATGGTTTATAAGGTTACAAATTGTGCTTTTTCTTACATCGAATCCAATGGCAAAAGGTAATATAGGCTTGATGCATGCACTATATAGTGTAACTAGTGATAACCCTATCCTAGAACCTAGGTATGCGCCACGCGCACGGGATGAGCCTCAGTGTTGAACACGAACTCATTCTTTTGGCCCTTCTGGACTTGCCACGGGGCATCTATACCAAAACCCAGCATTAGCAATGATTTATGAAAGAGAAAGGTGACTGGAAAGGCTAGCAACTGACCCTCTGCATGTACAAGGTACGCATATTTCAGAACTTCAGCAAAGAGGAAGCTCTCCTCATTATCGTACTTAGACCCCCCGCCAGCTACATTCACGTTGCTTACAGCAGCAAAGCCCGAACTAGTGCGGCAGGTAGAATTGATCGCCTTGAAGCCGTTCCACACCCAGTCACGGTACTATATATAGGTCAGTAGGTTTTGAAACATTAGTAGAAAAGAAATGACTCACGATTTCATTGCCCGTGACGCGGTACGCATAGTAGAAGCTCTCGATCACTTCAGGGCGCAAAACATATGCGCCGCTATTGATATAGAATCCGGCCTTCTCGTAGAAATCCTTTTGGTCGGATGGCACTTTCTTCGGATCCCAGCCCCAGGAGTCTGGTCCGATGCCTGTCAGGGTCTGGTTGTAAGTAGCCTCGCAGCCATCCACAAGCTGCAAGCCGAAATCGATAAAGTCTTGTCGGTTCAGCACGGTACCGCCCAGGATAAAACTGCCGCCGTCGAAGCAGGTCAGGTGCTGTGAGCTAAGATCATATTGGCCGTTGTAGTATGAGGCCAACCAGGTTATCTCCGGGCGAGGGGCGGGATGCGATTGGAGGTGTTTGATTGTCGACTCGGCTGCGAGGACCCATCGGTCCTTGTATGACTTGAAGCGCTTGGGGTCGTACACATACATCTTAATCAGGTACTCGTAGAACGAGTCATCGCCGCCGTTCCACGAGACAGCACCGTCGGTGAAATGGCCATTGGAAATGTTGATGTTGCTTCCCACCAGGCCCGGGAATGGCTCTCCGCTTGATGGCTGAGGATTTAGAAGGTACGACTGGGCCTTCTGGCTTATCTTGGCATATTCATCATCACCGGTCAAATCGGACAACCGGGTCCACTCCAGTACCAGAGTTCCGGTTACTGCAAGACCATTGGTTCTCGAGCCATCATTTCCCTTGGAAGCTATGTCAAGGTTATTGTAGGGAACACCGGATGGCGTATCAAATGCAAATTTCAAGACATCCCCGAGTTTCTTGGACTGGATAAGCAGGTTGTCGACTTGGGTTGAATTGAGGGCAAGATGCGCTGCAGAGTCCTTGAGCAAATCATAGCCGGACAACATGCCACCAAGGTATCGGATAGTAGTCTCAAACAGGCTGACCTCGTCGTTGGTCTTTGAGAAATCAATAGTTTCAATGTGGTCCAGTATCTTTTGAACGGCATCACGGTTACCCATGATAATGGCGGTTGAGAGAGCGTCGACAGCGGAAGCTCCCCATCCATTCCTATCGCGAGTCAACTCACAGCATGCACTGTATAAATCGGATATGCTCACCTGGAGTCACCATAGCCATTGCTCACAGGATGCAACTCGTCATGAGGGAAAGCATATTTGACATATCCATTCCATGCATGTTGGAAGGCTTCCTTGACAGCATCGGCCTTGGCCTGTTTGTCCGAGTCGTGGCGCAAGACCTCTGGTTCAGGGTAGGGATAGGCTGCAGCAGACCCAACGAGGCCCAGCACTGCCAAAGGGAGCGACAGAGAGGAGATACGCATGATTATGTGGAGGGTATAGATATATAGGTTTAGGCAGGATCGGTGCAAACCTAGGAATAGTTTCAATTGCAGAACGAGGGACCACCTGAACTGCAACGCAGGTCAATGCAATTAAATATGGGAGTGCCAGATGATATGTTACAAGAAAGAGGGTAAAAGGGGAAGGCATGCGGGCGGACACACGCGACCCTTGTTTATTATTTTTTTCCCCGTCACTTGCATTCTGATCTAAAATCACCGAGTTGTCGGATGTCATTCCTGTGGAAAAGAAAAGTTCTCGGGCAAGATTCAGGGGTCCTTGGGGATCTGCAAGGGCGCCGTCAACTATTGGAGAATGCAAGTACATCTTCGTTTTTCACATATTTGAGATCTTTGAAGGTATACCTCAAAATTCATCTAGACCTTGGAACTCTCGGACTTCCCCAGGCCATATAATATACGGATGACCGAGCCAGACGACTCCTGGACGTGACGGGAAAACATGACGGATACTCTTATCCAGGGTGTCCAGGATATACTTGAGCACAGGTCTTGGCTGATCAAAAGAACCCTGTCACGCCGGGTGCTTTGACATGCAACATACCCCTCAATGTGATGAGTTTTATCACCGGACTGGAGTGTCTGACATCAAATTCACATTTTGAAAGTGACTTGGTTCCTTGGATTGTTTATAAATGGACAGGTCCGTGCTTGTGAATTTGAACCAGTTTTAAGTAGTTTGGAAGTACTTATCGATTGAGAATATATAGATGCCAAAGCATAGATTGGAATTCTACTATATATTATCTACACTAGCCATTTTCACACTCGAAATAAATATAAGTCATTTTAGGACTTTGAAAATGGATTATGAGTGCAAAGGATTGCTCTAAAACTTGTACGCTGGCCCGACCGACCTTCCATCACACTTGTTGAGATTCAGTTTCTCAATATCAATGTCCTGTAGTAGTCGTACCTAATACGATCAGTAGCTGCAACTATCACATTACCCATTCGACTTACATTGACGGCAGAGATCGGTGGTGCTCCCTCTTCCAGAATACGGATGAAGCAACTACTTCCGCACACCCCGCAGAATTGGTGCTTCGACCTGTGCTCGGCAAAGAGATAATCTTTGAGCGTATCGCCTTGTTCGATGGTAAAATCCTTGTTGAACGGGTAGACGAACAAGTAGCCGTTCTTTGTGCAGATGGAACAGTTGCAGCTATTGGTAGGGTATTCATACAGGGGCGGCGATAGTTTGAAGTTGAATCGCACGGCACCGCAATGGCAGTTACCGGAGTGAGAGCTGCTCTCGCCGGTGGGGGTGGGTGGAAATGACATGTTAGAAATGGAACTGTGAACTTTCTGGGAGTTGACTGGTTTTCAACGGCCTTGGGTTAAATAGATACTTCTAGGGGTATAGTCACCGTAAAAGTCTCCGAGATCCTGTCCCTACTAAAATTCAGAAATCAACCTAAACATTTCATTCAACGATAACACTATTTAATTATAGAGTAAAAGCGTCCAAAGTTATATATTTATAGAGAGAAGAGGCTAGAGAATATTTATATAAGATAAATTAGAGAATTTACTATAGATTATCTAAAGAATAGATAAGTTAATTCTACTATTAAATTTATTAATATTGTTATTTAACAAAGTGGTCAGGTTTATTTCTAGTTTTTGCCAAAATCACGGAGACTTTTACGGTAGAACTGTATGTGTCCGCATTTATCCACCTCTTAACCCGATAGTAGAATGTTTCTCGAGTTTAGCAAGTTTTCGCAGGATTTCAGGTTCAAACGAAGTCCCAGTTCCCCATCCCCGCTTCTGCCTATATCAGATTTCAAGGTGCCTATACATGTTCAAATTTTGAAATCATCCTAGTCTTCAAAATCACTGGGCTCTAGACCAAATTGATCAAGAACTTCCGATACCCAGTACTGATCAAGCGCAAGTCAATGATGTCGCATGTGGACCGAATGGTATGGCCAAGCTAAAAGACGTAGTCATTCGACTTACTAGGATACCCGGGGCGGATACATCATGCAGATCAGCGCCTTTCCGGGTTCCTACAAGCATCTCGCGGGAGACAACCATTGCTCTTGCTGCCACAACAGCATAGTTCGCCTTGTTAGGGACAGTTTGAACATCCTTCGAAAGCCCAAGGCACCAATATTGGTATCTTAGTATGAGGCAGCTGTGAGTGCTACTTTTGCCGGAGAACCATACGGTCTTCTGGCTGTATTAACACCAACAGCTGTTCGAGAATGTTCCCTGGAGCAATGCCAGGTCAAGCCAAGGCTAAAGTCTTGGGTTAGATTATGTGCTGGGATTCCAGGAGTACCTAGTAAAATCTCCTGTAAAATTACCTAGGTGGTAGTCAAGGCAGACATAGTGCTTGGTAACTGAAACATCTAATATAGAATGTAAAAATGCAACAATAGACAAGGTATATCGCAATTTTATAGACAGCCTTGGAGAATAGGGTCATTAATAATTTCACCCATCGATAAAGCCCTCCAGGGCTGGATCTAATCGGATGATTCAGCGTGCGGGCCGACCCCGGAGAAAAAAAGGTTGCAAAGGGGGGAGTCATCGCTCTCCTCCACAATTCCCAATTGCTCAAAAAGGGTCTTATTTAGGGGATCTAACTATCCTCTTCAGTCTTTCTTTCTACTACTATACTATACTATACCTACCCCCCATCATGGCAACACCGTTCCTCATCTCCCACGACCCCTCCTCCCCCACCTCCGGGTCCGGACTTTCGCTCAAGCAAATCGCCTACTTCGGTCGTGTACTGATCAAGGTCTCGAGTCTCGTCCAGGCAGAGCAATTCCTACGCCAGAACTTCCGCGCCCTCGATATCTTCGTCGATGCAACTGAGATCTCCTCTGCCGGCGATCTCGTCGATATCCTCAACGCCGGTGCCGCCAAGATCTTGATCAACTTGGACCAATTGACCACCCTCTCCGAAGAACAATCCGTGCCCTCGTCCCGTCTGCTCGTCAACGCCCTGTCAGACTCTCAATTGGATACTTTCCAGCAATGGGTTGCCGTCAATCCCGAGCGCAGCGAAGCTAGTGTCTGCACTGCACCTTCCACCGTCCCCGCCGCCGCCGAGAAATTGAAGATTAGCTCGGACTCCCCACGGCTCTTCACCACCTTCGGTACTCAGTCAGTATCGGAGGATACCATTACACAGGTCACAAAGCAGGGTGCTATTGCTGTCCTTCCCTCACAGGCATTGACCGTTGAGCGGGATGTGGCTGGCCAGATCTCTGCTGCCAAGCTTATTGCGTCGACCGCTGTGACTGACCAGGCCAATGGCCTGTATGCCACTTCTGTCACTGATGAGCGGGGGGCGTGTCTGGGCTTTGTTTGGAGCAGTGACGAGAGCATTGTCGAGGCTTTGCGTACTGGCACCGGTGTTTACCAGAGCCGGAAGCGTGGTCTGTGGTACAAGGGCCAGTCCAGCGGGGATGTGCAAAAATTGATTCGCATTGGCTTCGATTGTGATTCTGACTGCTTGGTCTTTGTTGTCAAGCAAATTGGACGTGGTAAGAACTAGCTATGTACATTGATGGAAGATGTTTGTATACTGACCATGGTGACTCATTAGGATTCTGCCACCTGGGTACTGAAACCTGCTTTGGCGCATCTACCGGTCTGTCTCGTCTCCAAAAGACTTTGGACGCCCGCAAGGCGGATGCTCCCGCAGGATCATACACCGCGCGTTTGTTCAATGAGCCCAAGCTCATCGACGCTAAGATCATGGAGGAGGCCGATGAGTTGTGCCGTGCGGACACCAAGGAGGAGATTGCTTTCGAGGCCGCCGACCTGTTGTACTTTGCCCTGACCAAGTGCACTGCTGCCGGTGTTAGCCTAGAGGATATCGAACGAAACCTTGACCTCAAGAGCTTGAAGGTGAAGCGTAGAAAGGGGGATGCTAAGGGACCTTGGGCTGAGAAGGCCGGCCTGGCCAAGCCCGAGTCGAAGCCCGCCCCTGCCCCCGCACCCGCCCCGGTCGAGGATCGCACATCCCGAATTGAGATGAGGCGTGTGATCACTGCCTCTACTACTCCCCAGGTCGTCACTGATTACCTCAAGCGTCCTTCCCAGAAGTCCAACGAAGCCATTGTCAACCTGGTGAAGCCAATCATCCAGGATGTCCGCGATGGCGGCGACGCTGCAGTGCTCAAATACACCCACAAGTTCGAGAATGCTACATCACTCACCTCCCCCGTTATCCACGCACCTTTCCCCGCTGAACTTATGAAGCTGTCCCCTGATGTCCAGGAGGCACTTGATATCAGCATTGGCAACATCGACCGCTTCCACTCCGCGCAGATGGGAAGCAATGAAACCCTCGAGATGGAGACTATGCCTGGTGTGGTTTGCTCTCGCTTCTCCCGCCCCATCGAGCGTGTCGGTTTGTACATCCCTGGCGGCACCGCTGTGCTGCCCTCCACTGCCATGATGCTGGGTGTTCCCGCCATGGTGGCAGGCTGCAAGAAGATTGTCCTGGCCTCGCCTCCCCGCTCCGACGGCAGTATCTCCCCCGAAATCGTCTATGTCGCCCACAAGGTCGGTGCTGAGAGCATTGTCTTGGCTGGTGGTGCCCAGGCTGTGGCCGCCATGGCCTACGGCACCGAGAGCATCACCAAGGTCGACAAGATCCTTGGTCCAGGCAACCAGTTCGTGACGGCCGCAAAAATGTTCGTCTCCAACGATACTTCCGCCGGCGTCAGCATCGACATGCCCGCCGGTCCCAGTGAAGTCCTCGTGATCGCCGACAAGACCGCCAACCCGGCCTTTGTTGCATCCGACCTTCTCAGTCAGGCCGAGCACGGCGTCGACTCACAAGTGATTCTCATCGCTGTCGACCTGACCGAGGCCGAACTAAGTGCCATTGAAGACGAAGTCGATGCCCAGGCTAAGGCCCTACCCCGCATGGATATCGTCCGCGGCTCCCTCGCGCACTCCATCACCTTTGTCGTGCGCGACATCAACGAGGCCATGACCCTCAGCAACGATTACGCGCCCGAGCACCTAATCCTCCAGGTTCAGAACCCCGAGTCTCTTGTCAAGGATGTCCAGAATGCCGGCAGTGTCTTCATCGGCGCCTGGACCCCCGAGAGTGTTGGCGATTACTCCGCCGGAGTCAACCACTCGCTGCGTATGTCTCTCTCTACAACAGTTTTTCCTATATCCTCTTTGATTCTTGCTAACATCTCCTGTTACAGCTACCTACGGCTATGCCAAGCAGTACTCCGGTGTCAACCTCGGCTCCTTCCTAAAGCATATCACCAGCTCGAACTTGACCGCCGATGGCCTGCTCGGTCTCGCCAAGACGGTTGAGACCCTCGCCGCTGTGGAGGGCCTGGAGGCACACAAGCGTGCGGTGAGCATTCGTGTTGCCCACATGAAGAACCAGTCATAGGTCAGACCATATATAGATTTCTCTCTTTTTCGGGTTTTATGAAGGGATGTGCCATGAACACAAGTACATATAAAAGCAACGTGGTACCAATAAATTGATGTGCAATTGAATATTTTGCAAAGTAATCTAATTCCGGCAGATCAACATCCCACTGTTATCTGATCCAATGACGTTGGGCTCCACTCAAAATTTCTGTTTACAAAGATGAAAATATGAAAGGAGAAATAGGATATGATCAAATTAAAGCCAAGACGCCCCTAGCATAATTTTGTATGAAACCCCCCAAAAGAAAATCCCAAAAAGCCCAGAGAAACCCAATGCAAGACCCTATACCCCCACTTCCGTCATGAAAAATTGAAAAGTCCACAGTCGTTAAGTAGTTATATCTCAAAGCTGCGCAACATCATTCAGAATCTGAACCTCCTGACCAGGCTTAAAGGCAGGAAGACCCATGTAAGGACAACCATCACAGCGGAAGGCATCACCCAGAGCACAACTTCCACAAGAACCAGTCTTGCCCTCAACGGTGAAGTCCAGCTCGGCCAAGTCGCCCGTATCCAGCTTCATCACGTTCAATTCTTTATCTGCGTTTGCGCGACGCTCTTTATCCTCTGCTTCGAGCTTGTCGGCTAGACCACATGTGCAATCTTTGCAGGCGCGTCGCCGACGGCCGGTCTTGGGCTGGCACTCTGGAGCTGAAGATGGTGTTAGATGATATAGGTCTTGTGGGTATGAGAATGTTTGAAAGGGGGTGACATACGCGGCATTATAGGTCTCGTTAAATCTTCCTCGGAGAGGAGCGTATCTTCATTAATGAGCTCATCATCATCGTCGCGGTCGTGATTAGTTGGCGCGTCGATCCCCATCGGCGCGGCGAATCCTGTGGGAATACTAGGGACTGCAGTTGGCGCGATTGGCGCGGTAGCCTTATTCTTCTTCTTCAGGCCAAACTTTAAAGGGACAGCGGCGGAGGGATCGAAGTTCGGTTTCTCGAAGCCGTTATCGGACTGCACGAGACCGGCCAGAATGGCTTCCATGGCGTCGGAGGCATTGAGGGCGGAGTCTTGGGTTTGCAGCTTGGCGCCCGCCTTCATTGCGGGGACGAGAGTGGCGTATACATCTCGGGTGAGGAGTTGCAGCGCCTCGGAGCGCCGTGCGCCGTCTGTGTCGGTGAGGATGAGAACGAGATCGTAGGTTGTTGCGGGGAGGGAGACGACGCCTGTGGAGAGCCGATCGAGCATTTGTAGGTCTGTGGTTGAGCGGTCGAAAGTGCTAAAGAGGCCGCGGAGTTTGTCCTCGTGAGTGGCGATGGAGGGGGTGCCAGTAGGAGGGTGCGCTTGGCCTGGACTGGCGAGGAGAAATCCACGTCCATATCGTTTGCGTCAATGGTCACGAATGAAGGAGCCATTGTTAATTGTATTTTTTGAGGTATGAAGAAAAGAAGAATTCAGAAGATAACCTTGGAGGGGTGGCAAGTGATTATTAAGCCTTGTGGATTTCCGCGGACCCCGATTAGGAAGATTGTCCTATCAGCGATGGTGTGATTACTTGACTCTTAAGAATAGTGTGTTTTTTTATCTTTTGGGGATATTATTCTCATACGGAGTCCACAGGTAAGGGGTAACCTTGATATTAGAAATCACTTTAACTCACCTGACCTTATTTCAACTCTCTTCCTAAGTAGGTAATCCACCCTACACATATAACAGGGGATATTGGGCTTGGTCTGTGTCTTTCATTTCCTTTATTTTTTTTATGCAGCTATTCATGCCTTTTGTAGCTCAAATTAGGACTCTTTCGAACTATACAACTTTGAAGGGATGTGTCCAAAATTGAAATATCAGGCGGAAATAATAAGCCCTAACTAGACTAACTTTGCCTCACGTTGAGGACTTCTTTGTAGACAGTTAAATGCTCATCAGCTCCCAACTCAGAAATGCAAGGAAAGAAACCTAGATGGTTTTATACTAATATATTGTGCCGCTATTTATTATTGGACTATCTCTAGCTTTGTTGTATATCCAAAATCAAGACCTACCCTCGAAAATCCTCAGATTTTCGGCTAATGGAGAGATGACAAGTTCAAATATATCATCTTGCATCTTCTCGCTTTCCAGTGTAGGCTCTTTAGCACCAGTCCAAAAGAGACATCGCCTCGCTACCGTTTCGTATTCTGCACCACTTTTGCTCCCCCACAAATTGCAAGAGGCGAGTTGCAGTCTTCAGATTCACGCATGCCTCCACACGATCGTCATCCTCCGGTATACGGAGTGCCTCTAGTTTCCGGCATAAAGACAGTTCGACCAGAACGAGGCCCAATGGAAACAGAATCTCGCTCTGAATGAGTGAAGATGTTGGTTTGTCTCTACATAAGTTCCAGGCATCCGATTCAATGCCTACGTTCCAAAGGACGTATGGCTTATCGATATCTCCAGATGAATCCTTAGTAAACATAATATCGCGGGAGCTCTACTGGCTTTTCAGCCAACTTCCGTGAAATTGGAGCACGCTGCAGGCGAGATTAACTGCACCGCGGAGACGGTAGCCCCATGTGAAATGAAAGCTGCCACTAGGCGCTTTGAATATATCACTTGAAGCCGCGATGAGCTCAGAGAGTGATTGCGATCTCAGACTTCCGGCCAGCTTCCGCACATAATACATATTGTGGCGGTGGTTTTCATCAGAGATAAACCCAATAGGTTCATTTGTCTCGCCGTGGCTCCCCATGGTAGACAGCGTTGAGCAGATGTCTACAATCGGAGGCACCGAAGACATATCAGACGTCATGGATGGCTTATCTCTAGCTGATTCATCAAACGCAAACTGTACTTTGGCCTTCCTTTTAGGGGAGAGAACTTTCTCTTGACTGCCCAAAGGATCCACGCTCGACTGAATAGTATCCGATTCGGCCTCAATCTCGCACCATTCCTTGGCAAGATCTATGGCGCTGCTGGAAGGGAATATCATTCGAAATCCAGGGCCGCGAGAGGACTCTTTGGTATCATTTATGTCCTCTGGCGGATAACCAAGAATAAAATGGATTGAGTGTTGATCCAGACAAGCACATTTCCAATATTTGCCCCGTATTATTGCATTATGCAGACTGCGAGCTAGTTTTTGTGCTCTTTTCTGGCGCAATAGGGGTCGTTTTGATATTCTCCGTTCTTGTATTGTGCTTCGATAATCGGACTGCTCCACTAAGGTATTCAGGGTTTTGTTGGCTACGTCAATACGAGCGAAGAGATCGAGGTAGATGCTTTTCGAGAAAATGTCTTTGAACTTTTTGACCTCCCTTTTGATAGCAGACTGGTCGACTCGATAATTCTGTAGTACGATGAAGGTACTAGTTAGCCTTGCCCAGGTGGAGGTGAGTAGTAAAATATGTATCGTCACTCACCACCGCAACATTCTTGTCCAGTCCTAATTTTCGAGACAATTCCTTTAATAGAGTCGCAATCTCTAACATACTCTGGTTGAAGGGGTAGAAGTCCCTTCCTAACTTTTCATGAAGACTCGCTTGTAGATTCGGTCTTTTCCACAAATTCCTGAGAGGGTTATTTCTCAGTTCGTCCAGCCCACCTTCGTATTCGACCACTCCATCGAGGGCCTGCTCCAGGGTATTGACGAAGATGGCTTGTTGGGTTCCAAGGCTTGATGAATAGCCTTCAAGTTCCCTGCGGTAACGCTTGGCTCCGACGCTCTTGATGACCTCAAGGCCCTGGACATAGTTATCGAGCTGATTGATGAGAAGTGGCAGAAGTGCTAAGGCAATTCCTGCAGCCTCCATCTTCGAGTTGATGACAAGATGAATAGCCAGGCAAAAAGGAAACCCTAGGAAGTCATGCTGCGTAGCGCGGGGGCCAACTCCCATGTCAGCCGCAACCCCATCAGGATCCCTGTCCAACCTCAAAGGTCTGGTCCTGCAGAGTCAGATACTGTTCTTAGTCAAACCATTCAGATAAATGCAAGTGTACCTGCGCAAGAACTGAAAGGATGGAAGGCCCCAAAGACACTGACCCAAAGCATTCTGTCAAGTGGAACGGGAGTTCCCCAATCACTAAACCAAATTTCGATGAACAAGCGGCGTCTTCAGAAACGCTAGTTGGTGAGTATGAGCGCCCCATGATAATGACGACGCCAGGCCCAGCGGCGAGTATTTCTACGACAAATATTTTGTCTGTCGTGGTCCAATGTCTTAAAGATTTAAGTCAGCTTGTTCTCAAAGGCTTGTCATCGTTCGCCTCGGAAGTCCCACCACCGCTATGGAAAGATGAGCTGGGACGTTTGCGGGTTTGGACTGTCAATATCGGGGCGCATCAGACCGGTGAATCATCGCTAGATTATCGATTAAGAGATACATCCCACATTAAAGAGCAGACACTTCGCGTGCTTCAGCGGCTGCAACGAATTACCCAAGATATCAATGATGTTTTACATCACTCACCTGAAGATGACGACTTCTCGGATATAAGTGGGGATGAAGATGATGACGAGCATCAAACAGAAATACAGTCTATATATCATGCTCTGCGAGATACTATCAACAACCTGTTCCAGAAGTCAATGGTCATCCAGAAGCCAGCCCGGCATGATCGCCTTCTTGGCGCCAAAAGATCAGATGCAGTCCTCTATGAACCTTTTGACCGGCAACATGTCACAGAAAAATACCCGCAAGCGGGGGAAGATGTTCTGAACCGTCTTGGACTGGCAATATCACAACGTCGAGCTGTAATGCGGTATCGTGAGCGCCATCGCACCAAACTCGGCCGGGGTCTCAGTCAGGTTATTGAAGACCAGGCAGACAGGCAATCAGTCATTCTGTCAGACACAGTCGCAACTGAGTTTATGGAAGGTTTACCAGCGGCAAAAGACGATTTGGAACTGCTGACTGTCGCCTCACAAACATCATATGCTCAAACCATATTGAACGGGCCGGAAGGGACGGTTCTACCAACTCGGCTGATGGAGCTCCATTTGAATGTCCCTATTGTTTCGTAATAATCAAAATCGCAAGCCGGAGGGCTTGGGCTCGTCATGTTTTCAATGACTTGATGCCATATCTGTGTATCTTCCCAGACTGTCCGACACCCCATCGGCTGTATGAAAGCCGCCGGGAGTAGTTTTCTCATTTGCAGAGCCAGCATTCCATGTCTGAAAGCTCAGGCTTACATGTGGACTGCCCACTCTGCCTATCTTCGATTTTATCTGGGAAGCAGTTTGAAAGACACGTGGGCCGGCATCTGGAAGAGCTGGCGCTCTTCGCATTGCCGCGATATGAAGAAGACGATGAAGAAGAAGCTGCAATTTCCTCTGATGAGAATTCTGATATGTCGCACCACCTGACCGCCGAGGTGAGCTATGATGAAGAAATGAAGACGACATCGAAGCAACACCTCCTGGGCGCCGAAGACACAATAGACCTGCCAGACTATGACAACTCTCGTAGTGACCATGGTTTGAGTTCAGAAGCATCCGAAGATAGATCTATCACGAAGAAAGAAACAAGGCCTCAAGACATATTAGAACCATACCCAGACCCAGAGTCTGCCAAGGAAGACAACTTGCCTAAGGAGATCAATCTTGAGATGCACGAGTCAACAATCAGCCCCGCCGATATGCCCAATTCTGGCCGCCGCTCGTCAAAAGATCACTCGCTGCAAATCAACGAGGATGGTATCGGTTATACAACGGACTATATTGAAGATCTCACATTGACACAGCCAATACACTGGGATCGCCGATGGGACGTCGATGAGAATGGACCCGATATTATCCTTATTAGGAACAATGGAAACATATATCCGCTCCACTTCCGCGCAAATGCCATCGATGAGGGTGCGCTTACCGTTGGGGCGTTGCGGCTGGAAGCTGCGAAGGTAGTTGGAGCTGCTTTTTCCGGCTTTGTTGAGTTATTGTATAAAGGAAACCCGCTCAAAGACCACAGTCAAACCTGCAAAGCAAAGGGGATCCAGCAACACTCAGAAGTGCTATGTATCGTCGTCGACACAGATCCTAGTAGAATCAGGGACTCTTCCGACTATGAAAGAGGCCATGAGAGCCATCCGCCTCAGGCCCAATCCAAAATTATGGTCAATAAGAACAAGGAGACTAAACAAAGTTCTCCTGTTCGCGATGAAACTGAACCCGTATCAATGCCCTTTCTCGCATCACGACACACATCGTCCGCTCCACCTAGCAGCTCGCTCCCGATTCCACCGGTACTAGAAACACTGCCTACAGCGATGGAGCAAGTGTCTGCTTTGACTGTGTGGGCGGAGCGTGTTATCATCCCACTTTGTGATAAATACGCGGCTCACCCGCCGGCCGATATCAAGAAGCGTGATTTCGAACATAAGAAGCTGACCGAGACGATCGTTGTAGTGATGATCAAAGCGGATGGAATTGAGTCAGACGGCGATATGACCGCACGCAATGCCCGCAAGGCCCTCATCAAACAATTGGAACATGCTTCATCTCGGCTGGATGAGGCCGCAATAGTATAGCTACATCGTTCATGTCCAGGACTCCTGTCTTCTGTGGGTTTGTAAGTCATAATTGGACCTTTTGTGAAATGTGTATAGTATTCATAACAGAAAGAGAAGCCGGTTTTGGTATTATTTCAACAACCACATCCAGATGTAGATGTGGCACCACAGTACTTTATATGATTAAATCTACCGGTAGATCAGTCTTCCAGCTATCGCCTGACACAAGGCTCTTGATGTTACCGAGCTTTTTCAGGAGTCGATGGCCAGGACTGAAGTGGGTTCCTTGGATGCTACTGTATGCGCCGGACTGCCTCTATGGTGGTTGGTATCAATATGTACAAAAAGGATGATAGCGAGTCATCACTCATAAACTCCGTCGAAACAAAAACACTTAGCGCTTGCGCTCACGGATCTTCCACTTGATTCCGTCCTTGTTGGTACCTCCCACAGAATTCTCCATCTTGGCCCGCTGCCAGTCAAGCTCTTGCTCTGCGGTCCGGATTTCGGCGTGTTGCTTGTGCAACGCAGTCAGCTTGTTGTTACGAGCCTCGATGGTTCGTTTCCGGAGCTTGCGAGCCCGGCGAGCATCCGCAAGTGCTTGCCGCTCAGCCTGAAGCTGCTTAGGTGTCTTGCGGGTCTTGCTTGACGTCTGATCTTCCTCCTCTGAATCCGAAGCAGGTTCTTCTTTTTGTATCCTCTGCTTCTTCATTGCCAATTGAGCTTGTCGATCTTCGGCAAACACCGTCCTGGTTGGTTTCGGCTGCACCGGGGCTCCGAAATCGAAATCGGAATCATCGTCGAACCCGTCATCCTCGTCATCGCTCTCCTCTCCCTTCTTCCCATCCTTTTTGCCAAGAGCCTTGTTCATGCCATCTTGCAATTCCACTTCGCGCTCCAGGCGCTCAATCTCGCGGCGCACCCGCTCGCCGACTGTCCGAAGATATCCCTTATCTTGCGTCTTGAGCAGCTTGATTGCCTCGTGGCTCAGTCCCTGCGCTGCGGCAGAGTCTCGTGCTGTGCCTTTGCCACGTCCGTGCCGACCCTGGGTCCGGTTCTTGTCTCCCATCATACCGAAGGCGAACTCATCAGGGTTGCGATCCCGCACCTTCTCTTCGAGGCGCTTCAGCTTAGCCTTCTTGGCATTGTAATCTTTGGCACGGAGCGAGTAATCCTGTTGAAGTTAGCACGTTTTCGTCAATTTGGCACGAAAGAAAGCTTGTATTATTGGTAAATATTCCAAGAGTTCCTCCACATGAACTGACCTTGTGCTTCTCGAGGAGACCCCATTTCTCGCGGCCCTGGACCTGGCCACGCTCTTTGTGGTTCCGCCGTTGGACGGCGTTGCGCATGGACGACATGCTGAGTTTTGGTTTTGCTAATTTCCGAGACAAGAAGCCTGGTACGAGAAAGTGTAGAAGGAAGAAAAAAATAGAAAAACAACAAAACGTAGAAGTCTGCAGCAGAAGAGTGTAGTCTGGAGATGCAAAGTCGGAGAACTTTTTTTTCTGATTCTGCCAATAGTAACCTTCTCTCCGCCTGAGCTCGGCTCACTCGCAATCAACACTCCCACTTGGTCTCGATCTTCTCTACAAGGCCATTCAGTAGAACTCTCTTAAAACCACTTCTACTTCTCTCAGTTCACCTTTCTGAGCTTTGGAGCAGCCTAGCTTACATCTTGTCTCTCAACTCCGGCCACCAATCCCCCACCAAAGCAAACTCTCCGATCGAACCATCCCATACATTCAACCTGGTCAACTTCGATCTTTGAGATCGACATACAGTCCCAATGGCTACATCTTCCACATCTCCCGATACCTCTTCAACAAGTGTACCTAAGAGTGCACCCAAACAATATAATCTTCGCAACCCGCTTCCGCTCTCAGCCCCCCAAGAACAAGAAGTGAAACTGCTGTTCTACAAGCGAGTACGCGCCCATTGCGCCCCCGAGATTAAAGGTATGCAGTTTGCATTGCTTTCTACAACAAATCTATCACCTCTCTACAAATAAGGCATAGCTTTGAACTTGCAAAAGCTGGTCATGAGTTTCAAGCGGAGAAGCAAGTCCGGCTCTCCTGGCCATGATCCACTCCCCACACCTCAAAGATGCCTGAAACAACCTACTAACCCAATGATGATATAGCATTCGCCGAGTGCGCCGTTAACCGTACCGTCACTGCAACATGGGTCTGCCGCCAGCAACGTCTCGCAATGAATTCATGCATGCTCGCCCACGCGAAGCCGGAAGAAGAGGACCGCGCACGCGAGGAGTGGTTCGCGGGGTATGAGGAACGGCGACGCGCGCGTGAGGAGGATCTCGCACGTGTTGAGAAGCGCCGTGCGGAAGTCATTCGCATGATGCGCGAGGATGAAGCGCGGACACGAGCAGCTGGAAAATGATCGGGGATTTTCCTTTCTACTCCATGTATCCTCCATCACTCTCTCGCTTTCTTCATTTCTTGTGTGAGTATTTCTTGTCTATATGGGTTTCGGCGTCTTGAGTATTCTGCTTCTTGCGTTTCTCCGAGGTCGGAGGGCGAGGACTTTCGTCTTTGGGCTAAGTGTTTGGGGAAAGGGAGCTGTCGGGCTCTTAGCTGACCTAATTGCCTTGTTGGCTGGGCCTTGTATATCCCAAAGTACTAGGCCCATAGCTCTCAGTCCCGGCGGCCCAGCCTGGCCTTCTTCCCACTCTCAGTTTGATGGACAGATATCAGACTAGTTCCCGCCGGGCAGATCGGCCCTGGACTTTCTTGGCCAACCCGTACTCGGACTTTATATCGTTTTTCTCTCTCTCTCTCCTCATGGCGCACAAAGGCAAGCAAAGCAGGCGTTTTGCTGGGCATCTTTATTACATTGCATGATCATCCCGAATGCGGAGCGATGGGATGAACTGAATTATGTACAATATACACGCGGACGATTGCATATCTTGGTTTAATTGACCAGGATGTCTTCTTTATCGGTTTATTTGCCTTTATTTTCAGGCGATGGGACTTTAACCCCAATTTGTAGACACAAGTCATGAAATAGATGATTTCCATGATAGTAAAAACCAGGACCCCGTCCTATGACAGATTAGGGAGAAAAAGGATAATGACAACACCAAGCGCCAGAAACACCACCAGCCCAAGGCCAAAGGCAGAAGAACCCCCGGGCGTAAATGCACTCCCTTAAACATCAGTCATGTTCCGATCCTCATCTCCATCGCCTGCCTCGCCCATAGTGGTATCTTCGCCAAAGATATCTTCCATCTGGCCATCATTATCATCCTCGTCTTCATTATCTTCGGCTCCGTCACCACCAGCACCCTTCCCATCCCCAGGCTGCTGCATCACATCAGGCAGATCATCTTCCTCACCCTCACTATCCCACTCATCCTTCATATTCCACCCCATTCCAGTAAGACAGAAGCGCTCAGGAGGCAAGCGCATGCCACCAATAACAACACTCTGATTCGCCGCAGGAACTGCGCCATTAGCGCCAGCAGCAGGATCAAAGCCCCGTGATACACCGGGCAAAGCGATACGATTCCTCTCCGATGCGACCTCCATGAGGAACTCCTTCGGCAGCCCTGTCTGGAACTGGAAGTGCAAGCGGGAGGCAATGGCGAGCCGCAATGCGGGCAGAGAAACACTATTCACTTCTCCGGAGCCCTTTGCGCCCGGAGTACCGTCTGTTGCTGCGGCGTATCCTTCCGTCGCGAGGTGCACGGAGTCTTGTAGCACATTGGCAGTGTAGCGGTAGGCGAAGTCGAGCAATTGGAGGGGCACCCGGTCTTGGTAAGAAGTTACCCCGAGTGAGGCAAGGAGCATGTGGACCAGCCGCACGTCCCGTGGTCGTCGCGTTTTTCCGCTGTCTTGGGTTGATATGCCGGGCACTGGTGGTGGTTGTGGCACTGTTGTTGAAGGGCCTGTCGCTGGAACATTGGGTTGGGTCTGGGAGCTTGTTGCGGCGGGCGCGGAGGCCCCGTTCGCGGCGGAGGAGGGTTCGGCCGGTGGAGTGAGAGGTTGTGTTGTGGGTGCTGGACCCTGTGTTTGGGCTGGGGATGCCATTTTTTTCTTGAATTGCTGATCAAAGATCAAGCAGGACGCAGAGAGCGAATTGCGATGTTACGAAAGTGGTCAAGATGTTGAATTAAATGATGATTAGAAGGCCTGGGAAAGGTAATCGGGGAGCATTCCTAGCACAATGCCCAGAGGCTAGTAAACAGCCAAAGATGCGAGCAGCGTTCAGTGTGGGGATGGAGAGAGAGAAACTGATGGCTAAATGAGGCCGAAAAGAAGCATGAGCTCCAGGGCTCCGGCCAATATCACGATTAGGTAATCGCGGTGCCTGCAGCCCTGAAGGTACATGGTCATGTCCTGGACCTTGCTACATTATATTCTACTACTTTCCCAGATAATTTATTGAGTCATTCAATGTGTTTGTGCAAGTCTATTAGCTTGTTTCATTCATTACATCCTATTCATCTCATGGCCCTATTCAACCCTCCAAGTATGTGCGCCATGAATGTATAAAAACAAAACCAGAAACGCCGTGAACACCATGAATGCCACGAATTAGAAAGAGTCGGGCACAAATGGCCGTGTATAATGCAGTCTCAAACTCCAGGCCTGCATGCAATAGTGTTGAACATGAATATATCGCTGTCAGAGCAGTCTAATGCAGAAACCTGACTCAGGGAAGCACTCGCAAGACGGGTATCTATGACGCAAGAAATGCCGAGGGATCGCCTTATTGAAGAGGCATAGCGGTGAGTATATGTTCAAAGATTCTGGGGTATCTTGGACCGGATGGGAAGAGAGGTTGTGCTTGGCTCGGCTGCTTCTTGTGGTTTCTCGGCAATGGGAGACAGTTCCTCTTCACCAATAGCCCCCTCTTCGACAATGAGATTCCCTTCTACTGATTCGATTATTGAGCCTGCTGGGTTGGACAAGGCAACCGAGTCCTGCGACATGTAACTTGCGCCGAGATCCTCCTCGGCCAACTCAACGTCGTCAAGGTACTCGCTGCCTTCACCCTCGCTCAACTCTTCATCGTACTCTTCATCTTCGTCCTCTTCATCCTCTTCAGCCAGGTCTTCGTCGGCATCTTCGTCGTCTTCGTCTTCGTCTTCGTCTTCATCTTCATCCTCATCCTCATCCTCATCCTCGCTGTCTGTCGTCGAGAAGTCTTCGAGCTCATGCGGTGTGTTTCTCCAGTATGTAAAGTCCGTATATTCCTCGCCACCGTCGTGCACAAGGAGGCTGGTTGGTGGAAAGAAATGGTCGAGCAGCTCTTGCATAGTCACATAGCTGCTCTTGTACTTGTTGAGACTAAGCAAATCCAGAGACACTTCAGCGTTGGAATTGATTGTGAAAATCCGAGTAGACGGAATGTTCACAGAACGATAACTCAATGCGTCTGTCAATCGATTTCCGAAGCCAGCATAGAAGGGGTTCTCTTTACCGCAGAAGAGGTTGAGAATATCCCGCAGGCATGCCATCTTGAAAACTTCGGGTTTCCTTAGGTAGATCTCCCGCCGCAGAGCGGCCATCGTGCGATCGGGGCTGCAAATCACTGGGCCTTTTGGTAGTCTGTATCCATCTTGGCAGATGCCGTTAAGATAGGCCCGTGTGGTATCTGTCTGGCCTACAGACCGACTCGTAAGATACATGATATTGTACCCATTGTTGACAATGTCAGTGTACAGCTTGGCGACTCCTGCATGTGTCCAATCGCGTCCGATCATATTGAGAACATGACCCAACGCATCCGACTTGGTGATAGTTCCATCAATATCAGAAATCACGATCGGGGTATTGCCATTCCACAAATACATGTTTGCTTCACAAATCGCTCTGTTGACGCTGAAAGACATTGTGTTGGCGCCGGGCTTCAGCTGCAAGGCCTTAAGTTGATCACTTGTCAAGCGGAGCGTCTTAGCGTAGTTCCGGGTTTCGACGGGGAAATAATCATGCAAGGGTGATTGAGGAGGTGTGGGAAATCCAGGTTGGACATCTGATTTAGTTCGGTGATGGCGTGTAGTCAATGATGGCTCTGAGACAGCGTGTTCGCCTTCGCTGTGGTATCCCGGGTCGGAGAGAGCATCATCGTTCATCCCCATGTTTGGCCGCATCGAGTTGAGAGTGGCTCTCCGATCAGCCAGTTCCTTTGACTCTTCGCTGCTGTAGATCCATAGATTGCCGTGTTCATCAGCTCCGATCAGTGCACCGATGTCATAGCTTCCTTCAAGCTCTTCTGCAAGAATCTTGCGCGCAACAACCTCTGCGCGAAGGGCGTCTTCTTCGTTACTTTTATACCCGGTCATATCTAACATCAAATCTCCAGTCTCGGTGACATGTGATGGAATATTGGAACCAGACAGCTTCTTTGACAGCGAAATGGCACGAGACACCGCTTCCTGGGGGGAGAGAGGCGGGCTGCGAGAGCGGTTGTCTGTTTTGCCCTCGATACCATGTGATTCATCGTTCCCATTTGCAGAATGTTTGGACAGAGAGAGTATAGGAGGACGGGTCGAAAGCACATTATCCGACAGTGTGTGATCAAGTAGCGGTTTAGCGCTCAAGGAGTCGTGCCGTGGACGAGTCACGTCAGAGTCGTCGGGAGATCGCGATAAGGGTGTTATTGTCCCTATTGAAATGATTAGTACCGAGGGACTTAGGTCGAAACTAAGTGCTGGGGATCTGTCCCTACCTAAATCCGTGTTTGCCCGTAGCTGGTTCGATGGCATCGCCATCGGCGGAGGAGTCTTTGCGCCTTCTGACAACGCATCCCCGTTTCCTTTGTCGAGGTCAAGGTAATCCGGTTCCTGCAGCGAAGGGGGAAGATCCGGCTCGCTCTGGGCTCTCGGGCTGGCTGCTGGGGATACCAACGGCGAGGTCTGCAAGGATGCGGGGATGTCATCGGTCGTTTCAAAGACAAAGAATGCCTCGCCCGCCTCTCCCAGTTTCATGGCATATTCTTGTTTGATATCATTCACCTTGAACTCCACCTTCTTCTCGAATGGACGTAAGAGCGAAAACTTGCCAAACCGAACATGAAAGGGCGAACAAGCGAGGGTGCCTTGGAAGAGAAAAGCCAAATCAGTATCATTCGTGAATGCCATCTCTCGAAGGACTATAAATACCATCTTCTTGCTCTATGACAATGACATCAATAGCCCCGCTAAGGGTGGCCGGGTTGATAGAATTCCATGTCTTGGAGACGGAACCACTTATAGAGCGATAGAGCTGCATCCCGCCGAATGGTGTCTAGCACCTCTGACAGTGGCTTTGGGTAACGTTTCAGGCCAATCCGAAGCAAATTCTAGAAATCAAGAGAGGCAAAAAAGAAGGTCTGAACGGTCAAATAAGACTGAGACAGGTTTTTGGAGAATCGGGAAGTTAATCCTCTTGGCCCATGTGACTGACACTTGGAGATAAGTGGACGCGGCTACATAACCACCGTCACGGGACAATATGAGCACAATATCAGTGACGAAAAATGAGGATATGGAGTGTAAGCCTGATTAAGGAGATACATATAATTTATTCCGAATTACTCCGTACTATCCAACATTTGTTGGTTTCGTCAACATTCAACGCCCAACAATTCTGATTACATCAGCCTTGGGGAATGCAGGTGCCGAGGTCCCGTAGCGGCTGATCTCCATTTTGGCGCTAAACTGTTTTTGGGTGGCTAGCATTCTAGATCACGTGTTCCTATCCCACCGCCCACTCCAAGCATTGGGGCGATCCTTGCAATTCTCCTGTATCCCGCTGCCCGCGTCCAATGGGTTACAGACGTTGGGATGTATGAGCCGCTATACTTTGCATTTGACGCTTACCCAGCAGTGGTCCCTCGCGTGAGAGTGCGAGGCGTGATGGCCCTCTTCCTCGCCGTCTCGATATTGTGGGCTTTGATCTGGTTAGTCCCTTGTCTGCTCCAACGTTTTCCTTTGCTCGGCTGACCGAATGTATGAAGGCTTCTCTATCGTGCCTGGCAAGTCTGTCAGACTTCAAATGAGGTCTTGGTGGAGAAGCTCGGTCTCGACATTCCTCCGCCGCCAGAGGTCACCCTCGAAGAGATCACAGCCCGTGAAATCCGCCTTGCTTGGAAACAGCCCGACTTCCACAACTCAATACATAAGCATATCATCCAGGTTAATAATGTGAAAGGTATAATATAGACTTGGTTCTTCCCTACCACTAAGCAAAGCACTAACGGTCTATAGTCGGCGAATCCAAACGAGCAGAAACAGCGGTGGAAATATCAAATCTATTACCCGGGAGCATATATCATATCTGTGTTCTTTCCGTTAGTGCCGCCAACTTCCAGACTCCCAGTGCGATCCTCCATGTCCGAACAAAATCTCTTCCGCTGTCCGAAGCCCAGCAAAATGGCAACGCCGGGGGTCCAATTATCCGCGCCTCGATCCCCAGGTCTACAGTAGGCCTGCCAACGCCATCTGCCCCGATAATGTCTCGCGAGCATAGTGCAGGCCAATTACCGGGGAAACGGCCCTCGGCCGGACGGAAAATTTCGCCCGCGACTGGAACCACGGACGCTTCACAAGGCAATTTCGAAGAAACATTCAAGAGCAGAGCAAAGACTGCCAAAGATGAGACTTTGGAGCAATTAGCAGACCGGTTGAAGTCGTTACAGCACGAGAACGAGAACGTGGAGAAGCAGGGGGCAGAGGAAGAAGAAGAGCATATTGCAGTGCTGAAGGACCTTGAAAAGCAGCGCAGTGAATTGCGGAAGCGCGTCAGGGAGAAGGACGAAGCAAGTGGCGATTTGAAAAAGCATGTCTACAAGTTAGAAAGCGTCAACCGCACCGTGCAGGGTGAAAAGTCTAAGCGCATGAGACTTCTTCAGCAAAAAGAGGCAGAGCGCAAGAAGCGCAAGAATGACATCCTGCGATGGCAGGAGAAGATTTCACGCATGAACTCTGATGCTCTACAGGCGAAGGATGACAAAGCCAGGATTGAAGAAGAAGGGGCAGTGCGCGCAGATGAGGTTCGAGCCAAGATCGCGAAAGAGCAGGGGGAGATGAAGACCATCGACGATGAGATTCAGGATAAAGGAGGACGGGTTAAGAAGCTCGAAGAAGAAAGAATGGGATTACAAGAAGGCGATAGTGAAGATGGCAAGGAGTTGGATCGGATCGACAACGAGCGAGCTCGTCAGTGGGAGCACAAGCTGGGCAACCTACATGCACGTTATGCCACGCTTGTGAATCTTCACGCGCAAGCCCAGCAACAATATCAAGAAGCCCAAGAACGCCTAAAGTGGCTTACAGCCCAACGACCCAGCAGCTCAGGACCCTTTGCCTTTCCAACCCTGGATCTCGATATGTCGAATACTGCCACCATTCGGCCCCGTCGCCATCGCAGCTCACTCAACAGCAATGTGTCTTCCCCTCTGAACTTCCCGGGTGTCGAAACATTTTCAAGTAGTATCAACTACAACCCGTCCGGCCACTCGCCTACATTCGCACCGAGCTCTGCATTTTTCAATATCAATAACGGCATGGCTCTTCCCGGCCTGTCTGATCCCCCGGAGATTATGCGCTCAGATACGGAAGTTGCTTTCAATAACCCGCAAATGAGTCCCCGTGCGGATGCCCTCTTGCCATCTGATCTCCTTGGTGACGAGGAATCGCCCGAATTCCCACGATCTATAACCCGTCCAAGATTTGCAACTATGGAGGCATCCAGTACTCCACTGGACAGCTTCGGTCACGGCCCAGTGTCGCCTGTTTCTTCGGACAGTCGGGCCGGCAGTATCTTTGCCAGCCCACTAGAGACTCAAAATCGGCAGGATGAATCCCAAGGTGTCCATCTGTCTGCTGCTGGGGATGCCCCGAAAAGCGCATCCCGAAAGCTTTCTGGACTTTTCGGTTTCCACCGGCCTCGTGGGAAAACCCTGGCGGATGAATCTCCTATGCTGGGTAGTTTGAAACCCGGCCAGAGTCAATCCTTCCCTCGCAATATTGATGAGCTGGATCCAATCGGTGCACGCCGGCGACGATCTAGCTATACTGGCAACTGGGCAAACCCGATGTCATTGTTCCCTCGAAGCAACACGACCGGTGTCACCATGGACAGCTCTTCTGATCATGCGCCGAGCCGACGAGCTGCTTTCTCGAATATCTTCTCATCCAGCAAGTTTGGCTTCGGTGGTGCTGGCACCCGTGGGAATCCTGATCTTAGCAGTGGGTACAATCAATTCAGTCCTCGACATGATCCTATTGATCCTTCATCGCTTCTCGGTGGCGTTCGACGGGGCTCTCTGTCCCCCCGACCTTCGTCGACCTCATTCGACACACCGAATCAACTTCCGCACCCCTCCACAGACAACCGCCATTTCGGATGGCCATCAACTGAGAATGCTGGGCACCGTAACAGCCCGCTTGGATTCGACTGGGCCGCACCATCCAATTGGTCTCGAGCTCCTTCTCGGCGACCTTCAATCCAGTATGGATCATCAGGTCATCTCCCTCTCGGTCTAACCGGCGAGCCTGATTTTGTGGAAGACACGTTTGACCGACATCATCGACCCCTCCAGGCACCGATTGGCACTCGCCCGTCATCTTCTCATCGACCGCTGACTCCAAAGCTGAACCCCGCTGCTCCCTCGTTCACGGCGGTTTTCACGGACGAGAAGCCGGAGGTGGACACAGGCAAGGGCAATGATCCTGACAGCCCATTTGATCTTCACGAGTACGATGGGTCTCCTTCGGAGTCTCGCACATCTCGCTCCATCTCCCTTTTCACTGGCGATTCATATGAATCGCTGGAGCGCATGCCATCCGGGGCTTCCATGGACAATGCTTCTAAGGAGTCGTTTATTCGCAAGATCACGCGCAAGGGCAGTTCCAGCAAGTTCAGTTCATGGAAAGATCGTTCGGGCCTTTTCTCTAAGAAAGGTGAATCCTCGCAAGGTGATATTGACGAGGATGCGGCCAGCGAAGCACAGCTCGGCAAGAGTATCGATAGCACTGTCTCGAGTGTGACATCCGCCGATCGCTCAACCCGCAGCAGCCTGGGATTCTTTTCTCGCAAGTCCCGTAAGTCTGACAAGGCCAGCGAGACTAGCGAGCGAGCCAGTGAGACTGGCGATGAAGAGATTTCTGAGGAGATTGAGAAATCATGATTCTCACATGTATCTATAGAACATCTTGGTTCTGTCCTTTCACTTTCATTTCCTAGATTCTAAAGCATCTCCCTTAGACATCTCAACAACATACGAGTTTTCTTTACTTTTGGATTCTGCATGCCTGAATATCTCTAGATAGTGTAGTAGCCTGTCTTTGCAGAAAATTAATGTTTCATTTTTACCCAAATCACTCCCAAGTCCCCAAAAATGTAGAATCCCTCCAGTTGGGGCAAATGCGGGCGGGCAGAAATCGCACAAAATGACATTTCCATTCCCCGGAGCTATTCATCACTTAACATCAAAGTCTAGATCATACAATGGCGAACTCAAGGTAAGCATTGAAAAATTAAATATTAAATTCAGCCTACTAAAGAACGCAGATTTGAGTACGTCAAGTCCTTCGAACAGCCGGATGTGCTGCTCCCCAATACGTGGATTGTGGTCCGCATTGATGGACGAGGATTTCACAAGTGAGTATCCATCTCTCGTTTCTTGAGGGGATGCCCTATACATGAGGAATCTTCATGCGGGAGGGAAAAAACGGCATCTATATGACCGTCTTCCTATGCATAGCTTCCACCAAGATGTGGCTGCTCTTCTGGTCCAACAATGCATCTCTATATTCAGAGTCTAACATATATAGACTCTCTGATCACTACGCTTTCAAGAAACCCAATGACCGCCGGGCACTGGATCTGATGAATGCCGCGGCAGTTGAGGTCATGAAAGAGCTTCCGGACCTATGCATCGCCTACGGAGTCAGTGACGAATTTAGGTATGTTCAACTCGTTTCAGCACGATCCTCGCAGTTGCTAACGGTACTCCCTCAGTTTCGTCTTCCACCCCAACTGCCAACTTTTTGAGCGGCGCAATGGGTGAGTATTTCCTCTTTGCTTCTATATCCTGCGATATAATTTGCAAAAACGGCCGTTGACAGGACCTCTTCCATCCAGGAAACTAGTGACTACCATCGTCTCTACGTTCACAGCACACTACATTTACAAATGGAGCGAGTACTTCCCTGAAAGACCTCTCCTGCCACCGTATCTGCCATCTTTTGATGGGCGTGCGGTCATCTACCCAAATAACCGAATTCTCCGCGATTATATGAGCTGGAGACAAGTTGATTGTAAGTGACTTTGCCATGGCGATATGGCCTCGCAATACCCCTGATTTCGAGCCACATCCGGCTAATATAGGATGACTAGGTCATATCAATAATCTCTACAACACTACCTTCTGGACAATGGTTCTGCAAGGTGGAATGAGTAACACAGACGCCGAGCAAGAGTTAAAGGTAGGCTATTGTTCCTCCAATTCGAAGTACAGGCAATTGACTTGATATCAGGGCACTGTGTCTGCCGACAAGAATGAGATTCTATTCAAGCGGTTTGGAATTAACTACAATAACGAGCTGGAGATCTATAAAAAGGGCACTGTTCTTTATCGCCAGGTATGCCCGAATTGCTATGCTGTCATTCTTTCATCTCGATCTGTTCTAATATTTCTCTCAACAGTACGAGCTGGAGGAACCTAAACCTACAAAATCACCTGCAGACGAAGAATCGCCGGCGGTCGAGGCTAATCAGTCAAGGTCACAGCAAGACAAGATCCGCAAACTGCGCCGGAAAGCACAGGTCGTGGTTGACCATGTCGATATCATCAAAGATGAGTTCTGGGAGAAACGGCCGTGGATTCTATCAGGCAATCCTGGAAAATTACCCGCGTAGCTTAGCTCCAACACAAAAAAAAGATAGACGTTTACATTTCCTATGGTTGCAATGGTCAGGATTTCGCCAAACAAAAAGGGTATCTTGGTTTCTAGATGGCGTAAGGAAAACAGGTATATGCAGAATTTTGTACATGCATGTGAAGCGCTCCAATATCAAAATGGTCACAAATGGACAACATCAGGCTTTGGCCTCCTTCTTGTCCTTCTTGTCTTTCTTCTCCTTTTTAGACTTCTTTTTCGAGTCTTCGACAACCACATCACTTCCTGTGCTCTTGGCCTTCTTGCTCTCCTTCTTTTCCTTTTTCGCCGCCTTCTCCTCTAACCGCGCAACTGTCTCATCTGTCTCCGTAGTCTCCGCCCCAGTCTGATCAGATTCCTGATCCATCGACGTAGGTGTTGGATAATCCTCTTCAGAAGCAGTCCGCTTCTTCTCCTTCAAAGCCTTCTTCGCAAGCCTCTCAGCCTCCTTCTTCTCCTTCTTCTCGGCCTTCGCAGCCCTCTTCACACGTCTCTCCTCCTTCCTCTCAGTCTTCTCCACCTTCCGTGCAGCCTTGGCCAGTTTTCTGGCCTTGCGATCAAGGCCATCATCCTCATTCTCGCGCTTACGCTTAGACTTAGAGGTAGAAGTGCCACTCTCGTCCTTCTTCTTCTCCATCCCCTCGAGCGTACCAGCCAACCCGTCACCCCTCACAAAATGCCGATAAAGCTCGCTCGTCAACGCATTGTTCTCGCGCGCAGAGGTGGCCTCGAAACTGTCGTTCCCGACGCCCTTCAGGGCATCTTCGAACCCACGCAGCCACCACTGGTTCGTCGGGTCTTTTGTCGTCTTCTTGCCCACGCCGTGGTTGTTGGCTTTGCGCGATACGAGGAGCGGTCGTGTGAGGCCTAGTCCGCTGTGTGCACCGGGTCGTTTGTTTGGGTTCAGTGGGTTGCCGGGGCCGGACCAGCCATGCTTGATTAGGTAGGCTTGGGCGTCCATTTTGTGGTGTGTGGTGTGTTTGCCCTTGTGGAGGTGTTAGGTGGGCAATAAGGTGTGGTTTTTGAATCTTGGAAGTTTCGGCTTGGATTTGGGTATGTATATTGTGGGATTGGAGGAAAGGTAATTCCAGGAAGTTGGTTCCTTGTGCCTGGAGAAAAGTTTTGATACGGAAAAAAATATTAGAGATAAGATTTGACACCTCATATATCAGGCTTCAATCCCGGTTCGATCCCGGCGACTACTGGATTTTGTTTTTTTACTCTTCACACTTCTAGATAAACAGCTTTGATTTATTTTTTGCGTTTTAGAAAAAAAACTCTCAAACCGTACATGTGTAGCTTGGGTTCGATTGGTAATCTCCATAATGGAAGTGGTTTCCAACTGTTATTTATACCCTACCAGAAGTCATGGTCTGGAATATATTTCCAACTTGTATACTGTCAAAACGTATTCTACACACCACTTCGAATAATGACGACATAACCTCATATGATCCAAGTAACTATCTATTTTTACCCACACCCCAAACACCAATTGATACACAACAGACTGTCAGCAGCAGATGCATTCACCCGCTCACAGTACACAGACTAATACGGCTTGAACCTATCCTTCTTCTTCTCCTTCGGCCGAGCCTTTGCAGACCCGGACTGGACTGGAGCATCACTTCCTTCAGTAGGTCTCCATGCTCGTACGAAGCCATCTTCACCGCAGGTGAAGACTGATTGACTCTGAGGAAGTAGTTGGATTAGCGAGGGCCATAAAGAACAAAAGCTGAAGACCAGCTACCCAGATACAAGAAGCATTCCCTGAAAAACGTACCTGTTCATCCAAATACACCGAGCGCACAACCTCCTCGCAATGAGCACGGGGCAAGCGCCACAGATTATCCCGGTCTAGCTTCCACGACGGACTGGAAATGAGTGGGACAAGATCGAGACGGTTGTCACTGCAAGACATTAATTAGCAAACACCCATGAGCCCACGAAAAACCGAGGAAAAAACACAAGCACAACAGCACGTGTGTATGCCATGCCTTCTTCCCAGTACCGAAACACACAAAAAAACAAAAGACAAACAAGAAACTTACATCTTATTGCCAGCGGCGATATACGGCCCCTGTGCACCAACACACAGCTGCGCAACATACTCGCAGCCTAGCGGATCACGCACGTCACCAAAGTGCACGGGCTCGGGCTCCTGCGAGGCATCGTCTGGGTCTGTGGCCGGGTACACGGAGAAGTGCTCGTCATGACTGAGGGCGAAGATGGTGCGCTCCGAGAGGAACCCGGCATGATGTACGGAGCCGTGGTTGATCACTTGTACCAGGGCCTCATCTTCATCTGTTACGGTCGTATCGTATATGTTCACTAGTCCGTCCGTGCTGCCGGAGAGTAAGATGTTACTGCGCGTCGGGTGATATTGGAGCTGTGTACCGGTAACAGGCAAGGCGCCGATGTAATGGTTAGTCTGGCTGGTGATGGGGACTGTTGGCGTCGGGCTTAGAATGGAGGTACACTTACCTCGGTGATATCGTCGTTGTGACTCTCCACGTATTGAAGGCGGAATTCCTGGGGGGATCGGATATCCCTGTTTGTTGGTTAGCGGGACCGGGGTTAATAGAAACTGTTCTTGTCTTGGGGATTGGAAGGCATATCCCGATACAAATATCAGAGAATGCTGGGCCCATTCAAATTAAAACCAAAGTATAAGATGAAACCTACCAGAATGCAACAACCGCCTGTGAAGAGACCAGCTCCGTCCCCGCAACAATAGTGTTTGTCTCTGGGTTACAAGCCACCGACAGAACAGGCGACTTTTTCGCTATAGACGCAGAGACAATGTATTAGCAAATATGCATTCGAGGCAAAATCCAAGCCAGGACCATCCTTGAATCCAAGCGTCAACAAATTTTCCGAAAACCAGTAACAGCCCACCGGAAATGCAGCAGCAAAACCTAGTATGGCCCTTGTTTAAGGCAGGTTCCCGATAACCCCGAAGAGGCAATAGATGCAAACCAAAAAGAAAATAGAAAAAAAAGCTTAACCAGAACAAACTCACTCGTTTCCATCTCCACAACCGGACTTCCATTCCCAGTCCGAACATCCCAAACCTTCACCTTTCCATCACGGCCACCCGTAGCCAGGAGGTGTGACTCGCCCATAGCGAAGCTCCGTAGGGCGGTGACACCATTGTGAGCAGCGTCCGAGACCACAGATCCGCGATCGAGATCGACGGCGTCAAACACCCGCAGCGAGTCATCTGACGAGATGGCGGCGAAGGTCCCCGGCGCAGATGGGACGATCGAGTAGATGTAATTATCTGCCGGCAGCGACAGAGTCGATGACGCTACTGCTTTGAGTGTGTGCATTGGGTGGATTGGGAGCTGCTAGACCGTGGATTTCCTGATATCGAGATACTAATCTCTGCCGTGGCTGATGCGAGGGGTTAATGTTTTCCGATGTCCCCGATTAATGTCCCTTAATGTACCGTGTACAATATATAAAGATATTTGAGTTTTATGTATTATAGGGTAACAATTTAATTCTGATGTTCGGACTGGAGCTTGGGGAATTTTTTTCCAGGTGGGGCTCCCAATATTGTACGGAGTACGATGTTTACCAAATTGTCTACCTATGGGGGTATGGGTACTGAATTAGATATAACCAAATGCAAAAGATCTATAAAATTTCTAAATTGAAAAGGGGACCTCGGGATTTGTTAAAGAAAAAAAAAAAAAACATTGAACTCTGTATAATGTACGCTAAAATGTCCCAACAATGCACAGCTAAACCGCCATGAGCTGTCAGTACCAAGAGCATCAAGCGTGGAATCTCCCTCGAGTCGGCGACCTTAAACCCCGGAAAATTCAGCGCGACAAGCGCCAGATCTGAGATATCCAAATATTCAAATATTCCGTATACTTATTCCAAAATATGTATCATGCAAGGAGACACAGATCTCGGGATTTGGTACAGAGGACCATTTATAAACCCAAAAAAATAATAGAAGTAGATCCCGAATCCCCGGCGAAATATGTATAAGGAAAGCCTAATGGGGAAAGACCCTGGATCATTATTCGGGAATGCTGACACGTATAATGTCCGGAGTACTCCATATGGAAAGAAAAAGAAAATATCTCAATGGCTTACCCAGCACAATGGTCCGGGTGTTAGGGTCATTCTTACATATCACAAAAGAGGTCCCCAACCTGGTAAAAGATTACCAGGGCCAAGGTGCTAAAGGCGCCAAGATGTAGTATCCCCTTAGTTGATTCGTTCAAAAGGTCACATCCACGAACCCGGGGATTTGGGTTGCGGTGAGGGGGGAGATAAATTACAAGGTTTGTTTTTTTAAATAGAATGTATGACGATATATTCCAAGGTTCTTTGTATAGAAGATTTTATAATCTACAATATACCTAAGTAGGTAAAGGAAATATGGACGGAGTATACTCTGTACCCGAAGCCATATCTACCAATCTGTTGGGCCTGGAAAAAGGCCCAGACGGTCCGCGTCCCGCTAATGGTCCACTCTTGATATTGATATTCACTTTGAATATATATGCTTTATAATATAAATGTATAATATATAGAATATAGAATATAGAATATAAAATATAATATATAAAATATATTTCTTTTATGCAAAATTGAAAAAAAAAGGACACTAAAATTCCCAGCAGCGCGGTTCGTTTCCCATTTAGTACTTCTGCAACTTTCTGCACATCCCCTCTTCCTTGTTTCTCTCTTCTTACCACCCCACTACGGGAAAAACAGCTTAACAACCTTAAAAGCCCCCTTCACCCCTGGAGCTTTGGGAATTCGAAGCCCCCATAACTTTTGAGCGGAGCTCAGTATTTTGATGGCAGACGTCAGCATGTCTTATAGAGAGTCTTCTGGTTCCTTTCCTGTACCTGACCGTACATCGTTGCCGAAAATGTTCAACGGGGATACTAGGCTACGACACCTGCCTCCCATCACTTCTCCACCCCCGCCTAAACGATACAAGTCCGAGTCCACCCCGGCGAGTGATGCCGGCCACTCGCGATACTACTCGCACTCAGTGGCAACTGATCGAGTCCGATCGCGACAACCGTCTTCTGCGATGGACCTGTACACGCTGATCGATAGAGATCCAGTCGATAAAGATCCTCGCAGGAACGGTCGCTTTACTAGCAATGGATCGGTAGCCACACAGGCGTCCCACACGTCGAATACATCTCAAGTATCGCGATCATCTCCTATCATAATGTCTGATCGCAAGTACGTCACTCCATACTCAATCCGTGCAATTCAAGGACTGACCGCTGTCCTAACAGAATGCCCGAAAAATACCCGAATCACATCGAGAATGGCCGAGTGTACCATGGCTACCGGAAAGGAGTCTACCCGCTCCCGTGCGACGAGGAAGAACAGGACCGTCTCGACATATTCCATAAATTGTTCACGGTTGCACGGGCCGAGGATGGCTTAATCTATGCACCACATCCCCCGGGCTCTCGAATTCTCGACCTGGGTTGTGGAACCGGCATCTGGAGCATCGAAGTTGCGAATAAATACCCCAACTCCTTCGTGGTGGGGGTGGACCTTGCGCCAATACAACCGGCCAATTTCCCCAAGAACTGCGATTTCTATGCCCCGTTCGACTTCGAGGGCCCCTGGACCATGGGGGAGGATTCATGGGATATTATTCATATGCAGATGGGATGTGGTAGTGTCGCAAGTTGGCCCAGTCTCTACCGACGTGTCTTTCAGCATCTCCGGCCGGGCGCTTGGTTTGAGCAGGTTGAAATCGACTTCCGGCCTCGCGTCGAGGACAAAGATGGTGAACCGGGACGCGCGATGGCTAGCTGGTACTCGACCTTGAAGCACGCGACCGAAGCTACCATGCGGCCCCTGGCTCACAGCTCGAATGACACGATCCGAAATTTGCAAGAAGCGGGCTTCACCGAGATCGACCACCAGATTGTGGGATTGCCTATGAACCCATGGCATCCTGATTCCCATGAGCAAAAAGTTGCGCGTTGGTACAATTTGGCCATCTCCGAGAGCGTTCAGCCATTATGTTTGGCTCCTTTCAGCCGGGTTCTTTCTTGGTCTAGGGAGCAGATTGACCGCATTGCATTCGACGTCAAACAGGAAGCCTTCGACAAAAAGATCAAAACATACAACCTTTTGCACATTTACCAGGCGCGAAAACCCGTCGAGGAATAAGCTGAATTATACCCACATGGCAGTCGACCAGAGGGCGTTTCCTTCAATCTGACGGGGACCTCGATATTGGCTTTACTACCCCAAAAAATACACCCGCTTGATCATCATATTCAAAATAGACCGGGTCTCACAGACTTTGGCTGGCCCAGAGTGTGCACTTGCCACGTTGACCTTGAATGTGCTTCTGTTGCAAGTGCAACTAGATGTTCGCTCCAGAGCCAACGACTTTACAGCACAGCTTTATGATTTTTGTTTTGTTCAAGGTCCAGGCATGGGAACTGAGATATTATCTCAAAGTGTTGGCCTTATAGGTCCCAACAGCCGATAGGACTATGAACCTTGTTTAATGACTTCTTAAGAGGTTTGGGGGATTGACGGCCGACACGATGTATGCGCCCACGGCCCTCTCGGGTCATGACTTTTCTTTCTATACTCTACTCTATCCTTTTTCTTTTCTCTCTGCATGCTGGACTTTGCATCTTGTGGCGTTTTGGGCTTTCAGCCAAGGATTTCGAACATTTCCGGCTTATATATACCCAGGTTACCTTCCTGTAGTTTCTGACACTTCCATTTGCTACCTGAATGCCAAGTCAATATGTCTCTTTAGAATCAACTTTTGCTCTTGGTACTCTTATTGAATACATGTATATCCCCTATCTCTTTCCCTATTTCGTACCAATGATCCCTTTGTTTCAATGCATTCGCTGAGACGCAGCTGTATTTGGAAGACTGCACCCACAAGTCTTGGTATTTCGGTACTATCACAGCCGTGGATTCTATTTGTTCTTGCAACCGCTGCCATCTTAAATTTATATAAAGAAGACCTCAAGTCTCGAAACGATATGTTTGTTGAATATAGAAGCACCTGGATCATTCTAATCATCACGACCCGTCTGCGTTGTGTAGGCATTCATTGGCTGCAGCATGAGATCAAACAAAGCCCAGAAGCTTCTTCCACCAACGCCGGATTGTAGACCAATCATCCCTAAAAAATGAACGCCACCGTATGCAAAATATGCTAGTACAGCCCTCCAACATTGGAGATGCAGATAGACAAAGGAAAGTACAACACACAAGACAGGCCTACTATCGTCGCCGATTCCTAGTAGCACCCCTCGAAGCCCCATTAGTCGCAGGCTTGTCCGCATCCCCATTGACACCCTCCCTTCCAGCCCCAGGTGTCCTCCGTCGCATAGTCCCCGGCCCAACAGCAACAACATCTTCACCAGAATCACTGTCCTCAATATTCAGCAAGACAGGCAGATTGAACGGCTCAACGCCATCGGCATCCCCATCCCCCTTGACCGAATCAAACGTCAGAGCATCCGGCACTTCATCCTCCTGATCCAGTCGTCGTTGATGCACCTGCTCAGCCGGGTGAACATCAAACTCATCCTCCGCCTCCATGTACTCCACATTCTCCTCAACCTCGCCGAAATCAGGCGCCAGCGCCGACCATTTCTGCGGTGACACTATCGACCACGTGTATATGCATCCGGTCTCCAGCCCGCACGCCACAACCATCGGTCTGCTCGGGTGCCACTCCACAACGCCGAGTTCCTCACGTGGTCCCTCCAGAATTTTGACAAGTGACCCGTGGCTGCGTTCCCACACGTAGATATCAGGGTTCATGAATGTTGTCGCGGTGACGAACTCGCCGGTCGACGAGAATGTTACATGGTTCCAGCTAAGCCGGTTGACCACGTCTTGGAATTTGTGCTCCACGTGCAGTTTTATCGCGGATGGTTCCAGGTCGATCCCCAGCTGTGATAGGTCTGGCATTAGTACCGTGCGGATTACTCGGTCCGAGCTGTTGACCAGGAGGTCCCGCCCGTTGCTAGCTAGACGGAGGAGGATGACTACTCCGTTGCAGAGGCGCATTGAGTGGATTGTGGTGCAGGTTTGTGTTTCGATTATGTTGATCCAGCCTTTCGAGGTGCCGGCGATTATGTGGTTGCCGAAGGCTGTGAAGATGGTTACACATGTAGAGTGCTTGGCATCTTGCGCTGCTTGTTTGGCCGCTACGGCTGGGTCGATTTCTTCGTCTTTTGGTGCTTGTGGTCTGAGGGGGGCGGAGGGAAGGATTCGTTTGATTGGTTTTGTGCTGGAGACGTCTACCAGTACTGGTTGGTCTTCGAAGAGGGATGCGACGAAA